GGTACTCTAACTTTGAGGAGCAACAGCACAACAACCACAGCACGCAGAGCTTAGCTGAGGATAGTGTTGTGCATGGAATACTCTGCTTTATCCTGTTGCAGCTAAAAATCTAAAAAAAAATCCTAACCCAAACCCAGTTTTTGGCACTTGAGTACCACCACATTCGGCCACTGACACCGATTCTCCACACTCTCCCTCGTTGCGCAGTACTTTTGACTGACCCAGCACCATCGGCAGCTATGACTGCCGCCTTGGTCTCTGATCCACACTCGAAACCTGTCCAACTCTACGCCCATCACCCCTGGGTGTGCGGTACACTTCAGCGTCTTGTGTCGCCGCCACTCATCTCTGCCAGCGTCATCCAGCATGCAGCAAGACACACACCCATCCCGCAGCTCGCTGAACAGTTTCTCCACCTGCTCCCATTCCGCGCTTGTCTCCTGCTGTGCGTCTTGCCACCCACGAGCCCCCTCGCCACACCAGTCGCAGCCTGCACTTACAATGTCATCACAACCCATCGCTTTGATGTCCATGTAGGTGCTCATCAGCCTTCGTCGACACCCACTGCCAATCAAGAAGTTGCCCATTGCCTGCACGTCTACGTCGGTGCTCTTCTGCTGCATCGTCTGCTCCACCTCGTCCGGCTCAAGCAGCACCACCGAGTCTACCCTCTTGCCTGCTCGTCCTCCACGCCCGCTCTCCTGAACGTAATCAATCATGCTCCACGGCATCCCCACGTGCAGTATGAACACAATCCCTGGGAAGTCGACGCCTGTGCCCAGCGCTGACGTAGCAATTACAAGCCCACCGTTTTTGAGCCACTGCTCCAGCCGCTCAGCTCGGTCTGGCATGCCAGCGTGATAGTGCGTGCACTCCAACATCTCCGCCATCTGCTCGCACACCGCCTTGCTGTGACAGTACACAACCCCCTTGAGCCCCTTCTCCCTGAGCTGCTGCTGCTGCTGCCGGCACATCATCAACGCCATCTCCTTCTTCTCTCCACGTCGACACCACAACACGTAGTAGCAGGTGTTTGGCCGTACAGTGCTTGCCCGCACATACTCAGCGCACGGAAGCAGCATGCTTGCTTCCAGCTCACCTTGCCGTGCTGGCAGCAGCGTCGCCATGAGCAGCACGATTGGACACGGCAGTGACCGCAGATTCTTCAACGCTGCCAGCTTTGGCCGCCAGTGGCTTGATGTGAACGTCAAGTGACACTCATCGACTACCACCCACCGCAGCAGTCCTTTGCTGTCAAGCATGCGTGCGTAACCAAGAAAGTTCCCGTTGCTGTCAGTGTCACCAGCCACATCTGCGCTGACTACGACCACGCTTGCTGGGTTGGTCTTGCCGTGCCTCCACTCGATGCAGTCGATGCCACACCTCTGTACCCGACTCACCAGATCCTCAATCAGCGCTTGATACGGCACCACGACCACCGTCACCCCAGCGTCTACCAAGCAAGCTGGTACCATGAACAACAAGCTCTTCCCTCCGCCCGTCGGCAGCACAACCACCAGTGGCGTATGCCTGTCCAGCACAGCGTGCAGTGCCTGTTCCTGCTCCATTGACCGAAAGCCAACATCCTCCTGACCGAGTACCTGCCGCATTGCCCTGTGAATTGCCGTCTCCTTCACATTGCTGACACGGAACGGCTTTTGCTGCTGCATGAGCGCCCTTGGCTCTCCCTTGACGCCTTGATGCTCTTCGTCGTGACTGCCCTCTCGCCGTTTCCTGCCTTGTCTCGCTTCGTCTGTGCTCGCGCCCGCTGTCTGCATCTCCTGCTGCTCTGCCCCTGACCTGTCCAGGCCCAAGAATCGGTGCCATGCATCGCTGAGCACGCGGAACGCTTCGATCGAGCGCGCGCTGAGATGCTTGACAATGTCAATCGGCACGCTGTAGTTTCCTACACCCATGCTTGTCGTCCGCGCGTTCTGTAGCTCAATCAAATCCTCATCCACCTCGGCCTCTTCCACCTCGCCCACCTCATCCTGATAGCCCTTGCCAAACGACTGGCCAACCTTCTCCCTCCCAATACCAACAGACTTGTGCCGGTAGTCCAGTGTGTTCAGCTCCACCCCAAGCCTCTTGCCTGTCTCTCGCTTCAGCGCTCGCGTCAGTCGATCTGTGTCCCATGGGCCATGCTCATCCACCCACACGTAGTCGCTGAAGTTGCCACCAAGCACCTTCACCATCAAGTACTCTCGAAACGGCCGCACGTACGCCAGATATACAACCATGACCTGTCCCAGCTGCGGCGGCAAGAAGCGCGGCACCACCTTTGGCTTGTCCCACTGCGACTGCAACTTGTGATAGCGGACGACCGTCATCACCTCCCGTCAACAACAAAGATGTTGCGGTCCTGGAGCTGCCCATTCTGAAAACGCATTGTTGTCACCTCTGACCCCCTGCCCGGCTGTCCAGACGTCATGTGCACACCCACCAGCAACAGTGCTAGAAAGCGGTCTACACAACGCAAGTACTGCTTGATCTGCTTCACGTCCCACCTGCCATTGCTTGCATACAGTGCACGACCCTGTTCTGTCTGTTTTGCCTGAGTGAGCATCCACTGCAGCCCGCTGGCAAGTCCGTTCTCCTGCCGGTTGATGAACGAATAGCGGTGCATTGTGAATGAGACATCATCAACAATCTGCCCCAGTTTCACTGCAAACCAATCATCTTTCCTGCTCACCCAGCATAGCTCCTGCCACAGCATTTGCTCCACCTCAGCGACTACGTCCTGTGCCATCTTGCGGAAGCTACTAATGTGTATTAGCTGACCACGCAAGTAGAAGACGCTCTTGTCCTTTGACCAGTACGTGTTGCCTGCATTCCCTGCCTCTAGCGCAACGTGCTTTCCGTATGCCAGCATGTTGATTGCCTCGCTCATTGTACTGTACGAGCCATCAGCCAGATACTGCTTTCTCGTCTGCAAGAACTTGTTGCGATCAGCATCTGTCTGCTTGTCACGGTACGCAGACGGCAGCAGCTTCTCTACACTAAGCACTCGCATGCAGTACACTATGCCAGCAAGCATATACGAGTACTTCTTTGCTGTACGCAAGCGGTTCATTTCCACGTCAATCCCTAGCACTGCAAGAAAGTGAACGAGTCCACTGCTGAACGGCCTGCCTTGCGTTGAAGCAAAGAAGAACGACGTGAGCGCATCAAGCAGCGCCTGCATCTGAGCATCCTCATCGTTGCCATCCAACGCGTCCCACAGCTGCGTCGCCCATAAGCGTTGCGAGCCCTGCCAGCTGAACAGCTTGTGCGCATCCTTCATGTTGTCAACCTTGTTCCTGCGCTGCGGACAACTGCTGCTGTTGCTTATGGCAGCATCTTCTGTTCTGCCTAACCTGCATGGCCTGCCTGACCTCAAGCTGTGCATGGTGCTGCTTGGGTACACGCTGCTCCAGTCACTGTCTCGATCCTTCTCCTCCTGAGCTACGCCATCGACTACAATGCGCAGAAAGTAGCACACAAACCTGACCATGTAGCCTGCGTACCGCGCCTGACTCTCTGGGTTCTGCAGTCGAGCAAATGGCCGTGTGTCTGGGTCTTCCTGTCGTGCGCTCCGCAGCCAGCGTCTGGACTCTCGGTCCAGCGTTAGCAGCCCTTGTACGCTCCTCTCCACAAGCTTCTCCACCAGCTCAGCAGCCAGTTGCAGCTTCACTTCGCTTCGATTGGGCAGCCGGGTCTGATGTGCAAGATGCGCAAGATGGCAACCTGCCAAGTGCTCCAGCCAGCCAGTCCGCTTGAACCAGCCAGTCCGGTCAGTCTTAGCTACAGCTGTATCCATCACCTGCAGTCGCTGCTCCTTCTTGCTGGATTTTCCTGAACTCCGCCAGCTCTCTGCTGACAGCATCTTCTACCCTGCAGGGAACAGAGACAGTTACAATGATGAAATTGATGAAAAAAGTGGTGCTGCTGACAGTGAGTCGGCCAAACAAGTTGGGGGTTGCAAAGCTGCCGTATGCGTAGCATATTGGGAAGCTGACATTATCACGGCTATTTATCACGGCTCCATGCGAACGATGTCGATAGGGTGTGGCTAGTAGAGCCCGGGTGGGGCTAGTAAGGTAGGTTTAGCCACATGTATTCAAACGCGTGCATCACAACAACCAGACTAGGCACACAAATTCCAAGGCAAGATTCGGGATCTGCGTACGATTCCGCACCATATAGCTTACTAGGATAGTTTTATTAAGCCCTCTGGTGCCCGCGAGTTGGCCAAAGGAATTGGATGTCAAAACTTTCTGGTTTGGGCTAACGCTAAGCCACATTAAGCCCAATTCGGCACGAGAGAGGCCTCTCTCGTCTCCTGGGTATGGCTAGTGAGGTGGGTACAGCCACGGGTATTCAAGCGCGTGCATCGCAGCAACCAGACCAGCTACGCAGAATCCGAGGCCAGATTCGGAATCAGCACGCGATTCCACACAATATGGCCTACTAGAATAGCTTTATTGAGCTCCGCATCATCCCACGAGTCGGCCCCACGAGTCGGGGGTCAAATACTTCCGTTTTGGGCAGAGAGACCCTAACGCTAAACCCGTCTGGGCGCGAGTCGCCCCCCGACTCGCGGGTCATAGTGGGTAGGGATGCAAATCAACCTATGGCACCTTGACAACACCGATGCTGGGAGTCAACAACATGGAGCCTATTATTTGGTCCCTAATTCAAAATATCTGTTACGATCAAAGGGAAACCCGCAACAACACTGAACGAACAGGACTACGCAACCATACGAGAGAAGCCGAAGAACTGTAGTATCGATCGACCCGAGCAGTGGGGCCGCGTCGGCGATACTCAGTATGATCATCACTCTCAGTTGAGCAACTGAAGCGACTCGATCGACCCGAGCAGTGAGGCTGCGTCGGCGATACTCCGCACGAGCAGTATACTCGGTACAGTCAGTATCCTCAGTACCGAGCGCTCTGAGCAATTCTCTGCTCATGTACATAGCAAGTAGACATGCTGCCCTTATGGCATCGTGTTCAACCTCGTCAATCAACTTTGTTATTGGAACCTCACTTGCTCTCGAGCCAGACAGTATACTCTGTACTACTCATTGCCCCAGTCGTCACGGTCTTTGACTAGACTACTACTCGACTATTACGAAGGTTATTACAACCCGCCCGGATAGTCTACCCCTGACCACCCGAGCCTTGCTTAGGTGACTGTCAAGCCCCTACCGACTCCCTGTACCTCCGCTCATCCCCGAGAACCAATCGAATAGTGTCTACGAGGTTTGCTTAAGGCACCAATCGCAACAATATCCCCTGATGATATGGAGGGCTCCATGTTGTTACTGCCCTGGGATAGAGCGTAGAGAGCCATTTGTGGAAGTCGTGTCTTAAACAAACTCGTAGGCACTATTGGATTGGTTCTCGGGGATGAGCAGAGGTACAGCAAGTCGTCGGGGGTTATCACGTAAGCAAAGCTCGGAGTGATAGAGGTTGTCGTCTAGTCAAAGACTGTATATACTATAGGGATTGTGTGGTGGCTCGGTTGATCAGTGTCGTTGATTGGACTGATCGCGCTGAGCATTGATCGTACTGATTACTGATTGTACTGATTACTTATTGTACTGATCACTGATCGGTCGCAAGATTCTTTACTGCTGTAGCATGTTGCTTGCAGACAATGACAGCATACGCAGCCAGATAGCAGATTGCATCTTTGATAGAGTAGTATGAGTGCAGTGCTTGATGGGTGGGCGTGATGTCTGTTGTTGTTGTTGTTGTTGTTTGCACTGCAGACGGTCGTGCATGCCAGTAGAACTCCATCCCTTAAATCCCAACCAAGACTGCTCCAATGGGGTCAAAAGTGTGCTACAATGTAGCGCTGAGGCAGAGAAGATAATTAAAATGATGAAATTGATGTAAAGTGGTGATGTTGACAGTGAGTCGACCATACAAGTTGGGGGTGCAAAACTGCTGTTATCACAGCTATTTATCACAGCTCCGTGCTGACAATGTTGAGGGTTTAGCCGCAGGTACTCAAAGGCGTGCATCACAACAGCCAGACCAGTTACACAGAATCCAAGGCAAGATTCGGAATCAGCGTACAATTCTGCACGGTTTGGCCTTCTAGAATTGTTTTATTAGGCTCTCCAACGCCTGCGAGTCCGCCTCACGAGTCGGGGGGTCAAAGGTTTCTGCCTTGGGCTAACGCTAAGCCCACATTAAGCCCAACTTGGCGTGAGGCATCTCTCGGAATCCGAGGCCGGATTCGGAATCAGCGGACGATTGTGCACAATATGGCCTACTAAAAGAGTTTTATTAAGCTCTCCAACGCCCGCGAGTCGGCCCGACGAGTTAGTAGTCCAAAGTTGCCGTTTTGGGCAGAGAAACCCTAACGCCAAGCCTGTCCTGGCGCGAGTTGTCCCCCGACTCGCGGGTCATAGGGGGTACTCTTAGCACGGCGCTATGCGGTTATTCAAGCCTTGGGGGGCTAGGCTTCACCCTGTAGCATCGCTGAGCTCAGATCTCGAAGCAAATCACCAAATGATCAAAGACTGTTTGAGGCGACGGTGTGGGGCATATCGTATTTCAAGTTGTTCAGGGATGTCATTCCTACGTGCCATGCCAACACGCTGTGCAAAAACTGCAACCGACAGGAGAAATTAACATTGACCATCAACCTATCTCTTGTTAGCTTACGCCCCTACAACATCTTCCTGCATTTACTTCGCCATCGGTCTATGCTGTCAGCGTCAGGCTAGTTGCGCCATACGAGACGTATGGTCCCTCACACCGAAATCACGAAAACTATCCAACCGTCATGACGAAATACGTATATCTCCAAGAAATCCGCACGCAGGCGACCTATGGACTTCGATATTTTGGTTGTAATGCTGGTCGTCCTCACAACCGCTTCATCTGGATTGTCTGCGCCAGTGTCTCAATACTTAGCGCAAGGCATCTACTGGTGGAGCGGAACGTACACTATCCTCTGCTCTTATACCTCAATCAGCTTGTCGCTACTGGTCTTCTGGCGTTGCAGCCGTATCAAGGATGGCGGTATATCCAAAAGCTGTTTAGAGGAGAATCACAACCCTGGAAATCGGCAACGGGAGCAACGGCACTGATCATCTCATTGATGTGTTGTGCATGGTTGTCGACGCTATGTATCTTGCAAGCGATTCTACATTTTCACAATCTAACGACCTTAGTTATGATCACAGTAAGATAGATCTGTGTTTCTTGAACACTACTAGAGCCAGACTGACCTTGACCAGGTCATAGCCTTTTCCGTTGAAGATCTGTTGCTCTTCATTACCCGCACGACACCGCACACATCCGCCGAACTACTTCATTTAAGCCTGCTAATGCTAGCGGGTTCCGGATTGTTATACACAGAGTATCGGCTCACTGTGCCGACCCTGGCCGCATCCATTCCGGCCATGCTGTTTGCTGGACTATCTCGTGGCCTCTGGAAAATCGTTTGTAAAAACCATCCGGATATACTTGCAGAGGACATGAACCAGAAAAGCCTACACATTATTGCCGGCGCGATAGTAGGCGGAGCCTGGGCCATGGCTTTTGGGGCAGGCGATCAGAGTTTTACTCTTGACTTCAAAAACATTCCATTGCTTGCCCTTAATGCCTTCGCATCCGCTCTCGCAATACTCTTAGGAAAGTCGATAGTGCTTCCCATGAACAATGAAGTATATCGTATCTGGGACACTTCGACTCTCATTGGTATTACTGGCGTTATAGGATGCTATTCGACGTTATTATTACGTCGTTCATACACGAACCTATTCCAAATTTGCTGCTTCTTGCTTGCAATGATGTGCGCTAGCATCCCTGCTTCCGTCCTCAGAGGCAATACTCAGCTCCACAGCTCTCAAATTAAGCCTGACGCGTATGAGCTAATCAGCTCGCGCTCGACGCTATCGGGAGAAGACAGCAGTACCGTTGACCTTTTGGAGGATGCTCATGACCTCGAAATGCCGGCATCGGTGTCCAGCTCACGAAATAACATATCTTGCAAGTATTTGCTTGATATCAGTATAACCTTACTATGGCTGGCCTTTGGAGCTCTGAACTTTACTGAGCGACAAGGGCGTCGTCTTCCAGTCTTCCTTGATCAGGAATACGTACCACAATCACCAGTAGAAATTGTACTGAGCATGTACAAAGAGCCCATTGATGAAGTGGAAGAGCTCGTCAACAATCTAAAGAGCATGCCGGCGCTCTCTGATGCACGCGTCACAATCTACATCAAGGATGGCGAAGCTAATAGTACCCACGTTAGACATCAAACGGGAGCTAATAATGCTACCATACTACCGAATGTTGGACGGGAGGGCGAAACGTTCTTGAACCATATCCTTAATCAGTGGGATAGCCTTGCGCGACAGACCATCTTCCTGCAGGCAGGTATACACAACCCAAGGGAGTTTTACACCCACATTAGCAACTATTACAGTCGCTCACAGACCGGCTTCCTCAATCTTGGATTGTCAGGCGCTGTTTGTAATTGTGAAGACTGTGGCGACAGATTATTTTGGAACGATAAGGCGCACTTGTTTCCACGAATCTACAATCGGATCTACAACTCAACTACCTGCGACAACGTCCTGCTTAGTTACAAAGGCCAGTTCATAGTATCTGCTGCACGTATCCGCGGTGTTGACAAAGATATTTACTACGCTCTATGGAAGGCTTTCGTTGATAAGGGAAGCTGGGCTCATCAACCACAGATCCTGCAAGGGCCAGACTCTATGAGTGCACCAGATTTTGGATACACAATGGAGAGAATGTGGAACTTATTGTTCCAATGTTCCAATTCTGACGTAGTGTGGAAGTGTCCTTCGTTGGTAAGCAAATGGCGAATTGGGGGTGATATTGGTGATTGTCAGTGCTTCGATGTGTAGTCTCGAAACTTTGGCGAGTTCCAGAATTTTTTGTATAGATCCGTGTTGAACATCTAAGTATTCACACATTTTCCCAGTCGCTTTCGCACAGATGAAATGACTGAAGGAACAATATATAGCACTGGTGTGCATTGCTAACCCAGGAACGCTAGTACTTAGCAAGAGGATGGGAATATAGACCGGCTGTATACACAGCCGTTACGACGTTCAAAAGCTCAAAGAGGATGGAAGTTCAGATCAAGGGCCCTGCGAAGTGAGTATAGACATTATTTGTTCAAAATCGACCTAATGTCAATCCAAGCGAGCCGGGACGCACGGTGTGCCGGGACACCTTTTCTGTCGGATGCTCGGGATGCTCATACCACGCCTGTAAACTGTCAGTTCCTGCGTGTATCGATTTTGTGGCTCTGGGCCTTTTACCAGATCAGACGCCGGAGTCGTGAAATGCAACGTTGACCATGCCGTCGCTCGTTTTGTCAGTACTGCCCACCAAGTCTCGTCTGACACCCCCTTGTACATGCTCGAGGAGGCGCTTCCATCTCAAGCTTCTTGAGCTACGTCCTCCTATCCAGCCGGCCTGTACCTGGCTGCTGTCCGTAGTGCACTTATCTCCTGCGCCTGCCCGTACCGTGACACCTACACTGTCTTGTAGTTTCCTAAATTATCTTACGGGAAGCCTAGTGGGATATGGTAAACGTTCGTGAGAGTTGTGGCACATCAGGTGCCGTGTCTCACGGTCTTGGCTCGGAGTTCGTGTAGAATTTCGTGGGATGTCACGTGACCGTGAGGCTTAGTGTCCCGCCGACCCGTCGGGCGTCATTCGCACTAAACCTTCAGCGCTGCGTCGTAACTCAGGATCGTAACAATAGTTCATCAGACGAGGGCTGTTTATCTTGGTGACCTGGCACGCTCTGTTTGGTCCTCTGGCTCGGTACCGGTACCGTGCCGGCTCAGCGCTGCAAATTACGAACACTTAAGTTAACCTGCAATTTCCCGCGAGATCTCATTAAATTCATCGTACACAATCCTGCTCTTCACAGCACCATAATATACTTCCAATAAAGCCTTTAGGGACCACAGACCATATCACAGGTTCTGGCAGTATTGGCCTCGAATGCGGTCCGCGCAGAGTAGCATCATCCCTTTGACCTATTGGTACCTTCTACTCCTTAACAGTAGTTTTCGGTATTCTACCAGCCATGTCGGATAGCTCAGATTTCAGAACAGTCCTTGCTCGATGCCCAGATCTTCGGCGATCTGCTGCAATGATCTACCAGCGTCATTGTACCATAATTCCTGTAAGATCTGACCAGCTCCACAATAGTAAAGATTGTGCTCCAGTGAGCCGTCCGCAAGATCCGATATGCACTCCATGATGAAGAGTTTGTCGTCATCGCTCAAGCTCAACGACTGGGATCCAGTGATAACCAACGGGAAAAGGAGCGCCTGCCTAACTTGAGAAAACTCGTCGCTAATTTCCCCTTTCAATTCCCGCAATAGTGTGACGGCTTGTCGCACGTGCGTGTTTACGCCCTGTCCAATAGAGCCAGGGTTAAGTCCAACAATGATTGCAGCATGCCGATTTGCATCCCATATCTGTTGCTGCTTCTTAGTTCCCTCCTCGATTCGCCAGTTCATGAGCATTGGCACGACGTATGGCTGGTTGATGGCGCTTAGCAGATCGATCAAGCTGCAAGGCAACCCGGTAACCACATCGATCCCATCACGTAAACGGCAATGAGTATACCATATGTTTCGGTTGATCGTCTTACGACCCAGTATGTGAGTCGGCAAATCCAGTATTCCCATGAAAGAAGTGTAATCTTTGATCCTGCCGTCCGGGCAAGCGTAGGACTTCTGCTGGTCAAGTATCGACGCAATGCCATTGACATGGACTGTCCAAGGCACGCCACGGTTCATCTGTAGAATATCATGAGCTCGATCCTCGTACTTGAAAACAAGGAATCAACTTACACTGATGGAGCTAAGCATAAGTGCAGCGTACACGGTCGCTTCATTGGCAACGAACAATGGGTCTGAAAGCTCGCGTCTGAACACTTCTATACTCCGCTGATAGTACTGGTCTTCGAGCCCACTGTACTTCGGACTGAGTGTGGTATGGTACGCAAGACAGCTCGCTAACAGACCTTTGGATTGAGCGAAAATCTCAAAGTACTTCTCTCGCGTCGTGCCGATGCCAGGAATCAATGTGGCAGCACCCCACTGAATGACTGTCGGACGTCAGCTTCACTCTGGATCGAAGGGCAAAGAACATCACAATCGTATATGATCCCTCTTTCGGTATCTGTAAGAGATTTGTATCCGTCCTGTCTCAAGTGGTAGAGGAGGATTGCCTCGCGCCGACGATCGTTGGGTTCTTCAGTATCCGACGCATCCTTGCAAGATCCTGCTGGCAGCGTGCGAACTTGTGGGTCGTCTTTCACAAGCGCTTTTGGGGTTTGTTGCGGTTCAGTCCATCTTAGTCGAATTGTATAGCCGGCGCATCGTAGGGATAGGGCAGCACAGTTCGTGCAGTATGGTCGTTTCTCATCGCACTTCTTTCGACGCTTTCGACAGGTCCAGCAACCGGTACGAGTGCGGACGCCTCTGCTCTGCATTGGGATGTTGCAATGACAAAATATAGCCGACGGTCGGAGAAAGGACAATCTCATGGTCCGTGCCACGCTGGGCCCCGCTAGGGTCCTGCTAGAGTTGCCTGTCCCGCTCGTCCGACGTGGCGTCTCCACTCTCCGATACAACGCAAGCTGCACGCCCGGTATCGATCTGGTACCTGGACAGCAAACGTTTCTTACGATAATAGGTCAACATTTGGATGACGCACATCAAAGGCGGCAACTCTCCCGGTCAGGTGATCGATGACGAAAAGCTTTTTAATTCAGAATCGAATTGCTATAACTGATAGAAACACATTGAAGAATACTCAAGACAAAGGCAACATGCTGTGAGCCTCGAAGCCTGTTTAGGTTGCTAAGTTTTACTTGTATTGGTGATGCCTCATATGTTTCCGGGCCAGAACAGTGTGTAACAGCTCTAGACCGATATGTTGTCGTAGGCACAATTGGCAGCTGTCTGTCTATTAGGCCTCGTCTTCTGGTGCATACATGTTGCTAGCATCAAGGCTCCACGGTCTCTCTAGAGCATCCGCCTTGCGTTGCAACACTGTCAAAGCGATCGTCCATTCGCTGCAGGAAATAGGGTGCTGAGGCCGGGATTACAAGATCGTGGTCGAGTCCAAGGTATAACTGCAGATGTACCTCACTGCCCGCCTGGCAGGTTGCGTTATATGCTGACTCCACCACTTGAGGCAACACTGACACGTCCTCAAGGCCTTGAACGACGAGAATTGGCTGACAGCTCTTCTTCACCCCAACAGCTGACAGCTCGTCCAAGAGTGATATGATTCGTTGAGCTTGCTCGGCGGTGGTATTAGCCGAGAGGCTGACAATGTGGTTGATGTTGAGGTCAGTTGCGAGAGATTCCATTGAGGCGTAGCATGCCTGCGCCTTTTTGGCAAGCTCCAGGCGCTTTTTGAAGGTAGAGTCGATCCAGTCGACGGTCTTGTTCGGGTAGATGTTTTGGACACCAATCAATGCCCAGCCAAGCTCGCCGAAAACACTACGGGACGAACCCACATCGGAAGTGAAGTTTTTCGGAGATTCTGAGGCTGCGAGAGCCGTGCTGCCCATGAACACTCCTGGCGCCTGAGCGATTGTTCCGAGGTATTTGCCAGCGGGAGCCGAGCTGTTTTGCAATAAGGGGCTCTCAGCAAGCGACTAAACCGTGCCTCCACCCTGAGAGTAGCCGACGCTCATCTACTCAGTTGTCAACGAAGCGCCAAACAGTTTTCGAACAGCAGCCACCGAGTAGAAAACATCGTTGGCGTGGGCGGATAGTGCCACATACGGATGGCCAGTGTTGTCGTTGCCCAAGCCAGCGTAGTCGATCGCAACAACCGTGTAGCCTCTATCAATGAGATGCGACCAGCTGGCATACTCGTACAAGCTGGGCATGACGGAAGGAGCGCAACCTTTGAAGACGCCCGAGGTACCGTGTGCCCATGCAACTGTCTGGAATAGATGAACGTTCGTTCGATTGGCGTATGGGAAAGCGACAAAGCCAGTCACCGGGACCTTATTGCCAAAAAGGTCGATTGAGGTGTACTGGAGCCGGTAGGCAGTCGTGCCTTTCGGCACGCTGCCTGACAAGTCGTCAGAGTTGATGGGCTGAAACTTTAGGATGTCTCCCGGTACCGAAGCAGAGAAGTTATCCGCTGTCGCATAGAAATCCTCGTTGTACAGGGCGCCGTATGCCGCAGCGTCGATGGCCAGACCAGCACTGAGGGCTTTGTAGCAAGTAGCATTGCAGCCATACTCTGAGGCAACATTGGCCGATATGTTTAGGTTGGCAACCTGCGAGCTCGTGACGGCTGAAGATGGGAGCGCAGTTAAGGAAAGCTGAGACTCATGTTGGGAAACGAACGATAGTGATAGAGGATACTGTCAGTGGCAATAGGACGGCTGTACTTATATTTCTGGTGTACCCAGCCACAACCTTGCACTGCAAGCCGAGCTTCGGCCCTGTTTCATTTAGTTGTCATTTTGGCAAGACAGTGTCAATAGGTACGATTGTGGTGCGTGCTTGTAGAAAAGGCGATTATCCTCAATGGGGCACTAGCGGCAGATCCAACCTGACAACGACGCTGGGTGCAGGTACCCGGGCATCAACAGAAAGGACGGTTGGAAGTAGTTGTCCCTTGCATGCAAGAGTGTCCCTGCTGTGAGCTAGTCAGTGGTCCGAACAGGAGTAGAAAGGCGAGGAGTTCTTGTCCACTACCAACATTGGCGCCTCAGATTACCATTACGAGAAAAGCGCACGCGTTAATGTGGCTCAGGTGCGCGACTTTAGCATGGTTATTTGTACTGCGCGACCGTAAACCAGGTGCGGTGCTAGACCCTCCATTCTGACGAATGGCGGTTCGACTTTCCCGAAGTGGCTAGTTTATTTGACCCACCGATGCAAAACATAGTGGAAGCGGACGAGGAAAATTTGGACAGAACGCAAGAATGTATGGATCGTTGGCGACTCAATCCGCCTGTCTAGGGTAATTGCGTTCGGCTCGCAAGACGACTTGGAAAGACAAAACGGTCCAACTGTAACATAAGCTGGTGAGCCAAGCAAGCCGTTGGCTTGCATGAACCTCTTACCTAGTCCTTCACTTCTACAAGTTATCTTCCAACCTTCCTCTCAACTCTCACTCCTACCACATTAAAAATCTATCATGGCGGCACAGGACGTCACCCTGATCGCCTTTGGCCCCTCGGCGAATTGCACTCTCGATCTCTGCCCTCTCGAATGGAGCGTTTTTCAATATCTACCCTCAATACCCGCAAACGCAATTTTCATCAGCGTGTTCAGCCTTCTTTTGGCCGTACACCTGATACAAGGTGTGTGGTACAAGGCTTGGACTTACATGGCATGCATGGCGATAGGCTGCGGCCTCGAACTTGTTGGCTACGCCGGGCGAGTCATGCTGCATGAGAATCCATTCGACTTCAATGCATTCCTGCTGAACCTCAGTGAGCATGTGCCGAAGCTATCAATGGCTGTCTCAGCGAACACAGTTAATCTGTGACAGTTCCTATTACTATCGCTCCAGTCTTCTTTTGCGCCGCAATATACGTCCAATTGACGCAAGTGTACGTGCATCGCGCTTTCCCCTCATATCATTCGGTCTAGGCCGCCTCGCTGACCGGACTCCTTAGTATAAATTACACAGACCGGTCCATATCGCGCTTCAACCCGCGCTTCATCAGCTTCATCTTCATCCCCTGCGACATCATCTCCCTCGTGCTGCAAGGCACTGGCGGCGCCTTGTCAGCCGGCGCCGAAACCGTTAGCGAAACTGACCTCGGCGTTGATGTCTCGAAAGCGGGTTTAATCTTTCAAGTCATCACACTTATAGTGTTCATCGGGCTATCCGCGGATTACTTTTTTGCATTGAGGAGGAGGCACAGGAGGATTGGAATGAAGACGGAAAGAGAGTTGAGAATCGTGTTGGGGTGGTTGAGTGCCGCGACAATTTTGATTCTAATCAGGTGTGTGTTTAGGATTGTGGAACTCAAGGATGGGTACTTCGCGCCGGCCTTTCGCGACGAGGGAACCTTCATAGCGTTCGAGTCGGTGTAAGTGCGAATTTCGAGATGAAGGTTGCGAAGCAAGCTGATCAGAAGCAGGTTCATGTGCATCGGAGTCGCCTGCATGAATATCGGTCATCCTGCACGGGCTTTTCGAACCCGACTAACGACGACCGAGACCATAAGTCCAATAGAGTTACGGCGATCAAAGTAGCTGCAGAGCACAACCAAGGTAGTAAGAGATGCCTAGACAATGTGACACGGATTGTTCGGACAGTACGCAGGCGGGGAGAAGCTGAAGGATTGGTTTTATCATCCTACATGCCATGGAGGAGAGCTATCCTTAAGAAATAAGAAAATGTCTTCGTTGGTGCTGTCAATATGTAGTCGCGCGATGTAGTAACCAATCAGCAGTTAAGCGCCTATGCGGACAACTGCAAGCAGACACCTCAGCCGTGACCCCCCCCCCCCCCCCCCAGCTGGCATTGACAATTACTTAACAGTGAACCACAGCTAATCGTACTTGGTTATAAGTAGATGTGTTTAGTGTTGACGACAGGAACTTTATGCTGCTCCTGCCCGAGCTGCAAAATATGGAGAAGAACAGTGGCTCTGTAGTAGCGGAGCGGTATCGCAGCAGAGGTAAGTGTGAGGGCACTGTAGGCAGGCAATCGGACATAGGATGGATTGGGGCCATCTGGGGCCAAATGGGATGAGATTAGACAAATCCTTGATGGCTGAGCCTCAAGGTTCGTGAGGAATATATACAGGTGGCCTGTGAGCCTCCGGTCCATCTCCGGAGTCTGTCCGAGGGCTGGCCGGTACATGTAAGTGTTACGATCAAAGGGCAACCCGCAACAACACTGAACAAACAGGACTACGCAACCATACGAGAGAAGCCGAAGAACTGTAGTATCGATCGACCCGAGCAGTGGGGCCGCGTCGGCGATACTCAGTATGATCATGTCAGAGTTCAGTGAAAAACTGTACGCAAAGGAAGAAGTTGAAGATTGTACTGAGGTTGTATTGAGTGAAGCTATGAACAGTATATATAGGTGAGTAGCTGTAAACAACGCTAGTGTGACGTGGCAGTCACTCTCATGGAGGTGAGGTACGACAGGCAGGAGCACCCCAAACCGTGACAGATCATCACTCTCAGTTGAGCAACTGAAGCGACTCGATCGACCCGAGCAGTGAGGCAGCGTCGGTGATACTCGGCACGAGCAGTATACTCGGTACGATCAGTATCCTCAGTACCGAGCGATCTGAGCCATCCTCCCGCTCAAGTATATAGCAAGTAGACACGCTGCCCTTATGGCATCGTGTTCAACCTCGTCAATCAACTTTGTTATTGGAATCTCACTCGCTCTTGAGCCAGACAGTATACTCTGTACTACTTATTTCCCCCAGTCGTCACGGCCTCCGGCTAGACGGCTATTACCTCGACTATTGCAAAGGCTACTACCGCCTCGCCCGGATAGTCTACCCCTGACCACCCGAGCCTTGCTTAGGTGACTGTCAAACCCCTACGGACTCCGTGTACCTCCGCTCATCCCCGAGAACCAATCGAATAGTGTCTACAAGATTTGCCTAAGGCACGAATCGCAACACAACCACAACTTGCATTGCAATTTGGAACAGTGCGTTTGATTTGTACTACGCTGCTCTATAGATATAGACCTTGAATGCAAAACCTTTCTTTCCTCAAAGGTGTCCTAACCCTGACCCTGAATCCAACGACGACGGTGGAATGCCAGTAGTTCCAACGACAGCCTGGTAGATGGGCCTGTACAAGTTGCATCTGTAGTCCAACTGGCTCTGCGGGGAGACTATTACACCAGCACCTTTCACCCTGCCGACATCACCTAATACACCAAGATTCCAATCCCCAGTTGTCACATTCCCGCTGGTGCCGTAGTGCCAGCCACCAGTGACCTGTTCATACGCTCCGGAAAGCACTGGACCAGCTCGACCAGTGCCCACGGGGTTCCATCCTGGACCTGCCAAGGGGTTCTTCGCGAAGCGCGCCCAAGCGCCTTGCATAAAAGAGGACAGCGCAAACTCCTGAGTCGTGATGTTGGCCTTTTGATAAGTACGAAAAACGAGCGGGATTTCCGAGGCGTGGTAGGCACCGAGTTGCGGGTAGGCTTGGGTGTTGGTGAAGGAGGCGTTGAAGTAGTAGCGCCAGGTGGGTATGCCGACGCTGGCGGTGGCGTTTGCCCAGAGTGCTGCAGGGCACTGAAAGGCAAAATCAGTTATCACTGCGGAGATTGCGTCGTAACCGTTGTTGATTCCCGGACTGCCGATGGGGTAGGCTGCCGCAATTGCTGAAATAAGTGCAGGGGCTGCGCTGAAGGTGGTTTGCAGGTAAGCCGTCAAGTTGGTTTGCCCCACCGCAAAGACTCTGCGAGATGTCAGCAAACATACATGCTTACGGCGATATAAATTCACCGTCCTTCCTGCGAGTTTGAACCTCCCAGAACAGGGATGTTCGAGATGTTGCCGCTTAGCCTGCGCGCAGCTGGATTCGAAAAAAGGGTCACATTATCAGCAACCGGATTGAAGATCAGCGAGTTGACTTCGATGATCCTCTTAACTTCTGTCGCATTCGACGCTCGCACACACGTCAGGTTGCTGCCGTGAGTGCCGGGGCAGCCGAGGGATGCTGTGAGATTGTTCCACGCTGGGACACTGGAAGTCGGCGGAGCCGAACGGTAGCTGTATTGACCACTCTGCAAAATGGCAGCTCGGAACGGAGGCTTACTATTCTTGGGGTAGCTGGTCAGAAGCGCATCGACGGAGAAGGCTCCAGCGCTTTCGCCGAAGATGGTCACTTTAGTTGGATCACCGCCAAACGTGTGGATGTTGCGCTGTACCCAGTGGAGTGCAAATCGCTGATCGAGGAAACCCAAATTCTGTCCAGTCACCGGTAGCTCGGGAGACGCAGGAAAGCCAAAGACTAGTGAGCTTTAGAGATGGATCAACAATGGGGTAACCGCTAATACTGACCGTTCGTCCTGTAGTTTGTCGTCACGACGATAACATCCTCATACTCAGCGAAGGCGCTGCCATCGTAGGTTGGTAGGCCTGAGCTTACGTTAGACGTACTCAGACGTTCGTCGTTGGTAGCATACCAGCAGTGCCAAACTGCAAGGAGCCTCCATGGAGCCAAAACATCACAGCTCTTCCATTGCCGCCCGGCGAACCAGATGGTGCGTACACGTTGAGATACAGGCAGTCTTCGGATTCCACAGGTGGTTGGCCCTCGGGATTGTTGAATACGCTCTGAGTAAACTGTTGACTTGCCAGGGGGTTTGATCGCTGGTAAGCTAAAATCTACTGTAGCACTTCTGAGCTCACTTACATCTAAACTGCTGAATACATGCTGGTTTGAACGCCGTAGCATTGATTGGTTTGCCGAAGGTAGTGACGTTGCGTGGCGGCGAGAACCTCTCAGGGGGCGACTGAGCGAAAGGAATTCCAAGAAATTGATTTACGGTTGGTCCGAGGCTATCTGGAAGGTGCGTTGCTTTTCCAATCACTACGCCAACATCGATCGTTGCGGTCGGCGTAGGATTGTACTCAAGAGTTGAAACCAGTGCAGGAAGAGCCAGGGACAGGACGCTGTTGTCGAAGCGCATCGTAAAGGTTGTGAAGAGTTAGAATTCGAAAGACGGACTTTCCTGGGTCATTTTCCTATGTATGCCTTATGTAGGTTATCTGACAGAGCCAACCATGGGTGCTCGGGTACGCTTCTGGGAACCGAGGCCGCTTCGACCGGAGCACCTGTCCCGTCAATACAGTTGGCGTGCATGGCATTCCCGTGTGGTCTGGTGCACCCATACAGATGGGCTTGTTGATCTGCGATACCGAGGTATGGCTGGCAGGTAGACCCTGGCACGTCTGGTTTTAGTTTGGCAAGGCTGCTGCTAGTATGCAAAGTCTTTGTCGGTGGACTAGGCAATGGTCCCAAATGCAGACACGCTTTTCGTCGATAAGGACCTGTGCCCGCGGGCACCTTCATAAGTAGCACATGTCGATCCAAGTAGTCAAAAACCTGATAATCGTGCTGATGGATGTTAATTCCTTTTGTTCGTTGTTAGTGGTGCTAGAGAGAGCGTTCGAAACGGCAGGGGGAAGTAGGCCGAGGCAGGCGCAGGTGGATCATCTTTGCGGGGTACATCCAGCCACAAGATCTGACAGGCATCGTATGCGTCGTGTACTATGGTATCCGGCAAAAGTAGTGTACATGGCCAATGCACAGCAGGGGTGTTGCCTCGGGTAAGTGGAATGGCCCTACTGACCAAGAATACTGCAAATACTATCTAATTTGTATTGAACCAAGATATCTCCTGTCTACTGCTTCATCAACGTGTCATCTATCATCACCCTCATTATGTCACCGCCATCAACACCCCATCACCGGTATCTCTCACGCGATGAGCGCCTGAAGGTTCAAACCTTGTCAGATGCTGGCCACAGCCAATCCTTTATTGTTAACCACCTTGGTTTTACTCGACGACAAGTTGGCTATGCAATTGCCTGTAACCAAGTCACACCTAAGAAGAGATCAGGCCGGCCACCCAAGCTCACCCATGAGCAGGTTGATGAGCTGATCTGCTTTGTCTGTCAATCCCGAGCCACCCGACAGATGAGTTACCTGGCCCTTGCTAAGACCTTTGATCACTGGGGAGCAACAGAGTACTCAGTGCGTTACGCTCTACGCAGCAAAGGCTATACACGCTGTATAGCTCTTGCTAAGCCACCGCTTACTGAAGATAATAAGAAGATCCGCTTAGAGTGGGCTAAGCAGCATGTTGGCTGGACCTTAGAGCAGTGGTGGAGCATACTGTGGAGTGATGAGACCTGGGTAACTGGGGGCTGGCATAGGAGGAAGTGGGTAACAAGGTTACCTGGAGAGGAGCTTAATGACACCTGTATCGTTGATAAGGTGCGCAAGAAGGCAGGATGGATGTTCTGGGGTTGCTTTTCAGGGGATACAAAGGGGCCACATCTGTTTTGGGAGAAGGAGTGGAAGAGTATCAACAAGGAGAGGTACTGTGAAAGGATAGTTCCTCTTGTTGATGGCTGGTTACGTATGAATCCTCACCTACAGTTCATGCAAGACCAGGCCCCAGCCCACTCAGCAATCCTGACGAGGGAGGAGCTTTCTGAGAGGGGTATTCATCCCATCTTCTGGCCTGCATTCTCCCCTGATCTCAACCCTATTGAGGCAGTGTGGAATAAGATGAAGGACTATATAGAGCTACACCACCCAGACTTGCCTGGTGGTAAGCAACATACTCCTGACCAACTCAGAAGTATTGTACAGGAGGCCTGGGAGTCAATTACCCCTGAGCTCCTTCAGAGCCTCATTGAGAGTATGCAAGCTTGTTGCCAGGCAGTAATTGATGCTGAAGGAGGTCACACAAAGTACTGAGATTTGTATGTAACAAAAGACTGAATGGAGATTAGTCTACTTCAATCTCCGGAGGCAACACCCCTGCTGTGCATTGGCCATGTACACTACTTTTGCCGGATACCATAGTATACGCTGAATCCCGTACATGACGCTCATATCGAATACCCCTCCGCATCCCGGAGTGAACTTGACGGATGAAGCTAAAAGATTAAGTGAAGTGCAAAAGACCGTATGACGTCACTATTGCCGTGAAAGTAGGTGATGCGACATAATCATTGGGGAGCAAGGAGTCAAGAAAAAGGATTATTGATTTATAATGGGGCAAGCCATCTACCTATACTTCGGTGTTACATGTGTCATGTGACCTCCTCCAACACGACGCACTGATTTGTCTCCATCACTTGTCCAGACCTGAACATTCAGCAACCAATCTTGAGAACGAACCGAACAGTCAAAGGCCTCAAAATTGGTGAAACCGAAGTGTTAACTTGCGGTCGAGACCTAAGTTTCTCCGTACCACCCGACGAATATTCATTCGCCGTGCAAGCACTTACCAACTATTGACCAGCAATAACCTCCGCGCACATCTCAGCAAGCGCATATACAGTGCGACTCGTCATAGCCCCCACGGGCTCCGGGAATAAATTCACATCGCACACCCTCAACCCGCCTACCCCTTTCACCCTGAACTCATCATTCAACACACTGCCCAATGCACAACTCCCCATTGGATGCGCAACCGTCATGGCGGACGCCCTCACCCTCTCATCAATCTCTTCGTTGCTGCTGTGAGAATAGAGCGCCCTGAAACAAAATAGGAGCAACCTTGTTGCAGTAAATGCAATAAGTGAAGGTGTAACCGCGCAGGGTAGTCGGTCAGGGGTAACCGCGCGAAGCAGTAAAATCGGTATATATTCTTGTTGTTCTTTTTCAGTGTTCTGTCTCTCTCACCGGGCCATCAGGGTCTGTTTACATGACGTATCTGTCGTTCAGACAGAGGTAGAAAGGGCTTGTCGGAAAGGGCAAGAGCACTGCGCCAACACACGTGGCACACATGACCTCTATACTCCATTAACCGTCACAAACCTCGCCCTCAATCTCATCAGCAAGCGGCCATGTCTCGACAAGGCGAAGATTGCCGCGTATAGTGCTGCGCATTATAGAGCGATCTGTCTCCGTGCTAAAGAACTTAGAATGGCACATGGGATGATCTCCTGGGTCCTTGGATCTGAACGTGACTGTGCCTCGAGAAAGTGGTAATAGATGCAATGCCATAACGGATATGTACGCGCCATCGTCGTTTATGCTAGGATACAAGGCAAACGTGCGAGGCGAGAGTAGTAGGATACTATGCTAATGTGATGACCCTTCTTCGCGACCAACATTGGGTGCTCAACGACACTCTGCCTATCGGAAGCAAGGCAAGGTGCGAGTTCATCCTCGGGTATGGCGGTGAACAGGGAGAAGTCAATGGGCATGCCTTGTCCGTAACTGTGATGGGAATTGCTGGTGAAGGGTTTGGAGTACCCTTTGGACGCATGTTTGAGTCTGTAACATGCGGTAAGGGCGGAGTGGTCGAAGTAATTCTGGCCTACGGCTGGCGAGTTGACCAGGAGGGGGGATGTTGTGCCGGTGTAGCTTCTCGGCCGGAACGATACCAGAGAGCATTAGTAGTTGTGGTGTACGTTGCGCACCACAGCAGACTATGACTTCCTTGGTAGCTTGAAGAACGAGTCCGGATTCAAGCTCGATGTCCGGTTGCGCACCTGTCATTGTTTAACACTACGCGGGCGACGGGTGTGTTGCAGAAGAGATGGGCCTTGCTCAGATCGTATACCTTCGCGCTATGCTGCCTGGTCGCACTTCCCTCAGAAGTCGCACAGAAGCATCGCACGAAGTCCGAAAGTCCTATGGGGTCGCTGTCGGAGGGGTGAAGGTATCCACCGATTGCCATCTGTTTGCTAGCGGTCCACTGCACTGATTGTGTTTGCTAGCGGTCCGCTGCAGTGACTGTCCAGCTCATTTGGTTAGTGCTTCCCACCCTTCACTGCTATTGCCTTCTACTATATAGTCCCGATCGATTCCAGCCAATAGCAAAAAGAATCAATCAACATTTCAACCCCTCCACAGTCGCCCTTTGTGGCGTTGGAGTTGTAGCGGTGACCGATGTTCTCTGCACTCTTCTGGATGATGTCGCGCATGGGATACCGTCTACCTCCAACGGCGTGAATTGGTCCATCGAAACCATAGTATTCCTCATCAGCCCCATTGTCGAAGTGAGTCTAATCTATTGAAGTATTTGACTATGTTCTTAAACAAGAACCTTTCGTGTCCAGCTTTTTGGCAATTACATCGTGGTCTGCAGTTGAAGCGCGCATCCAACTCCCTACATTCACGCCGCTCAAGCCCGATAGTAGGTGGCCGGCGGGATGGGCGATGTTCAGATGCTCTTGCGGAATTGTTGAGTAGTCGGCGACCATGCCCTCGCCCATCAACTCGATCTAAGCAATCGTGTCGGAGACATCGTTGACTTTGGGATGGTTGGTCGCGTTTGGGCCGGCTTCGACGAAGGCTATGCGTGAGGATGGGAGGTATTGAAAAAGGCGGGACGCAATGACTACGCCTGCTGTACGACCGCCGACGACGATATAGTCGTGGTTGGTGTCCATGATTAGGCTTGAGTTGATGCAAAATTGTTCCAAGGCTTGACGCAGGGCGTCTTCTTACTTTTGCTACTCAATCAGTTTCCGAGCCACCGGTAGTCAGACTGACATAGGCAGCGAGATGCTAGAGTGGTCGTTCGGTCGATGTATGCTTATTTGGCTTAGTAGGTAAGCGGAAAGGAAAGTAGGCTGGCCGAGGATGACCTGGGATTGGTAGTTACCCGAGCATTTCACTAGCTGAAGATTATCTTACATTTTGACGCGAGTCAATGCGTACACAAACTCTTGTCATTGGATGTTTGCAAAGGTCTCCTCGGACGATGTAGGGTTCATACATACGAACTCTGTCCGGAGGCATTATGCAACACAATGGAGGCTCGAGATCGGATGCAGTAACGCTATTCTTGTTCGTCATAAAACGCCAGCAGCGGAACTACAGCAAAAACATGAGAAACAAACAACACGCAGAACATCTTACAACTTACTGTCTTCCACGTGCAGGCTCGTCCCCCGAACAACACTGCCTCTCCTTTTGTCCACTGACTCAACATCCTCCTTCGACCCATTACCATGCTCATAGATATTTTGATCCCTCAGGTTCTTAAAGTTTTTCTCGGCCTCCCAGTTCCAGATACTGTCGCTCGCAAACAACAAATCAATCTCCTCAAGCGTGCGCTGGTTCGTTTCGGGATACAGCGCCCACACCATTGGAATTGTGATGGCATTGCATGCAGCGAAGATATACAGCGTCTTCTCACCAATCGCGCCGAACATGATCGGGCAAAGCAGCGTAAGCCAGCCGTTACCGATGGACCAGCCCACAACTCCCCAGGCGTTACCTTTGGCTCGGACTTCCAAGGGGAAGATCTCAGCGGGGTACAGCCATGGAACTGTCAGCCATGTCGCGCCGAAAATGGAAGTGAAGATGAAGACCATGGAGACAGCTGCATTTCCGTACGCAGAAGCCTTGCTGGCATCGCCGTTGTTCGTCGCCTGTTGACCGAGGTATGAGAATGCACCAGCAAGCGCCATCGCGATGCCCTGACCAGCGGAGCCCCAGTAACAACTCCAGCGACGACCGATACGGTCGAGCGTGAAGACACAGATGAGCGTGGCGAACATGTAGAAGATGTTGTTCAGTCCGGAAATCCACTGCCGCTTCGCAGGACTCATGCCAGCGATTCCAAAGATTGTGGGCGCATAGATGGTGACGCCTGCAATGCCGACCCACTCCTGCATGATCTGAAGCCAGATAACTAACTGCACACGTCTACCAGTATGCATCTTGCCAGATCCAATACCGAAGAGCATGTGGAAATAGCTCTGCTTGCGAAAATTGGATCGCTCAAGCTCGCAGGACGCAACAATGTCTTGGAACTCCGCCTCAGCCTTCTCCCTGTCGGCGCCCGTGTCGCCACGGAGTCGAGCAAGCACATAGCGACCTTCGGACTCGCGACCGACTTTTACAAGCCACCCTGCTTGAAGTTAGTTCAAGGATGAGAGAATACAATAAGGGCAACACTTACGAGGAGACTCCGGGAAGAACAGGACGCCGGCCATGAGGCCTATGAGCATGGGGATCTGGAACGCGATCGGGAAGCGCCAGATAAAGGAGGATGTGCCGTCGCCGTAGAAAGAGCAGGCATACTCGAGCCAGTACGCGATGACGACACCGAAGATGTTTAAAGTGAATTCGATAGCGATGAATTGACCACGGGAGGTGTGTTCAGCTGTCTCGGTTGCCCAAACGGGAATGATAGAGTTGAGGATGCCAGTTCCCCAGCCATTCACCAGACGCGCGCAGATCATCCACTCGTGGTTCATGGCCGAACACTGCAGACAAGCGCCAACATTCGCGACCGCAGCACCAGTAAAGATGGTCTTGATACGTCCGTAACGGTCACCGATAGATCCTCCGATCAAGCAACCGACCAGGGTTCCTAGGTAGTAGACAGAGACAATACCTCCCTGAAGCAGGGCGTCATCGACAACGGGTTCGCCATCGGCACCTTTGTGACCGAAACCCATGAGGGTGTAGTAGTCGTATGCGGTGTTGACGCCGCCCATCATTCCTTGGTCATAACTGTTTAGGTCAGAGGATGATTTACGACCGAAGGTGTTTGTGCATACCCAAAGAAGAGGATGGAGAGACCGGCGATACAATTGATCCTGAGTGAATTGTGAGTTACCAACACGTATCTCATGGCAAGTGATCTTACGCTATGAGCAGACTGCGCTTCTCATATCGATGCACAACGTTAAGCTTGTGGATCTTCTCCATATCGACAACTGCCTTCCGGGTGCGCAACAATTGACAGAATCCCGAGTAACTGTGAAGAGAGCGACGAATGGGCTGGAAGAAGCTGCCAAGAAAATGCAGATTCGTGTGGTCCGAAGCAAGGTATGATGTTACTTTATATGTGGATCTCAACCAAAGATTCTGCGGGGATAACGAACCATGTCATAGTGGGATCCGCATTGTCATGAACGTGGAGAACGCTCCCCATGGGATCCTACAGTGGAGCCCCATGTTCAGCCTTCAGCATGTTTAAAGAAGCGAGCAACTGCCAAATATTAGGGCAGTAGCACTCGTCAGCAGCCATAGTGCATGCGGAGTAGTCGATTGATAGACTGCACGCTGATGGTGACAGTACGCGTTGTTCGGAGAGAGGAAGCATCAGCGGCACGAAGCCCATCGAACTCGGTAACACGCCGTGCCGTTGCTGCAGGCTTCGGGAGGCTCCACGTGAACAGAAGCTTCGCGCACAGCCAGAAACCCTTGCTCCATCGGAGCACAAACCTCCGCGACAAGAGTTTGCAGAATAACCGTACAATCTTCACTCCAACATGATAGTTTGCCTCGGATGTTGAGTCCCATCGAGACCATGCAGCTTTTCTCCTAGGTGCGCGGCGTCAAAGAACCCCCACGCGCGAAATCTGGAGTCTGACGATGGCGATGTATGTTGTGCGCTCACATGCGATTGGCCGGGGCTATTCGGGGAGGACAAGTGGATCGTGCGTAAGGCCACCCGTCGGCATTTTGATTACGCCCTTGCGGCTCAGTCGCTGCGTACTGTGCCGAATGTTCCACGAGTAATTCAAAATAGGATCACACTCACAGCGCCGGACGTAATTCGCGAATAACAAGTTTGGAGTTGTCTGATGTATTCAATTGTTGCGCTGACTGTACGAAGAGGCTCGTCTTTGGAAATGCACCACATCTAGCAAAACCTTTAGATGGAGTAGCGCACCATCAAAACGCAAGTGTGCCTAGTCCATAGATGAAATGATTAGTCTTTGTACAGCGAGGAGGTATATAATACATCCTGGTCAGAGTTAAGGCTTGTGTTGTCGTGGATCAGGCTTATTGATTCAATGTATGACGCACTAGGCAGGACTTGTCTCGTCTTCCTTGTAGAAGCAACGCGCATTGAGCTCGTTGCATTTCGAGCACACTGGTCGGCCGTTGTTGCATATCGTCTTGCGCGTACGACATAACTGAGAGGCAGTGACAGAACGTTTCCGTGGGAGTTTTGCACAGGCATTCAGGGAGTCTGAATTGGGTAGGAGCTTCCTCTTCCTTGAGATGCCCTACAGCTGGCCATGAGACGCCCCGCGGTGAAAACCGTCACCATTGTCAGCAACGAGGTCTTCGTGCAGTGCTGCAGAACCCATAACTTGTGGGCATGGTGACGCGTCAGGTCTGATCAATTCATATATTTGGTCTATGAATGTTGTGCAGCAATCGCATCTTGATGGTCGTCGTCATAGAAGATAAAGGAGTGATCTTGGGGCAGCACCCTTGTTTCCCAAGCGCGCTAGCAGGTTACGTAAGCGATCTTAGGCTCCGCAGAGGATCTCCGGACGGCAGCCTCGCGTTCACCGCCAGAATTCATCACCTCGATCTCATCTGATGTTCATCCTGCCCAACCTCGACCTACAAATTGGTCGAATGCGGTCATATAAGGATGTCAAACCTTCTCGAGCTCCTCGCAAATTCCACACCAAGGTCAAAACTGGCTGCAAGACATGCAGGATACGCCGTGTAAAATGTGACGAGAAGCGGCCCGGTTGCCTCAAGTACGTCTGCTCAAACGCAAGCAACTCTAGTTGCTCACCAAGTCAGGTGCACCAGTACAGGCCGCACTTGCGATGGCTACATCCTGAATCAGATCGACTACCAAACACAAGTGTCCGGCTATGCTCACATGAGACTGCTGACTCCGAGCCAAGCGCTGACAACGCTTGTGGAGCCTGACGGTCATGTTCACTACTTGGAATTTTACTACCATTGTGTTGGGCCTATGCTCTCTGGTCGTTTCGACACAGAGTTCTGGTCGCGCACAATACTGCAAATGGCACATGCTGATCCTGGTGTTCGCTGTGCATTGATAGCTCTGGCGCACTTGAACCAGCAAGAGAATGGCAGCTTGCAGCATGCTCGGCAAACTGCAGCCAACGAAAACAAGTCTGAACGCAGGCTGTTCTGGTCAAACTACAATAAGGCTATCAGACACCTTGTTGACCAAATGGCTCAGCCAGCGTTTTCAGCGGAAGTAGGACTCGTAATCTGTCTGCTTTTCGCCTGCATAGAGTTCCTACAAGCAGAACCCCACACAGCGTTCACTCATATCAGGAGTGGATTGAACATCGTGGCCGAGCTGAGACAACAGAACAAGACTGGTTCGTTGACACAGGCAATTGAACCACGCCAGGTGCGAATCAGCGTGCGATCAAACATGATCGAACAAACACTGGTGCCTATCCTTACTCAAGCTCTGGCATCTGCTCTTCCCTACGGCGCAAGCCTTGACAAAGACTTCACTTTCCTTGAGTCTTGCCCACAATACTTCCAAGGGCATGCTTTTACCAGCCTAATCGATGCCCGGTCTTCGTTCTTTGATCTGCGGAACGCAGCCATTCTGCTAGCGCGGGATATGGCAGTCAAGCTGTACGGGTTGACGCCAGTAACACCGGCAGACCACAGGCGCCGAGATCTTATTCTGGAGCGCCACCGCATTTGGCTGCGAGCTCTGCAAGCTTTCGAAAGTTCACAAGAATTATCTAAGAGGGACATGCTGGCTATCAGTGCCCTCAAGCTTGGATACTGCTCCAGCTTCACCGCTTGCTCTTGTATAATGGACAAGACCCAACTGTCGTTCGACGCGCACCTCGCCAACTTCCAAGCTCTTGTTCGGCACGCTAGGGATCTGACCAACTCGCTGGACCTGGACCGCCGCCGCCGACCAAGTCGAGCATCCAATGCTGCCGCCAACTTCACTTTCGACACCTCCTTCATCCCTGCGCTCTTCTATACTGCCATACGTTGTCGCTGCCCTACTACGCGCCGCCAAGCTGTTAGTTTACTGGACCTTGATCTGCCGCGCGAAGGCCTCTGGGATCCGGAGCAGCACCGAATCGTAGCTGAGCGTGTGATCGAAATCGAGGAAATGGAAGTCGATGCGAACGGCTGGCCCACAGAAGCGTCGAGGCTTTGCATGAGCAGTGTTGGGACCGATGTTGATGAGTACAATGGATTCCAGGCGAACTTCTTGTACACAAAAGATCTTGCGATGGCAGCAACGCAGACTTGGAGTGAACGACTTACACTTGGTGAAGGTGGCAAAGAGTCGCTTTCACTTCATCCCAAGCAAGCTACCATGCTGATCGTGCAATGACTTTGACTCCTTTTCTCCTTCCCATTGAAAAGCTTTAATGACCCCTACACAATAGGCAACTACACCAATCCTGCAGTCGACCTGAAGCGTACAAACTCAGCGGCCGAAAACGAACAACATGGACATGGAATACACCCTTAAAGCCGTCAACGTCAAGATGTCAGAAGCGACACCGACACCGCAGCAAGGTTTCAAAGATCAGGCTTTACTGCCTGTCAGTCAACCAAGGATGTCGAGATTCACGACTGGGATACTCAAGGGTTCTGGCTGGGTTCCACGCGATTGCTCATGGCACATGCTGCGCACAGGAGCCGTCGCTGGAGTTGACGCACTTTTCGAGCGCCATAATGAAGAGCGCACTAGGTGCCTGCCTACTGCGACACCATCGGAAAGGATAGACGATGGTTTGAGCCCTGCTAAGCACGGCGACGGAGAAGCGAACGACATGCCGGGAAAGTTCCTGGACTATGAATTCTACTTCTGCTACGCGGGCTGGACCGGGTACGCATCGCTCGAGAACGACAACAGTAGCCCTGCCCAAGCACTAGCCGAAGGTGGTCCATCAAAGCAAGTCGTAACTCCAGCCGCTACAGCAGTAAGTGTACTGCAAGCGAACAGCGCAAGTACATCTACTGCGCTTGATCACCTACGCGGACCATCAGCAACATCTGGCCGCACGCACGAGGCCAACATCGTACATAATGACGAACAAACCATCACCCAGCCGCTACCACGAATAAGGCAAACCAATCATTTCTTCCACACAGAAGAAGACGCCTGGCTCCTGCTGCTGCATTCCAGGATCAAAGCCGCCGCCGAAGCAGGTCGCGCGATCATGCTCCTCGGCCCAGCCGCCATCACGACAGCGTTCAAAGTTTTCCTCGAGGGTCGCATGATGAAGGATAGACACAAGTCCGATCTTCCTCCACGCGAAAGAAGCCATGAGAAACGGCAGTGAATTCACAGCCGCCCCGACCGAGAGGGTGCGCGAGTTGTCGGGAGTGCTTCGATTGGTCAAGGCAGAGCGGGCGAAGAACCTACATACGAATGAGGACGATATCCCTGTGAAATACTACACGTGGAAGACGGACAAAGACTGGTCGGACAAGCACACCCTCCGTGTTTACGGAGCGTCGACTTCCGACGAGGCATCCATCCTGGTGCAGGCTCGGACGGAGCACTGTGGGCTGAACGCTTGTCTGTTCAGGAAGAAGCTTGCAGACAGTCCGGCATGCGAGTGTGGACGTAGTGATGAGACAGTGCTACATGTGCTGCTGCACTGCGATAGGTATCCTGAGACCTGCAAGACACTGCGGGAAGCAGCAGGTGACAGGTGGGGAGACGCTTCGTACTTGGGAGGAGGATGGAGTGGTCGTAAGGATGCTATGACGGGCAAGTAAATGCACACAATCAATCAGTTCAAATTTCAGAGCGCCGACTTGATTGATTGAGATGGAAACTATGGATTGATTGATTGCTAACGTAAGCAATGGATAATTTGATTGATTGATAGATTGACCCTTGGCGACGCCAAGTCCCGCTGCCTACATGCCATCGTATGCATCGTCAGAAGCGCCCGACGATCCATCTAAGTCGGAAGTCACGCTTCATGACTCTATCATAGCCACTGTTTTCTCCAAAAAAAAGGACTGCCATCCAGGTGAGCCACTCCCTATTTGAGCCAGCTTTTCATGCAAATAAGTTGTTGCATCGACTTGCTCGTTAAACGACTCCGATGTGGCGACAGTAGGTGCCCAGTCTGTGAGAAGATACGTTCGGGCTCGTCCGGCATTGCCGGTACTGAACATATATCTAGTGCCATTGCCGCTAGCTGCGGCCACACATCCTTCTTGCCAATCCAGTAAGAAATCGGTGACTTGTTCACAGGCAGTGATTTGTCATGAGGAGGTTCCGCGTAATACTGTTCCAACTGGTCCACAGACGCTCGCAGTTCCTGGTCATCGTCCGACCACTGATCCACTTGGGTTGAAGCCCTCTTCGACGGATTCGGTCTGTCATCTAAAAGCTCATCGTACTTATAGCGCCTCAATACCTGCTCGATGGTGACCTTGGCTTGATCTACCCATTCTTGGCCCCAGCCCAGTGTTTCTCGAACCAACGCCAATTTCTGATGAGGATGTAACACCACAGCAGCAGAAAAGATCGGTAATTGATCAAGCCGGGTATAGCGTTCGTCCAGCTTTTGCCAGCAAGATTGATGTTGGTACTGAAATGGTGCTCGGCGGTGAGGTATTCAGTACTCGGTGACGCCTCTGATGCTTGATCCACGTTGTGATCTCCTGCTGGCCGGTGACTGTAACGTTTCTCCTCCAGATGGTTCAACAATTGGTCGAATACAGGAAGCCTCTGCCATATGGCGCCGTTACAACCTTCGATTTGTCCTTGAAGGAGCAGGGTTGCGCTGCTGAAAGGCTGGGGTATTTCATAGTACTGCATCACTACATCCCGGTTGACCGACGTAAGCTGATCTTGCAGCACCGGTGGCTACCTCCATCTCACATACCGCCTCCTGTGTCGCCTCAGCTCCGGGCATTTCCTGGGACTTATCCACTTGTCACGCTCTTCCTCGATGAAGTCATCGATGGAGACACGGAGCGTATTAGCACGCTCTGCGCAGTCATCGAAAGAGTTCCACCGAATGAAGTTGACCTTCACAAGCTTCAAAACGGTAGCATTTTCCATATCAGCATTGTTCTTTCGTTGATGTTTTCAAAAGCCTCGATGCGCTGCGGGGATGCCGTAATGTACCTAACAACGTTGTGCAGTTTCCCTGTCGGCCCCTTCTTACGTCACTTGCCAAGTTCGTGCTCTACAAAAGAAAGATTCTGTAGCTCCAACTCGAATGCGTTGACGTCGCTTCCAAAGGGAATTGCCTTTGCAACAGGATTCAAGATATGGCCAGCGCAGAGCACGTGGTGCTCGGGGCCCGTGAAGCCGAACTCTTCCCTGAGGAACTGAAGGCATGTGGTGTTGCTTGAGGCATTGTTTGTGACGAAGTACTCCAGCTTGCTGCCGATGTCGAACTCGCGGATGACCTCGGCCACCGTCCTGAGATACTCTGGCCGCAATGGCTTCCTTTTTAACGAGGGAGGCTCAGTAGCACAGTCTGCGGTGCGCCCGAATGATCGAGGAAGTGCGCGAGCTGGTTTCCTGACGTCCACAAATCAAAAGAAAAGTTGATTCGCGTTGGCGCCGAACGAATCACCGCTTTGGCGACGTCAATCTGCTGGTCGTAGGCTTTGGCAACCCATCGCAAAAGTGTTGTACGACTGGGAATGTGGTGCTGGGTAAGGTCATTTTGCATGGCAGCGACCAGCCTGCGCAGCGTCGAGAGCCTCGCGCGGGATCAGACAACAGTTACTCTTATGCATAAGACTGGGCTGTCATGGCTGGGCTGGCGCTTCTGCTGAGCTGCTTACATGCTCTGGCCTCAACCTGCGGCGATCGCGCGCGCATGCCGCAGCTCCTCGTGGCGCTCTATTTCGACCTGTAATGACTGGATGACCTCCGTTGGTTACTACGTGCTTGAGTCGATGTTTGCCGAGGGGTTCAACATTCCCCACGTTGCTAGCCACACTCTTGCCAGACGCGCTAGTTTTAGGAGCAGAAGGTTTCTCGGGGTGTAGAGGTGAAGGATGCCCAGCGCGAGTGTCTCCCAACCGGCTCGAAACTATGTCGCTGCCGTTTGTACAATCTCACTACGTTGCCGTCTGATCGAGTTGGATGTAGATATTACGGTATCCCGATGTACAAGCCCAATTTGTGACGTATGCGACGATTGTCAGGCAGTTACATTTTTGAAGGAAGAGTCAATATGAGTGTGCCGTGTGGTCGGGCGCGAGCATTATAGTTGTGGAAATGCGCAGAGTGTGCGTGTGTTGAATACTTCGGGCCATCACACGGCACGCTTAGTGATACAGTTAATGTTCACAACAGCGCTTGGCTTGCGACACACTCCTCGGAGCTCATTCTGTCTTCGGATGAGGTCTGACCGTCATCAGAGTTGGGTCTGGATCAATCCGCGATGACATATCAACCAGGCTTAGGTGACGTACGAACTGAATGTGATTTTCTGCTGAGAGAGGTTTAGTGAAGCCATCCGAAGGCATTTCATTCGTCTGAAATCATTGAACTGCAACAGTACCGTCTCTGTAGGCCTGTCTCAGCCATAAACTATGGATATGACGCGCTTCAGCTTTGATGACGTTTGTGGTCTGTCCTTCTGAATTAGGCCTGTTATCTGCTGGTTGTCACAGAGTATGCAAGGTTGGTGCTCGGGATCGAACTGTATTTGCTTGAACAGCCGGTATGGATCAGTTGTCTCCTTCGCTGTGTGTGACAGCGGGAGCAAGCTCAGCTTCAGTTGTTGACGTGATTATAGTCTTCTGTTTTGATGATTGCCACATGATCGGTCCATTGAACAGCTTCATGAGGTAGCCCTGTATGGATCTTCGAGTCTCGGGATTATCGCTCGTTCCTACTTCCGAGGTGACTCACTGAGCCCAAGAACTCGATGGTATAGTACTTCGTGGACTGGAGATATGCAAGAACTTGATACGCGTAACGCAGGTGTTCTGGTGAAGGGTTCATGGCGAACTGAATTGACTAGCTGGCTGCAAAAGACATATCCGGTCGTGATAAGACTGCTGTGTACAGGATCGGGCCTACCAGTCCTTGCATCTCTGTGATTTGGTGAAGTGTTGCTTGCCCTTCATATTGTTGAGGACGCTTAGGATGAGGAAAGAGATCGCATCGCTCAAATTACTGATCCCATACCTCCTAATATATTGCTACCTAAGCTTGTTGGTATACAACATATCTCTTTACAAAGTTAAATCTTAAGATGCTCTTCTAGATAGTGAAAGCTTACCACCAGCAAGCGAAGCAACACGTTGCAAGTGATAAATATAAATTTGAGGAGATCCTCCACTTTCATCACTTGTACAGCCTTAGCTCAATCACAAGATCTCCATTCAAACAACCATGCCTCACAAGCCTGGAACGTTTACAAAGCTTTTCGGCATCTGGGCTAACACTTGACCGAATGCGGCTCTCCTTTGACACAAGTTGAAAGAGTAAACTCTGTCCTCTTTGTTATTGTAGCAATATCACAAAGGATGAACTCTTCGCTTCCTGTTCCCTCAGATGGACCACGAACATGCGTTGCTTGGTGGACACCGCTACTGAGCGGGAAAGAACCCTCTTTTGTGCCGCATCGTGACTTCAGCGCGTATAGTGACTGCGGGTGACTGGTAGAGTTCGCTGTGGAGCCCTTGTGTGTCTTCTCAGCGTAGTACTTGAAAAGAGGTCCAAGTGTCGGTATGGACACCACAATTATGCCAAGGTTGTTCTCGACCGTTGACCACATGATCAGGCTCGCCGAGTCGAGGTAGTTGGCGAGATTCTTGACGGTTCGAATGCGAATTATCTGAATGATTGTAATGAACGTGCCCAGGGCTAAAAGACCCAACAAAACAACCTTCTTTCGCTTCTGAATATGACTGCGGAGCAGCACCGGGAACGGTAGGAGCATACTGAGATTATAAGCTCATGCCTTCGACCGCGGACTGGTCACTTACACCGTGATGTCAAACAAGATCGTGAACGATGCCATGCTGGTATAGAATGGCACAGCAGGCAGACATCTGCCCCAAGTGATCCTAGGATCCCATTGCTTTGCAGCCTTTTGTCGCATTAGCTGGCGGATGTTCAAAGGTTCGAGTCATGACTTGCCGGTTGACATAAGTTGGTTTGAACGAGGAGGAACGAAAGATGGAACATCACGCAAGCGATAATGACCACGATCGTAGCGGTACGTGCAGTGCCTTTGGTCATGAAACGGAGGTACGTCAACAACAGACTCATCTTGAAGCCGAGAATACTCGATATGTAGCTGTGGAAATTAGTAGCTGCCATTCGGTGCACTGTGTCGAGAGACCTCAACTCACAACGGTGCACCTATGTATTGGATCTGATTTTGCTTAGTGAAACTCTCGTACACAACCTTTCGGAGTTACACTTACCAGTCCGAAGTTATAGACGTTCTCTTTCGGCATATCTCCTAAATGCTTCAAGCCAAGACCCCATCTGGTTTCTTTGGAACGTCAGATGATTCTTTGCATTTAACAACAGGCGTGATGAACTCACGGACGATGGACACAGCAGCGAAGCCGCAAGCCGCAAGCTACTGCCAGTATCAGCCGCAAGTCCCTCGTGAACTCTCGCAGTGCTTGCTCACCCAGGTAAAGATTAGGACGTAATCATCTTTTAGGCGTAAGTCAGTGGCCATGCACGAAAAAGATTGGACTCAAGAGATACGAACCAGCTCCCATCGCCTTGAGCATACAGCCACGAACGTAGAATCGCAACAATAAGACCAGAAGGGACACCGTCGTCAATACGATTGCCACAGTCGAAATCTGCGGGCCATCATTTGCAACATGATCCGGAGTATTGTAAGTCCAACCCATGGCGTTGTAGCAGGTTCACTGGAGACACGTTTGCTTGAGGTAGGCAAGATCGATTCGATGTTGTGAACGGGCTCGGAGACGAGCGCACGTTATGAGGTCCACGACCCAAAAGCATAGCTGACGAACCGGTTCCCAAAACAGTCGACAGGAACCGCCACTGGGCATTGCTCGCAATCTCTTTCAACCTATGATCGTATGCGAAGGTCACAGACCCTGTTCAGGGACGAGAAGGCACCACGTTCGCAAAGTAGGATGCTTTCGCTGCTTTTTCGGAGGATTGGCGCTTATGCATGGTTTACCAACTGGGCCAAATTAGAGTGAGGTTGGCTTTCAACCATTCCAAAGAAACTCAGATTGGCGCAGGTTCCATACTCGAGGGAAACCGTCAATGTTGAGGTAGCTCATACTGCAGCTTACAGCTTTCGACTGGACCGTTCATCGTCGGTCGGATCGTTAGTCCACATGCTCTTTGCGTAGAGCATTAGTCCTGAGGGCAAGGATTTGCGGCGCGACGCTGCAAGCACTGTTCAAGACGGGACGGCAACAGCTGTGCCGTGCGGCGTAGTTCTTCCAGACCTGCTGGTCGGTGCATGTCTTGGTCCAAACGAGATGCTAAGCCGGCCCGTCCCTGGCCCTCCGGAGTACCTTCCAGATAAAGTCTGGTGTGGAGTACTGAGCACAGTGTAGGTGGGCCCCGGATAACAGGGATATAACCGAGAACGCAAAAACTCCAACTGCTTATTGTTCACCAATCAAAAGTAGCTGTAGTTGCAGACTATCCCTACTATGTGTTCTATACGCTGCTGTAAAAAACTAAGTAAGTCAACTTTGCTTACTAGCCACTGCATGAACTAGCTACACTACTTATGTCTGACACCGTAGAATGTTTTGCTTGTTGCAGGTACCTATTGTACTCTGGAATGGTGGCATGATTAAGTCGGTACAGCCCATGCTCTGCATTACTGTGACCAAGGTTGAACTGCGCCTCTGCTCCAAGTTATGGCTGGACGATCTGTCAAGATTCCCAAGCGTGACATGGGCGGCAGCTACAATGATCTAGTCCCAGTGCGCCGGATCAGATGCTCCGAGGCCAGCCTGCAATCGAACGACTGCATAATTTCATAACGGCCGGAGATTAGTTCCCGATGCTGAGATGTCTGACCGCGGCATACCCAGCAAGTGCTGCGTCCTAGATCGATACTAGCCTCGTCGTCACGCGCGGGCCGGAGACTTGGAAGGATTTTCTTATATTTATCAAGCTGGAAGTCGCGCGAACAGTCCAGTGTAATCCGGCATTATATCTGCGCCAGGAGGCCATCATCATGCGTTTTACCGTACTTGCATTCACGCTTTTCAGCGCCGTTCTTGCCAACGTCCAACCCTCAAGCCGGTGCAAGACGTTTCCCGGGGACAAGACATGGCCGTCAAAGTCAGTGTGGAATGAATTCAACAGAACAGTAGGCGGACGGCTCGTGGCAACGGTGCCTCTTGGATCCCCATGCCACGGTGCGAACTTCGACAACGCTACCTGTGAGAGCCTCAAAAGCCAATGGCAATCTGAAAAGATTCAGTAAGTACGGTCTGCCTTGGACTTAGACAGAAGATTTACACCTCACAGCTATACGTCCTCCTCTTCGGTGATGGCACCGTTTTTCGCCAACCAAAGCTGTGATCCCTTCCAACCCCAAGACCGCCCGTGTGAGCTTGGTAACTACGTCAGATATGCCGTTAATGCTTCTAAATCTTCAGATGTCCAGCGAGCGATCGCATTTGCGTCCTCGAAGAATGTCCGTCTTGTTGTTCGCAACACTGGACACGACTATCTTGGCCGCTCCACAGGTGCTGGCTCATTGGCGGTATGGACACACTACCTGAAAGACATTTCTCACATCCCGGCGTACAAGGGATCGGGGTACAGGGGCGCAGCATTCAAGGTCGGCGCTGGCGTTCAGGGATTTGAGATCATGGCCGCTGCCCGCGACAAGGGTTTGGTAGTTGTGGGAGGTGAGTGCCCTACCGTTGGCATCGCTGGCGGTTACACCCAAGGCGGAGGCCATTCAGCGATCAGCACCAGCTTCGGTCTTGCTGCTGATAACGTGTTAAGCTGGGAAGTTATCACAGCTAGTGGCAAACTCGTAAACGCCAACAAGGGCCAGAACTCTGATTTGTACTGGGCTTTGAACGGTGGTGGCGGTAGCACATATGGTGTTGTCGTTTCGATGACTGTAAAGGCACACAAAGAAGCTGTGTTTGGTGGCGCTTCCTTGTCGTTCTTCACCACCGATAACGCCCAGGATGTCTTCTATGACGCGATCCAGGCATTCCACGAGGAGCTACCAGCGATGGTCGATGCAGGAACCATGGTGGTTCACTACTTCACTTCCTCTTTCTTTATGATTTCCCCGCTCAACGCGTACAACAAAACTGCGGCCGAGGTCAAGACCATCCTTGCACCTTTTGTCGCCAAACTCGACTCCAAAGGTGTAAACTACACCGTCAGTTACAGCGAGTTCGACACATACTACGAGCACTATGACAAGTACTTTGGTCCCCTACCCCTCGGAAACATCCAGGTCGGCATCGCCCAATATGGAACGCGCTTGATCCCGCGAAACGTCGTGAGCAACATCACAGAAACCTGGAAAGCCATCGTGGAGAAGGGCGTGACTTGGATCGGCGTTGGAACAGACGTGAAGTCTTTTGGCTCGGAGAAGACGACTTCGGTCCATCCAGCCTGGCGTAGCACCATAGTGCATGCAACCCTCACACTTCCGTGGAACTTCACAGCGCCATGGTCGGAGGCGTTTGCAACGCAAGACAAGATGACCAACGTCATCCAACCGCTTATTGAAGCTGCAACACCGGGCAGTGGGTCGTACGTGAATGAGGCTGACTGGCGTCAACCGAACTTTCAGACGACTTTTTGGGGCTCGAACTACCACAAATTGCTGAGCATCAAGAGGAAATGGGATCCCTCCGGTCTGTTCTATGCCACGGTCGGCGTTGGCAGTGAGGCTTGGGCCATCCGAAGTGACGGACGCATGTGTCGCGCGTAATAGATCTATACCTCTCTGTACAAATCGAAACCACGTTGATCGCGTCAAGGGTGTATGCAGTGTTTCTGTTGTCCTTAGTTTGCTTGAGTTACTTTGCACGCATCCTACGCCCGTTGATCAAAGCTTGTCGATTTCTGTACACGTTTGCTTGCTTCTGCGTGTTATGGTCAGTGAGCATTCTTGTGGCCTGCCATACCCTGGTACGCTGGTCATGCAGCCCATTTCCAACCCTGAAATGTGCATGTGGCACAGCTGCCTGCTTCACGGCGGTTCTTCGGCGGTCCTTCAGCGATCCTTCGCGTGAGGCGGAACATGGACGCGATAGCAGTGGCAAGAAATGTAGCGGCGTGGGCCGCTGTAGAATACTGATAGCCACGGTAAGCGATACCGTAGGACTATCGGAACGATGGAATACTGCGCTAAGTTGCTATTTAGCTAGAAGACGTTGTATACCGTGTCCGTGCGCGTGCCGGCCGGATTCGCGTGACGACCGGGTTTTACTAAGAAAAACAACAAAGGATAAGAAGTTGAACCTTGAATATTTCCACTAATAGTAGAGATATTAAGATACATTCTACTTGAAAAGTATTTGATCCTTTATTATCTTTAATCTTATGAAAAAAAATCATAATAATGTAGCTATTCAACTAAATTGATTTTTTTACTTGTGAAGGAGTAAAGTTCAAAAGTTAATAAAATTTTCTAAAAAAAATAAAGTATAAGAACCCATATACTAGCTATAACTTTAATATTAGAGATTTCCTAATATATACTCTATGTGAGGCAACAGCTCGGCTCCACTGCGCTACACGGCCCAAAAGGTACAGTGTGCTGAATAGCAGCACTGAGGCCGAATAGTCTATATACCCAGCCGTGGCTGAGTATACCCGTGACAGCACGCGAATCCGGTCGGCACGCGCACGGACACGGTAGGCATTTTGCGCTTCAGTTTGGATCGTGGGATTCCAGGCTGGGCAGCGACCAGTTGCCGGAATCGTCTTGCACCATTTTCATCTGGTCCACCATTCGCGTCAAAAGTGTTCTGACATGTCCAAATACTCAGGTCTGCACCGCTCAAAATGCAAGTACGACAGAGAACCAGCGACGTCTTCAGGCACAACACTTTCTCGGAAGATCGCACTAGAGGCTGTAGTGAATGTTCATTTCATAGTGAACTTGCGTGAGTCATGTGACGCAAGAAGCGGGAAGGAGTCCAGTGTGAAATGTGCCCAAGGCAGGTGGCATCGGGTGTCGAAGGTGCATCAGAAGGCTCAGCAACGATCGGGTTGCCGCTGTGAGATGTCAGCAAAGGCACTGCCGTTTGAGGAATGGATGGCGCACAGAGCGCGCCACCAGCGCAACCGGGTGGACAAGCACTATGCCATCTTATTCCACTTGGTCGAGACTCTCACGCCGGGAAGGACGAAGATGGTGTCTACTTTATCAACGCTGCGCTAGTTGGTGCCGTAGCAGTGCCGTTGTGCTCTGCATGATTGGGCGTGAAGTAGCCATGGCGAGCATTGCTGCAGACGAGCAGATGGTAATGATCGAGGCCACAATTGAGGAAGGCAAGGGACAGATTCCAGTCTGTTTGGAGTGGTTAGGTGTTTCTGATCGAAACTTCATCAACAGGCGTTGTTTTCACTGGACCCTAAGCATCGACAGGTCGGGCCTTCGAGCTCCGTTTGAGACACAGGTTAGACTTCTACTTCCCACGTATCCTGGCAGCTTTTCGAATATGACAAGATTTTTCCTACATGTTCAAACTGTGTATGCACATTTCCATATCGAGCATCCGATGCGAAGAAATATTGAGGAGTTACGGGTATCTCGCGAGCGCATGAAGAGCGGGGTAGCGGCGACGATGATAATGGCGGTACTGGCGATCATTGGAATATCTTGGATGTGTAAGCATACACAATAGGGGAGAAACGTACCCAACAAACACGCTGCATAGCCAAATGCCGTCTAGAGAAGCGCATACTTTGATGTCATTTTTTGGCTCAGCTCCGGCGCAAGTTCACGCTAGGGGGTACAGCAAGGTGATTCTTGATCGATCTTCACTCACATTTTTGGTTTCGTAGCGCTACGAAGAGCTATGCAGCATCACTGGTTGCAGCATCATACGACTAACGCGACTGCAAGGCCCATATGGATAGATTGTAAGAGCAAATGAGGCTTTTATCCCACTGGAAATATCGACGGGAGGCACCTCCGCCGAATTTTAGTTTCCTGAACATTCAGGATGGTAGGCTGCTATAGATACCTTTTGTTCACTGAACTGCAGCTCCGCAGCACACTCAAAAAGCTCAAGTGGAAATAACGATGGGAAGATAGAGTCGAGGTCGAGCGTATGTGCTGTGACAACGTTGATATGGTCCAGAGAATACGCAACATCATGTGAGCCCAGGTTGTGGATAGTGAAATTCAGGGCTGGTGTAGCATGATCCGAGTTGCGAAGAAGCAGGCTGGATCTGTCCAAGACGGTCATTGCGCCACGTGCATAAGATGTGATCCCTGCGTGCTGCAACTTGCGGCTTGACGTCGAGCTCGTAATTGGGGCCCCAGGAGGTAAATTGCTTAGGTAACCGCCGGGTAGCGTATCTGGCTTGGTTGTCAGAGTTTGGAAAGTAAATGGATCCAAGGTGCTCAGATCGACGGTATTGTTCGGCGCCAAAAGATCGACCCATTGTGCGCATTGTTGCGCAGTTACCATGCCAACGCCTTCGATGCTTTAAACATCTGACTTAATTTGTCGTGACATCTTGTTACATGTGTCAAGCTCAGTCATTGTCGGTTGTAAGCATTTTACTTACCCTCTGGCCTTGTCGTATATCAACACGAGGCGCGCGCCGGCTGCTGCGGCGATCTCGAGTTTCTGTATAAAGAGACACCCTCTCCTTCGAACCAATGTTATGTAGTCAGGCAGGTCAGGTATTCTTGGTGGCAGAGTGTTGCACGCCTCGGCACTATCGCTGGTATTGTAGCTTGTCGCCGATAGTGGAAGGCTTACATTACCTCAAGCATGCTGATCTCCGGGAGTTCACTGAAATATTTGAGAAGTACTGCTGCCGCCTGTCCATGTGCCTTCTACTAAGAACTCGAGCTTCAAGGGATTATTGACTAAGGCGGATGAAGCGACAGAGACAGCGCCATTGCCCACTTCTAGGTGGAGAAGTGAGAAACAGGCCAAACAGAACATTATTGCCGGCGGCAACAGTGATGGGTACGCCTGCTTCCACAAATCGAGCAGCAGCAACAGCTAAAGACGTATGCGCCCAACCCGAGATGGTGCCTAAGGATAGAGTGAGAATATCACTTCCGTTATCGTGGGCGGAGTACATGACTGCGAGAACGACATCGCCGCGCTAGGTAGACCTGAATAGTCTGAACCGGCAATAGCGCCTGCCTCCAACAAAGGCCGGCGAGACACGTTTGTAATGGGTAACAAGACTCATCGAAGTTCTTAAGTACTTGGAAAAAGACGGACATGATCCTGCAGACCCTTCCAATATAAAGGCACAATCGAGTCTGGTCGTTGTATACGTCCAACTAGGATGTTGCCAGGCAAGCATACTCGACTATAGACGATGCATGATAAACGCACGTTCCCTAGAAGGCCCAGGTACAACCTCTTAGAGTCCGCATATTAAAGTTCGTTCTTTGTGTTGCCTAGTCCATTCATCTTCGAGCCTCGCGTTCCACTGACCATGCATGTAGTTGCGATATAAATATTCGAAATGTGCCTATTCAGCTATTCACCTAGAATAAGGCTTCGAATGCATCACTCTCGTTTGCCATTTTTAATTGCATTCTGCACCTAGCCAATCTCACGTCATGCAAACCAGCCAGAATCCCTGGGGCACCGCAATCTGCGCCTCTAGACTAGTGGCCGACCGCAATGTTGGCAGTATTCTTGACAAGCGCGCCAGCAGCCTTGCGCTCCTGCCTCCTCTTCCTGGCGAAGCTGACCATCTTGAACATAGACTGATCGAAGACCTGCGATGTCTCATCGATCGTGAGGCCCGAGACCTCGGGGTAGAAGAAGATGATGAGAACCCAGCCAATAAAACAGATAGCGGCGTAGAAGCCGAAGGTGCCAGACGGAGTGAGCGAGTGCATCTGAGTGAGGAAGGTGGAGGAGACGATGACGTTGGATCCCCAGCATGAACAAGTCAGAAACATGGTGCCCATAGCGCGTACGTCCTGGCTGAAGAAGTCGGTACTCATCCAGGCCGTGTTGCCGACCGATACACCGTAGGTGATGACGAAGAAGATAATGAACACCAGAACAACGATTGCGGCGCCTGAGATAGTCTTCTGCTCCAGTTCGAGAGTCGAGGTGTTGACGGGAATCCAGTGGAAGGCGATAGCAACCGACAGCAGACCAGCGCTCATACCCCAAGCAGTCCAGACGAGGATCTTGCGACGGCCCCAAGGGTCGGCAAACATGGCGTTGATGAATGTCATGACGAAGTTCGTGCCAGCGACGACGAGACCAACAGCGGTGGGGTTCGAGAATCCGACGAGAGCGAAGAGGGTAGAGGAGTAGTACATGAGCGTGTTGAAGCCAGACATCTGCGAGATGACCATGAGACCACAAGCCACAACCAGAGCACGGAAGTGCCTAGGGTTGGTGTGGAGCTCCTTGATGATCTGCCAGCGGGTCTTGCCCTCGGTTGCATGCTCGGCTTCGGCCATGGAAATCTTGATGAGCTTGATCTTGTTTTGGACTTGCTCAGGAGTGGCTTTATAGAATACACGCTGGAAGACAGCTGCGGCTTCCTCCTCGCGGCCCTTAACGATGAGCTGGCGGGGCGACTCTGGGCAGAACGGGAGGAGGCAGGCCAAGATAATGGAAGGAACACCTCCGAGGCCGACCATGTATCTCCAGCCGTGAGGGACGTAGACGAAGCCGGCACCAATCCCGTAGGACAGCACTTGACCACCGGTGATACTCATGTTGTTAAGACCCTGGGTTGGTTAGCGCGTATTTGTGAAATTGGCAACCTCAAGAGCTTACAATCATGCGACCGCGGTACTTGGTAGGGGCGATCTCTGCGATGTAGAGCGGCGCAATCATAGCAGCGCTGCCGACGCCGAAACCGACAATCAGGCGGCCGACACACATCTGAGCGAAAGAGTATGCGACAGCTTGGATCAAAGCGCCAACGGTGAAGAGGACACAACCAATGTAGATGCCAATCTTGCGACCAAACCTGTCCGCATAGACACCAGCCAGAATGGCACCGAAGAAGGCGCCACCTGAGCAAAGAGATGTGATTGCCTCCTTCTCTTGGTTGCTCATCAATCGTCCGTCGAGATCCTTGCCAAGGTATACCAGTACCGCAGAAACTGCATCATCAGCACACGACTTCCGAGGTAGAATGACTGAAGAACTCACTGATACCGGTGTCGTAACCGAAGAGCGCACCAGCGACTGAGCATGTAATAGTGACCAGCCAGACGAAGCGAGAAACAGGCGTCTGCTCGATGGCATCAAGCTCAGCAACAGCAAGAGCGGCCTCATCGCCACCATGCTCAAGGATATTTTCTTTGAAGTCGACCTCAGCGGTCTCCTTTTCAAAAAGTGTGGGGGCCATGGTACTGGTTGTAGTAGAATCGGTGGAAGTGGGGAACGATGGTCATGAAGCTTGAGTCACGTGCTTAGCAAACTGATCCGATGATCTGGGGAAACAAAAACCTGGGGTAGCAGTGGACCTTTTGTAGATCTGAGATTTAGTCGAGGCGATCCAGTCGCCATGTCGGCATTTGATGATTGCTGCGGAGTTGCCTACCACACCGTGTTTGTACAGTCGGGAGTTGAGGTTACACAGGAACGATCGAGACTGTGGCTGAGATCTAGCTGACCCTGGTAGAACGATATTCCCTCAACCCATAGAGTTCTAGACTTCAGTTGCGCGGTATGTGGGTTGACATGGAGAAGTTTGACGGTGGTGTATCGGCTGCTGCCATGTGTGCGGGTCTTCCAGAAATGCGGGGATAGATTCCCTGGGGTACAGTAGCACAGTGCTGCTTGTCGTAGCTTGTTCGGAGGTCGTTGATGCGGGGATATGAACTCCTTCCGATAGCGTGGATTGGCTTGTTGTAGCTCGCTCGAATGCGGGGATATTTCTTCCGTAGCGCGTGGTAGACTCTGAACTGGGCAGCCTGAGGCAAAGCCACGCGGAAAACCGCACCAAAACCCGGCTTACCGGACGTCGGCCATCTGTAATCAAAATTGATGAGCAACACCAAAATTGCCTTCAAACGCGATCTGACGATGATGAACGTAGCTGCACTTGTTGTGTGCGACATATTCGCATTTCAAATTAATCTTTGGATAACGGCGAAATGAGTTGTTTTACATGTTGTTGCCACACCGCGATGAAATCATTGCGGTCAGACTTGCTCTGAAACTTGATCTCCAGTTCGCTGTACTGGAAGCGGTTGAGATCGCCAATTCGACTGTGGCCGGACCTGCCGAACAGTGACCGAGACGACCTGTTCGAAGTCGTCGAAGCCACGGAGGTGTGTGTGCCTGACCGCACCAGACTCGGTATGCCAGGGGAGGGTGGTGGACTCCGAGTCGACTGACCAGAATCCCTCCGTATTGAGTTCGCATCTGTAGCGGACATTGTCGATGCAGACGATGACTTCCGACGCTGGAAGAGCTTGTCTCTGTTCCACCTCCCCGGCTCCTTCGAGAACACTAAAGTCACTTTATCACTGCTCTTCTTGTACACATCGTCGGTTAGCCATTGGAAAGCGTAGTGTGGTTCCTCGACCCAATGCGCCCGTTCATCTGGCAGAGCGCTTGTGTAGAACAGCAACACCAGTATGTCCACCATTCTGCCGTTGTGCTCCTCTGACCTCTTCCAGAGACGAACATTCTTTCTACGACACTCAGGTTTGTTCAGGTTCGACGACACCGTAAGAACACATCGATCGAAAAGGAGCTCCGCCGCATCTTTTCCGTTGTTGGTATAAAGAAGAGACTGCAACTTGACAGTTGCTTCCTGCCCACCGAAGGTATACTTTATGTCGGTACACCGCTTGTCAAGCCGGCCATGCGAGGCTCTTGGGAAGTCGATGGATACATCACCGTCAGGGTAAGACGTCGTAAGCGGAATGCTCGGGCCTGTTGCCGGGAAGCTCTGCATAGTCCATACCTTGACAGTCCCGCCCGAACGGTACACTGAACGGATTGCAAGCCCTGTATCTTCGTTGTGTCGCCAGTGGATGTCGCACTCACGCGACTCAGGAGGTCCGGAAGATGTTCTTCGTTCGACTTGGACTTTATGGCAAAGTCGTTTCCACTCAAGAGCGCTGTCTCCAAGGGCGAGAGTTATGAGCGAGGTGACGGAAAACCTAGAGTGGAGAGGGTGCGAGGAATCTAACTCAGGGGTGGTGTCTGCGGTGATTGGGCCAGAGCGCATTGAGGTAGGCGAAGTAGCGAAGTTCGATTCCGATGTCGAGATGGAAGGCACGCGACCGGTAGGCAACTGACCGAAGTACGACTGATCATGTAGTGCTGCACCTGGTGATGCCGTTGGGGATGGTGTAGTGTCGCCTGGCCGTAATGTGGCCGTCGACTCACTCATGTTTGGATTTGCGTCGAACCCCGAGAACATACCCGAGAACTCGGTGTCGAGGGTATATGTTCGTTGAGGTACTGGTGGCAGATTCCTTACTTCCTGTCGAACAGCGTCGCTAGGTGCGAGGTGCGTACGTCTTTCCACTGCTGCTCGTTTTGCGCGATTCTCCTCGATAACGATAGCGTCTTCCAGCTCCCTTCGAAGGTGATACAACACTGCGGCCGTCTGCGCATCCCCACTGGGTGCTGCCGCAGGGGTATCTCCTAGAGACAAGGGTCTTGTGAGACCAGCTTCTTGCGCAATGCGGTCATTCTCACTCTTTAGCCAACGACTGAAGACCAGCCATTCCTGGAACAACCCATCTGCATCATCCATGGCGGGGAGAGCTCTTGTGTCAGTGCGCGATGCATTCGCGAACGCGTTCGAGGTGTACCATTGTCCACCCAGACTCATCGACCGAAATGGTGCGGTATCAAGCAATCGCTGAGTTTGCTTGGTTGCCTCCAGGTGTAATCGACTGTCATGTTTTAGCTGACTGGCCAATGATGCAAATCGTGCTGATGAGCACCTACAGTTGCAGGAATGAAATGCACATCTGCAAAGCCTGGTAATGTCCCGAAATTTGCTTCCGCAGTCCATCGATCTCCTTCTCCTTGCCCATGTATTTGATCGTATACACCATCTTTGTGAAGTTCATCTTCTTGTCGATGAGGTTGTCTGCATACGGCTTGATGCTCTTCTCACATCTGTCAATCGTGTCCTTGAAATCATCGAACGGGAATGGCAGCGGTTTTCCATATTCTCTCATCAGCTCATCTAGCTCAACCAAGCAATGGTGGAAAGCCGTGAATTCGCGCACGAGACCTTCCACCTGGACTTCTGAGTTCTCGTTCGCATCTGCAGAGTTTTTAGCAAAACATCGACGAGGGTTCAAGGCGTGCCAGCGTACCTTTGAAGGCGAGGTAGACTCGTGTTGATACTTCTACTAGCTTCACGACATCTGAGGGACTAAAGCCGAACGACATAATCACTTGTCTGCGCCGCGCTGAAGCGCAGCTTTGATTGTGCTAGGGCTTCTCATGCACTGGTATCGTCGTTCAGAGGACCGGGACTGCTGTCGCCTGAATTCCAGGCTCCCATGAAAACAAAGTAGAGATGGGAACGGACAGCAACTGGAAAACTGGCAGGGCTACCCCAATAGCAGACCGCAGCGGTGGCTCAGCAGCGTGTCTGACAACCTGCTGCGGGCCAGGCACGCGCCCGCTATCGAGCTCATCGATGCCGGCCCCTTGAACATGCCGTCGAGGCTTATCAAGACATGGTTTTAAAACCATATGGTCGCGGTGAGGCGCAGTGCGCATGTTCGTGTGCGCGGGTACAGCCGAGCAATGAGATGGCGAGCGACCAACACGTGGGGCCCTGAACGGCAATTATCGTCTCTCGAACACGACCACCTGAAAACCGAAGAACCGCCACAGCTTACAGCCTGTGAATCCCTTGCTTGAGGCCATTCTGCAAAGAGCAGAACTACTTCCAGTCGTAACATGCGAGATGGGCATGCGATTCATGTGCGCTGTGCAGCTTCATCGCAGGTATCGCTGAGTGTAGACCATGGCTCCAAACAGTCACCGCGCGATTTAGTTGCATATGAAGTGAGGCTATGAAGCCGGTTTTGCATAGCATTCGACGCCACCGACAGCCTTTGGCGTCGCAATATCCAGGAATGAAACCCAGTGGAGCAAACCGGAAGCGTTCGCGAGATCATATGAACAGGTATAGCTCACCGGTGAGCACCGTTCCCATCTTAGGCGATGCACGATCCCCTGAGTATGCCTTACCCAATATTCATGGTGGAGGCTGAAGGGAACAATAGTACGCAGCTGCATGATTTGAGGGTTGTCGACCCAAGCCAAGGTCGCGCTTTAAGAAATACACATTGTCCACAAACCGATCGCCAGAGGGGATACGCTCAGACATTCGAACGTATTAATTATATGATTGTTGTCCTTTCGGCCCAATCTGCCGTAACCGATTGAAGATGGGCGTTCGCAAATGGATGGAGCGGCCGACCGTTCGTGGCCATCACGTTGGTGTTGAAGATTTGACTGAGGGTCAACAAGGCGTCCCGGTACGTGAGCAATGCCGTCGAAAGTTTGAAGATTTGCTGATGAAACAAGGAATCAAAACGGCGCAAATGGGCTCTCCAAACCATCGATGCCTCACCGTTCCAAGTTTGGGTTGTCGTAGTCGCTGGGATAGGTTTCTTGACCGACTCATTCGGTCTATTCGCGTTGAACGTGGTAACACCCATGATTGGATACGTTTACTGGCCAGACAACTTGGACAATGACGGCGTTCCGCAGGTTCCATCTTCAGTGAAGACAGCTATGATGTGCTCGACTCTTGCCGGAACCATGATAGGCCAGATCGCATTCGGCTTCGCAGCTGACGTCCTTGGACGACGGAAGATGTACGGAATGGAGTTGGTCGTAATCATCGTAGGAACGATGCTGTTGTTGATGAGCTCCAGTGGTGAGAAGAACAGTATGAACGTAAGCGGCTGGCTCATTGCGTGGCGCGCAGTCATGGGTAAGTGATCGAACTTGTCCTGGCTCAAGATCAACTGAATCGCCAAGTGTAAGAACATCCACGCTGACAGTTGTAGGAATTGGCATTGGAGCTGACTATCCCCTCAGCGCAGTCATAGTGGCTGAATTTGCGCCTCGGAAGTTTCGTGCACGTATGATGAGTTGGGTGTTCTTCGCTCAGCCCATGGGCCAGCTGCTCGCCAATGTACTATCCTTGGCGGCTGTCGAGGGCTACAGACCGTATATTACGAACACCGAGATGTCATGTTCAGTTGACGGGGTCGATGATCTAGACTGTTTCCGCTCAATCGATCGCTTGTGGCGGTTAGTCATTGGTATTGGTATCATTCCTGCGGTCTTGGCGCTCAGTTTTCGCTTCACTATCCCGGAAAGTCCGCGCTACAAACTCGACATCCTGCAGAATGCCTCGACGGTGTATGAGGATACCAAGAATTACTACGGGGCTCCGGAATTGGACGCTGAGCACGGTGAGCTGGAAATCCTACCTTCACACGAGGGTCAGCCGAGGCCATCCACCAGCGCCTCCGAGATTGCACCAGACGACGTTGTAGACTACAACAGCGATGACGATGAACACAGGTCGAGCACAGCGTTCACCAGACCTGTCGTGACCTCGAGCAATGAACTTCCACCAGGCGACCCAAACTACATCCCTCCACTCGCCTCTTGGGCCGATGCCAAGAATTTCTTCATCACCGAAGGCAACTGGCAGTACCTCCTTGGAACCTCGCTTGCGTGGTTGTTTCTGGACTTTGCTTTCTATGGGCTTGGTCTTTCGTCGCCACAGATTGTGAGCCATATCTGGCAGAATCCTAATGTTGGTCGTCCAAAAGTCTTCGACTCGCTGCGCGATAACAGCCTACACACCCTAGTCATGGTATCGATCGGAACCATTATCGGAGGTTTACTCATGATCAAAGTAATCAAGTACGCGTCGCCGAAGGTCATTCAGTTCTGGGGTTTTCTGGTGTTGTTTGTACTCTTCATCGTAACAGGTAGTGCGTGGACAAAGCTGTTAGACACAAGTCGGTCCGGTCTGATCGTACTGTACGTGTTGAGCCACATCGCGTTCAATCTAGGTCCAAATGTCACTACGTTCATTGTAAGTACTTCTCAGTCAGCCTCTTCCGGCACCGCTCACACCTCATAGATACCAGCGGAGATATTTCCAACGCGTTATCGATGCACTTGCCACGGCATTGCCGCTGCAGCTGGTAAACTCGGCTCGTGGGTGGTCCAGATCTTCCTTGCGTATGCTTTTCAGAACGACAATCAGGGTGAGCAGTATGACTGGGAGCGCGAGAACTTCGGTCATGTGTTGCAGGTCATGAGCGCTTTCATGGTCGCTGGAGCGGTGGTGACGTACTTTCTCGTGCCTGAAACCAGAGACCACGACAACAAGAGCCGGACCTTAGAGGTGCTGGCGTGCGGAAAGAAGGTGATTGACGAGCTCAATCGGCAGCGACAAAGAGAGGACGAAGAAAACTGATGGAAAAGGGAGACCACATAGCTCTCATTATAATTGGATCCTAACTTCGTTTACAGGCGTTCCAATTGCTCGAGTGCTGTGTTTTGAGCGTTGCCTTTTTGTGATCTCGATGACATCACAAGCGATTGGGTCGCGCAAGGAGAGGGTGTCATAAGGAGAATATGACTTTGAAACCTTAGCCTGTGTGACTGGAAGCAGATGCAGGTGAGCAGAAGCGTGATGTTACGCTGTTCATGGTGTTGAGGTGAGCTTGCGAAGAAATGACAATCGCCTCCGCAGCTCCACACGCGTGCCTTAGCTTTGTCCACATCCTCGGATCGCAGGAACGACACCATACCCGCGATTCTTACACTTCGGAAATTCAATGCACGTCATCTCCAAACTTCTTCGGGATACTAAGTTTCGTTCTGATGATCCATCAACCTGGGGAAGTCCCGCGTTGCAGGTACGTTGAGCATTATCACCGTGAAAAAGTCTGCATGTGTGCGAACCAGATGTATGTCTTCAGAAAAATCATTCTCAGCACCACCGTGGTGCGACAAACTCCAGGCCTTTCTTCTAAGATGTCCAGGCTTTGTGTCAATGGGTACAGGTAATGGATAGCATAGATGTTGTATTAGTTACTATCTAAGCTACGGTTTGTGTAGAGGAAACATCAACACTTTATCTCATCATTCAAGCCAGATTTTCGAACTCCGTGCCCACTCCAGTCCTCTCTCTTATCGGATCCTGACCTCACCCCTGACCACCTTCGGCGGCGCAGAATACCACACACTCCGGCTCCTCCCATCCCTCTTCAAATCCAATCGTCTCAAAACACGTACTTGTACCTTGCTATACAGTATCGGAGTCCACGAAATTACACTGTCTCCTCGTCTCCTTCTACCACCTCTGCATCGCAATTCCCACCGCTCTTTCCTTCATCAAGTTGTTCCGTTCCGCTATCAGCAGATCATTTATCTCAAATGCAATGTGTTGCACACCCTCCTGGTTGCTGTGCGCATCGAAGTAGGCTTGCATAACTGACTGGCCTTTGATGGGCTGCATGATCTCCATGACGGGCTCGTTCGCGTCGGGTTGCTGGGCGAAGGCTACAAGGACTTCGTAGAGGTCGCAACCAGTCTTGCCGTGGGGTTCTCGTCTTGGGGACTGTGGTGGAGTTGAGGATGGGGGCTCGGAAGGGGCCGATGCTGATGCCGAGGCGGGTTAGGCTGTCGAGGGTTTCGTATAGGTCGGGTGTGACGATGCAGATTTCAGTAAGGGAGCCGAGGATGGGCTTGGGGTTAGTACTGATTCGATGACGGTGATGCTGGATGTTGACGATGGACCGGCTTGAGTGAACTTTGGAATGGGTGGTTCATGCCTTCTCACGATGGAATAATTCGTCTCATTGCATATTTTGGTCTTGCTACGAGCACTTGTTAATACGGTCGTCAGTCTTTGTGCTTCATACGCATAGGTATTGTGAGTGTTATCGGTCCCGGCCTCGTTATTGAGAAGAATGAAGTACGAATGCTTGTGGACTGCCATATTGATGACGACTAGCTTTCCATCACTGCACTAATACTCCAGCCCGGCATGGCTTGGATCGTCAGATTGACGATACTGTGTCAAGACCAATCACATGCCGGCTCAGTGAGGCTGGGAAGAACGAAGTGATTTTTTGGTTTGCAAACCACCACCAGGTACTCCGAGTTGGGCAAAGGCTAGCAAATGATACAAGTACCGCTGACGCCCGCCGGTATAGTGCCCTGAATTTCATACAGATCACGACCGACAAGAGAGGCCGATGCACTGCTAATAAATCCAAGTCAAGCCTTGTGTGGAAGGGTTGAGATGGTTGAGTTGATTGATCTTAAGAGCTATTGGCCGTGAAGAACGACACAGTGTAAAGCATCTTTTTGAGTGATGACATTGCGGGAGGGAAGAGTCGGAAGTACAGTGCCAGTATTGCCAGCTTCTGTAAGTATATTCCAGTGTCGTAGAAGTAGTTCTCCACGAACTGTACCTGATAGTCGCTGTCGGCTTCTCTTCTCTTCTGGAGACTTTAGACAAATGTTACCTTTTTGAGACCAATGGCGCGAGCTGTTGATGGCTCCGGTGCGTCTGCCTCATCGCCCGACATACCACCCCAGCTGTATGTGTTGCAGTAGTTGCAATAAATGAAGGTGTAACCGCGCAGGGCAGTCGGGTCAAGGGGAAACTGCGCGAAGCAGTAGAATCAGTATATATTGTGTTGTTCTTGTTCAGTGCTTTGTCTCTCTCACCGGGCCATCAGGGTCTGTTTTTATGACGTATCTGTCGTCCAGACAGAGGTAGAAAAGGCTTGTTGGAAAGGGCAAGAGCACTGCGCCAACACGCGTGGCACACATGACCTCTATACTCCATAAACCGTCACAGTATGTCATAACATCGTTGATGAATAGCGCGATAGAATTGAGTACCAGGGCAATTAGGAAGCCATCGCTGATTGTGGGGTACTGCCGTTGCATGAACCGTGGAACGAGACGGCCAGAGGCTAGGAGCGTAGCAACAGCTAAGAGGGTTGCCTCTATGAGCTTGATGAGTAGCTGTTAGCATGTCCACATTCACAAGCTAGTCTTCCATAGAGGATGGGTACATACGATCACAGCTTCTGGGGCGAGGCTACGCGCCACGACCGTTGTCCCTTGTTCATGGATCAGGATGATCTTTAGCCTGATGTTCAGACCAAGTGGATGTTCACCCGTTGTCGTTCCCGCGCATTGGTGAAGCACTGCCCGCTTTGCTTACATTAAATTCGTATTTCCGTCAGATAGAAGGCTGCTATGTTCCAGATCGTCGACAACGGCGGTGAAGATTAGATGATTGACCTTTGAGGCGCACTCCGGGTTAGCGATGAAGAAGTCAGGGATGTGCCTCATATCGCCTGTTGCACGAGACTCACAGATGCTGATGCCGTTCATGGCTGATGCATCAAGCCCGTGGCTCGAGTGTGTTCATCGGATTCGTTGGTCGTCGGTGTGAGTTCCATAATGAGTGGTTGATCCGTGGTTGACATGCGGCTGCAAAGTGTAGGTAATCGTTGCACTGATAAACCCATTGCAACTGCACTGTCCTGTGTGCCCACATCGCGTGAGCCTGCTGGCAAATACTTCCTCCATAGCTGCTTTGCAGTGATCTTGAACAACGGCAGTACGAGTTCAATGTAAGCTGTAGCTGCTCACCTTGATTCGAAATCAGGCTTAGCATTGTACGCTTTCGAAGGGAAAAGTGTATTTCGCTCTGCGAAAACCACACAGTGGTACTTCTCATGGCGCGCTTTGGAAAATACATGCAGTCGTGACGTCGGGGATCGAGGGACAATGGTATAGTCATACTCATCCAGTAGCTTAGTGACAGCCTTGGACATTTCTAACATTCCTTCCGTTGTAATGACCGCAAAGTATCGCCCATCTGGCAAGAACGCGATCCCTTTTGGCTGCCCTGAGGCTTCCAACACACTCATTACCTTCACAGCAGCACCATCTCGTACGATAGTCCCTTCGTCATTAAAGTGTAGGACGGCCTTCTCATCCGGTGAAAACACAGGCCGTGGGATCCAAAGAGAACAAGAATAATGTCCCTTGTGTCCGTGCATTGCCTGAGTACGTATATTAAAAAATCTTATGCCGATGCTTGCCATGTTCGATACTCACATTTACGTTCACCTGATCAGCACCTGAATCCGATCGTCATAGTGAGACGGTATTATCGCTTGTCACAACGAATTTCCTTCCATCTGGGGCACGTCTCAGCCTATAAATCTATCGACTTTTCCTCACAGTCCTCAGGGGTGCTAAGGTCCGTGCACAGCATAACACGATCTCGTTCTTTTCGACGATCGATCCGATAGCAAGAGCTATCAATAGACCAGGTTGAGTGAATGCAAGGCCTTCCACGTAGTTGTCGCATTAGAGCTCATCTTCTCGCGTCTTGACAATGGTAGCTTGAACTACATCGACAAGCTGCAATTGACGGTGAATGGCGACTAAGAGTAGGGACCCATCCGGAGAAAACGAGGTAGCCTAGACCACTCGCGCAAAGTACGTTGCATTTCTTGGATGATGAGAACCAAATCGTTCAGTTCGCGACCATCCTCCTCCATAGCGTCTGTCGTAAAAACGACGGGTCTACCATCCGGCGAAATGGTTTGGACATTCCACTGCTTTGGCTTTCGGAGCCTTCCGTATCAACCCTGTATAAATGCTACGAAGCTTCGTAGGCACGTCGCCTGGAGATACTGCAACGGTGCAGTTGCTTAAGGAGGGACTAGAGCCTCGTTGCTTAAAGTCGGACTCTGAGGTCTGCCATATGATTAGGAACGACGGCCGCTCACGCAGACAGTGCGCTTGATACTAAAAAGCCATTGGACAACATAGACCGCCATTGCTCTCCGCTTGGATCCTCAAAGGCGCAGCAGATGTCGACAAGCTTGCGAATACAAGACCGAGTCTTCTCATGTTCCAAGGTTTCCATCTCATGGAGCCTTCTGCAGAGAAAGTACACTGTCTAGCCTCGCGTAGGCCCACCGGGCGATTGCTCTTCATGAGTATGCATACAAGGAAGTATGCTGCGAGTGCCTCATCGTCAACAACGGCTTCGTGACTCTCCATGAGGCCACGCAACATGCTCTCGGCCTCGTTCAGATTTCTATAAGATAAGACCATGACGATGCTGAGGTGGTGCCGCAGAGTGAAAAGGGTGACCATAGGTTGATACATTCGGACGTTTGTTTCCATTCCTCAATCGAATGACACAAATGAGGGTTAGCTTGGTATACCTTTCCTCTATCATGAGTCGCTCGATCTTTTTCAGTCTCTTCTTGATTACTCGTCTGAGCAGAGGTGACTTTTCGGTCGACTTCGCGACGCCGAGACCGACCATAGAGATGGAGTCATCCGCATGAACCGTGGAGGCGGGTCCCGACAGGTCGGCATGTGGTGGAGGCGCATCGAGATCAGTATCCTGCACCCAGCCGTGGATATGTTTGTACTCTTGGCGTTGGGCCGCAGATTCATAGCATATGCCGGAATCGTAGGGGACGTCTTATGACACCCACCTGCTCGGATGCATCTCTGAAAGAGTCCCAGGCTGGGTGTGGTATATCATCAGGAAGGGTTCGAGCGTTATGCGAGAGTGCTGCTAGCATGGTTCTAATCGATCGACCCGTTCATCTAGCTGTTATGACTCGTCTTCGATGATTGCCCTGATTGCCCGATTGTGCGATTGTCCGATGTACTGGGATTGGGCGCGATATTCACACTGGACAGATGTTGAACGCTGTACTATCAGATGGTGTCATTGCATGCTTAATACGAGATTTAGAATCTGGCCAGGCCGACGGAAATCTCCAAGGCCCTCGTGTAGACTTGTATCTGCTGTCTGAAGTGCGCGACTTGGACGGCGTACTTGTTCGACCTTGAATGTTACTGACAACCGCTTCTAGCCGAGAGAAGGTAGATGCAGCATTCGTAAGTAACGTCGTAAGAGCATCTCTGTCCCACCATGCTGGGACCTCTGAATTGGACTCTTTCTCGATGAGTCCTAGCTCTGTCTGGAGTATGAACAAAACTGAGCGGAAGGCAACCACCTCGCCGGCGAAGCCCTGCAACGTCTCATCGATCGATTTGAACTCGTCAATACCGGTCTCGAGGCCAAGAACGGCGGGCAGTAAGCTTGTTGCAAGCGTCAACGCTCCGGCGGTCAGGCCTACAATCGTGGCGGGATTCCTTGATCGTAATGGCAAAGCCTCGTGCCTAGAGATCCGGCAACGTCGAGATGCTGTCGTAAAGGTGGGCCGAGGTGGGAGGAGGGAAGGCTGAGTGTAGGAGGCAGGCGCAGTATGTATGCTCCACCTTCCAACACACGCTTGTCGACACAGTGCGAGCAGTCGCGATCTGCAAGGGTCGGCGGCTGACAGCGCCATTGGTCGACACTGCGAAGCGAGCCTTAGTCACTATACTTGGCGCAAGGGCTGTAGAACGCGAGCGCAGCCTCCGCCTTGTGACGAGATGCGTACGAATCCGGCAACGACACAACAAACTTGGAGGGAGGCTGAGGTTCTCTGCGTGAGAGCAAAGATGGAAGGCAGTCGAGTGAAGGCGCTATGGATGTATGGACGTTGATGTTGAGACTGCCCGTAAGCTCTCATATCATTTTCGACTTTCCTTTTTGCCGCCTGACGCGCTCATCGTACTCCCTCACCAACTCAGCCGCACCCTCGAGATCCTCCGAAGGTAGCCAGTCGTGGCTGTCGTAGCCTTGCCACTTCACGAGGTAGTACTTCCTGCCATCATCGTCGTAGTAGTGCTCGATGACAGACTCGACTACGTACTCTTCTGCATCTTCGTCTTCGCTGCCGTCCGCGGTTGTGTCGATCTCGAGATTCGAATGATGAGGCGCCGAGGGAGCAGCACGAGGCGTGTTGTGGACAGCGAGATTGGCATCGTGGTACTTGTGTACTTTGACGGTTGATGGGGGGTCTGCAGGGATGGAGGCGGCTTCCCTCCCGGAGTCTGATTCTGCGATTTGTGACGAGGGCGGGAACATGAGTGTTTGCTGGGGTTCGACGCTCTCTGTCTTGCGCCGCTTGCTTGGATGCACGACGTCGTCGTCGTCCGAACTCGCCGACTCTGACTCTGCTGCTGCGATGCCGCCGAACCTGCGTGCAAACTGGAGTGGCACGGCCGCACTTGAAACATAAGCACGTTTGTTGTCTGCTGCGGCAGTGACGATGTCGCCGACATGTGGCGCTTCTGCGTGGCGCTGCTGCAGCCCTTTTGGGGGCGCAGGTCGACGCAGCCGCACTGGAGAGGAGAGCGGAAGTGCACTGTTGGCTACGAAGGCAGAGCGCATCAGGCCTGGCGATGTTGGTTCTGACAAGTCGTCCTCGGACTCTGCTTGCTCGGATTCCATGCTGGTCTCGGTGGTCTCGGTGGCCTCGGTGATCTCGGTGATCTCGGCGATCTCGGTGATCTTGGTGATGTCGTCACGTGACGTGGGTGGCCCTTGGGTATGTGTCTGGCTCGGCTGGCCGTCGATGATCTCGCCCTGGGGAAGCTCGCGATGAGAAGCGCTACCGGATAGCAAGCCCCCTCTTCCCCGCCAGCGGCCTCCTCCCCCGCCCCTGCTTCGCCCTCGCCCCCTCCCCGCCACGCGCGCATTCTTCTCCATCCTCCTCCGGACCTGCTCCTGCTCGTCCTCCCGATCCGCAACAGCCTGCGCCTCGGCCTCGACCCGGAACTGCTCATTCTCGAACCTCTCCAGCTCCCTCGGGCTCACATACTGCAGTATGCGACTCACGTCCACCCTCTCGACCTCGGTCCCGCCCCTCTCGCGCTCATCGCTGCTCTGCACCCACGTGCCCGTCTGCTCCTGCCCGCCCAGGTACGTGATCTCGACGAAGTAGAAGTTGCGCCCCAGTCCGTCTTCGGTCTGGCGGCGCTCGAGGATGCGCGTGAGTGCGTCGGGGATGGGGCAGTCGTCGGGTACGTGGGGCGACACGGAGACGGGGGCTTGGCGGATGTGCCAGATGTTGTCGTAGACGGCGGGGGAGGGGGTGTAGGACTCCCATTCCCACTGCACGCGTCAGCATGCGACACACAGCGGGCATGGGCGCAGAGCGCATACTTACAATCATCGTGCTGCCTCGGCCGCGACCGCGACCTCGGCCACGGCCGGCTCGTGGCCGTCTCGCGGACATGCTGGGCTGCTGTATGTGCGCGTGTCCAACAGCGCATACACTTCAAATAGATATGGTCGCAGCGACTGCGGCCAATGGCTGTTGCGACGCGTCATGGCGAAAGGTGCTGGCTCTTGGTGCACCCAGCGCGAAGTCGCGATCTGGGCGTTTCCGCGCTGACGTAATAATCGCTCCTGGCTTCCGGCTTCCTGCTGGCCTGAGGCCCTACTTCACCCTCGCTCCACTACCATCCATCGTAGAGACAAAGATGCCATCAAACCCGTGTCGCGTGCTCGACTCGATCTGTGCAGAGAACGAGCTCCTCCAGCAGGCGCCATTGACGCTGTGCAGCTCCCGATGCCGTCCGACAAAGGCAGCCCTGTGCGCTGTGTTGTGTCATAGTAATTTCGTGCTATCAATCTTTTCCTTCACACCCCTGGCGCACATCATCAGTCTCGCGAGTCGATCGCTGCTCAAGTACTGCAAAGCCCGTGATGCGTAAAGCTTAGCATTCACTTCTATGCATGACCAATCCTGTGGCGCCCCATCACCACCCAATCGTCGCTCTTCCCTTCCACTAGCGGCTTCCTCGCAGCATCAGTCAGCATCATGGCGGCGCGTCCAGGGCATGTCTCTGAAGAGGAGATGGATCGCCGAATGCAGCGTCGTTCTCCTGATCGTTCAGACTCGCCAGCACCTTCTACCACCAGACCTGCTTCAATCAGGTCCTCGACCACAGCACATGCTGGCCTCGTTCCAGCCAAAATGCCTGCTCCCACACTTGGCTGCCAGATCGCGCCCCACTACGACCGCGAGCAGTGGCCCTATAACAGCGAAAGTGACACTACTGACACAGAGAGCGAGGCCGAGAGCGCAGCGCAAGAGGAAGCCGTCGAGGAAGCTCTCGAAGAAGCTCTCGAAGAAGCTCTCGAAGAAGCTCTCGAGGAAGCCCTAAACATCGAGAAAGCAGAGACACAGCACTCCCGCGGTATCACCCCAGCACTGTCCAAGATCAACACCCAACGGTCTAGACGCAGCCGCAAGGATGTTCCACAGGCTCCAGTTGGCTTCTGGCACTGGCAAATGGTAAGATGGCCGCATCGCTGGAGGTCTTTGTGCTGATTCGACAGGCTGGCGTGCGACTGCACGTACTCAAGCTGTGGCTTCGAACAAGTGAGTGCAAACCCTTTTCTCCAGCGCCGCGCAGGCTCATCAATGTCCAGACCTCATCCTGGCTGTCGCCATCATAGCCTTCCTGTGCCTGTTCTGGGGCGCTTTGTTTCGCCAGAACGACAACGTCAAGCACCTGAAGATTCTGGTAGTCGACTTCGATGGCCAGGTTGCCCCTTACAATCAGACTACGCCATTCGTGGGACCCTTCGTGACCCGTACAGTCAATGGCATGCTCGATTCAGCCGGCATCGTTCCCGGGTACACTTTTCGATCGCCCAAGGACTTCGACTACGACCCTCTCAAGGTCCGAGAGGCCGTGTACGACATGCACGCCTGGGCCGCAGTAGTCATCAACCCGAATGCGACTTCCCTTCTTGACTACGCCATCAGGCAAGGCAATCAAAGCTACGACCCTGCTGGCGCCTGTCAGCTGATCTACAACTCCGCGCGCGACCAGACCACGAGCTCATCCTACATCGTTCCTAGTCTGACCGCGCTTCAGAGACGCGTTGGCGCCACCTTTGGCTACTCATGGATCCTCCACCTCCAAGCAGACCTCCGGGAGCTAAACACCATGGATGCGCCTCAGGCACTGTCTCCTGGTATCGACTTCACGACCTACGATTTGCGACCCTTCGGCCCGCCCGTCGCCACGCCGGCAGTCAGCATCGGCCTGATCTACCTGATCATCATCTCCTTCTTCAGCTTCACTTTCTTCCTGCCCATCCACATGAAGTACCTTTCGCCCAAAGGTCACCCACCGCTGCTCTTCCGCCATCTCATTGCTTGGCGCTACATCGCTACTGTCAGCTCATACTTCTTCTTGTCACTCATCTACAGCTTCGTCAGTCTCGCCTTCCTCATGCCCATGAGCAATGCACCGGCAAGCCACGTGTGGCCAGCTGTGAATGCGAACGCATACGGGCACGGCACATTTGTGGTTTATTGGATGGGCAATTGGATCGGGATGATCGCATTTGGGCTGGCGAGTGAGAACATGGCGATGCTGCTCGGTACACCCTGGACGGCGCTATGGCTCATCTTTTGGGTAATCTCGAATGTAGCAACAGGCTTCTACGCGCTTGACCTTGCACCGAGCTTCTATCGCTGGGGATATGCATGGCCGATGCATAACAGTCAGTCTTCCTCTTACCTCCTCCCCCCTCCCCTCCCCTTTATCAGATGCAAGTAACTGACGGAACCCAGTCGTCGAACTCACGCGCTCAACCCTCTTCGACCTCCAACAGTCCCACGTAGGACGCAACTTTGGCGTCTTGTTCGCCTGGGTCGCGATTGACACCATCCTCTTCCCGATTTGTTGCTACTACATGCGTTGGAACACCGCGCGGGTGAAGCGAAATGCTGCACAGGCCGAAGCCGAGTGGCACGCGAAGATGGAGAAGGAGCGGGCTGAGCCGAGCCTGATGGCAAGGGTCACTACGAGGGGAAGCCGGTACGGTGGAGCAGCCAGGGCGCGGGAGGGTGAGGCGTGAGCATGGGTTACACGTAGAACTGGCTACGCATCGGTAGCGGTCAACAAAACATATACAGACCGAATGTTAAGTCATATTTTGATAACAACAGCGCGATCTGTTGAGGACGCGTAGATGATCCCAGCTTATCTGCAGCCACAATGACGTTGCGATTAGCCCTGCATCACAGGGTGTCAGGTAACAATCAGACCGCCATACCAAGAGCTTGTTAACGTCTCCTGCCCTCATATTAACTTCACGATCCGCGTCCATACGCCACATCACGACCCAGAATTGGAGGAGCAAAGAAATCCAAAATATCAGTAGCAGGCGCATCACCGGTAGTATGGGTTGCAGTCAGTCGTCCGCCAACGGCTCCTCGAGCGGGAATAACACGAACTGCACAAACTGCAAGAATTGCAGCAATTGCAGCAATTGCACCGACTGCACAGGTAGGTGGGCTCTCTTCATCATCCATTCTCATGATCTCGCTGTCACTTTCTCCATGTTATTCTCTCCATTCCAGTTCTTGTGGAAGTCATCACATCGTTGCAAGGAACTCCTGCCGTCCTCAGTTCCGGTCATGCACGCACGCTTCGCCACACGAAGCTGAGATCACAGACTGCTTGTCGTGCTCGAGCTGCACGGCCTGCTACGACTGCGAGAGGTGCAACAGCTGCACGAGCATCAACGGCTGCTACGATTGTCGCAATTGCACGGAGTGCGACGGCAATGATGGATGTCGAAGCTGCACGGACTGCACAGGTACAACCCGCCCTCTTCGCGCTTCTTGAACAGTCCATGCTTCCAATCAACATCATGTTCTCACATTGCGCGCGTCCACTTCCACCCTTCTTTACTCAATGACGCGTTCAGATGTCTTTCCTGATCATCGATCAGGGCTTGGTTCAGCGTCACACCACCTCCTCTCCCGCTGTGCTCAGTCGCATTCTATATCACACATACTAATGCCTTCCCAGACTGCACCAACTGCCGAAACTGCACATCCTGTACCGACTGCACAAACGAGCAGAACAGCACGAACTGCACGGGATGCACCGGCGGGAGCAACAATACAAACTGTACTGATTGCGTCGACTGTCAGAATTGTACGGATTGCAGCGGCTTGAGCGGTGCGAAGAACCAGACGGGTGTACATAAGAAAGTCGAGGTGAAGAAGGAACAGGAGGAGGGGGAGGATAGGCCGCCGCCGTACAGTGTGGTTGAGAAGTATTAGACCTCAAGACTGCGACTGATGGGATGCGGAATGTGGAGCTGGAGGATGTGGCGTTAGTACAGGGTATTGTTACACACTACGTCAACTCTCGCGCTGTTCATTGTCAAGGTGCTTACCAATACCCCCTGCTCTTGTCGCCGCCTCTTCACTAATGTTCTTCCGCCCGCCTTGACTTTCAAACTGTGACCGAGGAACCCCGCGTAGCTGGTTGCATGTGTGCGATTGCGCATGGCCTTGGTAGTCTAGGAGATGGAACACGTAATCGATTCCAGCAAGTACGTCAAGGTCAGTCCTTCGAAGTGAGCAGATTGAGGTACGTCGCGCTTGATTGCAGCCACGAGGTTGATATGAAGGATGGAGATGGTCGACCGAGACTCCGAACTGGCTCTAGGGATGGGAGCGTGTTCAAAAGTCCCCGGCCAGATCAAAAGTCCAGAAATCAGGAAACGTCCACCCACTCAAATCCACGCCCATGTCCTCCAACGGATCAAACGCCGCCATCATATCCTCACCTTTACCACCCGTTCCTCCGTCCGCGACAGGGAACGGCACATCCCCAATCATACTGTGACTCGCAAACGCACCCACTCCCTTACTCCCAAAGCTCCCCGCCGCTCTACTCGACAAAATCGTTCCTCTCATCGGGCTCGCCGCGCTTGCTCCACTCGGCGTCCGCACATCACTCGGACTGCTGCCGCTCATGCTCTCCCTCAGTCCCACAGCCAGGCTGTTCTTTGGATCCTGCTGCATCGCCAATACCCTGAACGCCAGGCTTGTGAAGCGGTCAAGCGCCGTTTTACAGCGCTCGTGCATGTCATCGGTACTCGTCCTGATTTGTGCAATGGACGACACGTGGGGGCGCGGAGGCGGGTTGATGGCTGGCAGCATGCCAATGGCCGCGCTGAGGAGCCAGTATTCCATGTACCCCGTGCCGAGGCGCATTACTTTGCGCTCGAAGAGGTGAAGTGTGCGCTCGAGGATCTCGATGGAGGTCTTGATGAGCGCGCGGGGGAGCATCTCGCGCGGGAGGACGGGAAGGTAGAGCTGGCAGCTTGGTGGCGCGAAGCCGCCTTTGTTGGCGAAAGGAACGCCCTTGTTGGTCACAGGTGGAGCGTTCGTGTCGGCGATATGGATGTTTGGGTCGGCGAAATGGGTATGGTCGCGCATTGGTGGGAGTGCTGTGGGTTTCACGCCGTGTCGTGCACAGTTGAGGGCTGCGATTTGGGACAGTGTCATGCCGACGCGGATGATGTCGTTGCGGAAGTGATTCAGGATGAGTATTCCTTGGGAAGCGAGATCGTCGTGGATGGCAATGATCGAACTTGCCGCCTCTACTGAGGTTGTGAAGGAATAAGCAAAGCGCTTCTCCGTGAACGCTTTCTTCGCATAAGGTTTGTGGAGAACGAGGAGGTATTGTCGTAGCTGAAGTCCGAGAAGAGCGTAAGGTATTGTGGCTCGGGAGTCAGTCCAAGAAGGGAAGTCGGCAAGGACAGATGTGATCTGCTCATCATAATGGAGCACATCGCTGTATTGCATATCGCTGGATGGATCATTCAGCAGCTTCGTAAGATGAATGCGTAGAGGAAGGGAACGTAAGGCGGCGTTGAGGTAGGAGGTCGCTGTAAAGTATTCTCCAGGTCTGCTGGCCGGCATCTCCTTAGTCTCAAGGGAGAAAGCCTCGTCCGGGAGGTTCGATGGCGCCGGTGTATCAAAGTACAGGCCAGTCAAGGATGATTGCAGGCCGCTGTCAATTGACGACTGGATCTCGAGCTCCGTGATGGTGTACCACAGTCGCTTCTTCATTTCCTTCTCATACTCGGAGATCCGTCCAGTGGCCAGTAATGAAGGGTCTCGATGCATCCCCGATGCCAGAGCGAGGCGCACAACGTCGCCTGCAGTGATCCAGTCCTGCTTCAGCTTGACACAGTTCACCCTCTTGGCGAGCAGCGCCAGACACTGGAGCTGGAAGAACGGGAGCGTAAGGCGCTTTCGTGGTTGCCTGTTGAGCCACAGCTCGCATGTCTCGATGAGATTCGATGCAGCATCCCGGTCTGACGTGCTATCACCAACGAACACATCGTCCTTGACTGTCGAGCATTTCGTAGTTGCAACAATGAGAATTAGCATGGCGGCGAAACCAGCTTGTTTATCATCACTAGGCCGACGTGCCCAGAAGCTGTTGTATTCTTGCCAGAAGGTTGGCTCGTGCAGGATTCGATATGTGGTTTCCCATGTACGAAAGTAGAGTGCTGCTTGGATGTCGACCTCGTGCTTTGGTGGAAGTAGTGCAAAGATCTCATCATCTGTGCCGTATGTTCTTGCGATCTTCTCCTTCATGAGTATCTTTCTTCGGTCACGGAATCCCTTAAAGTCCTTCTTGATTCGCAACATGGAGTTGTCGACCGCCAGTGTCTCGCGAGTGAATGCTTGCAGGTCTCGGTACTATGCATCTCAGCAACATGTTTCAGGATAGGAACTTCGAAGGGTGTGTGGTACCTGTGAAATCATGCTCATCACGCTCGTTGTACCATGAAACTGTGTCTTGAACCCTTTCCCTCTGAACATCATCTCTTCCACCATCTCAGGCTCTTTGATGGGTAAGTCCTTCAGTTGCGACGGATTGTTGCTGCTAGACGTCGCTGCAAGCTTCTTCTCCAACATCTCGATCCTGCGCTCCTGCATCCTCACCTTCCAGCACAAAGCGTCTGACGAGCCTTCCTTGGCAAAATCTTCGTTGACCCCGTTATCGTGCATTGTAAACATGGTATTGTTCGCATCGCCAGTCAGTGGCTGACCGATCTGCACTTGTGCTTCTTCGAGCAGTCGTGGATCATATGAACACTGATCAGCCCTACCAGTCTTCTGGCATCGGCTACAGACCGGATAAACACGATCGCACTTCATTTTACGGCTGCGACACGCATAGCAGGAAAGCACCTTGCGCTTCTTGCTTATGCGCTTCTCTGTCGTATCATAGTGGTCTGGCGAGTTGTCGCGCGACTCGGGTTCGGCACTTTTGGTAGACATCTCGAGTTTTACACGTGATTGCACATCAAGAATATATGTAACGTGGATTTGGTGTTGTGTGTTGTGGTGGGAGGTTCGGAGGACGCGGAGATGGGAAAGGGGATGAGGAGATACGACGCGGGGATGCGCTCTTAAAGCTTCGGACTTTGGGAATGAGCCGGGCATTAGCGTCAAACTCAACTTCATCGCTATTGGTTGACTAAATATCAAACTTGAGATGTTGAGTACTCGTATCATATCTTTTCATCTGTTGGACTCATACTTGAATATGTATACGCGTCGTGGCGGTGGTGAGAATTTCTTCAAGGTGCTAATGTTCGCTTTGAAATGTAGAAGATGGAGGCAGTATTAAGACTTCTGAGAATTCGAGCCGCTCTTTCCCCAACATCATCCACCATACCGGAGGTCTTGCGATCTTCATATCCTCACACTCTCTCGAATTTCAATATCATGACCGCGCTCTGCTCCATCACGGTGTGCTCAGCTGGCTTCAGTCCACCCAGAATCTCATCACCCACACCAGCATCAAGCCAGACGAGGACTCTTTCTGCTTTTTGATAAATGTCTCCCATCTGTCGAACCTGATGTTCTCGTTCTTTGTCATGGCCTGGATCGATACATACAGCATCAATCTAGAGTATTCTATAACTATCTGCTGGGCGAAGATAATGCAGCGCCATGAACAGATTTTCGGTGACCCTTGCTTTCATGCCGTTAATCCGAATCATGGCTATCTTGTCAATGCCACACCATGTATACAATAAGGCCTCGTAAGGGATGTCGCCATCTTTGGCTTCGTCGAGGTAGGCGTCGAAAAGCTCGCAACGAATATCTTTTTGCCTCCGCCCAGGAGTCGGATCAGCCGAAAAGAGAGGCGGTCCAAGTCGATCCGGCCATACGTGAACTCCTTTCCCGACATTGTAAATTCCATGTTGGATAATCCTAGATAGTGAAACTACCAAAACGTGATACTGATGTATGCACATTCGGATGATACTAACAAACTATTAAAAGCCCAAGTAATGTAAAGAAAGGCGACCTGGAAGAAAACGGAGAGATAACCTGTTAGGCATCGATTGCGGCGTGGCTGAACGCTGTCGAAAATCTGCAACCTCCACGACGTACAACAAACAATACAACCAGCAAAAAGAACAGATACATTTGTGTTGGGAGGTAGGCTAAGACATTGATGAAGCTAATATATAGGCCAGCCACCCCGCTTCTCGTGGAGCAAGGACTGGATTAGAGGGCAAGGATGGTGGAGAGGCGGCCGCCAGGCAACGACGAACAGTGCGGGGCAGTGTTGGGGCGGTGTCGCGGCAGTGCCCTGGACTACCATTTTCTCATTGTGTTCCTAACCAAACCCTTCAGTGAAGATCTCGACATCTGTCGCCCTTTGTCCTCGTGCAAAGGCGAGTTTCACCTGTGAGACAGCTTTATTCGTTTGAACCGAGACCGCGCTGTTCGCACAAACAGCTACCATCGACTTGCTGCGTTGGTCGACGTTCACAGCGGATGTGATGATGCGCGAGATGTCTGGTCGTACACCGTACGAACTGCTCTCGAAGGAAGACTTTATGGATTTGTGGAGCTTATGGCGCTGGTATTGCACGAGGGCGCACTGGCAGGTCTTCATCTTGGGCTTTTCTCGTGGCAGTAGCGGCGGACGAACAGGCGACGGCAGTGGCCGCGACTGATTCAACGCTGCAGTTTCATCCATCGTTAATCGTACCTCGGAGAAGGTATTGCTGTTGCGCTGGTCTTGTTGGCCGTTTGCTCCATTAAGCAGTGTGCTGGTCTCCGAGCACGCGTAGCCCTCGCCTTCGTAAGCTCTGACAGCGCCCTCGTTGTTACTGTAGGTTGAGCTGAGTTCGTAGGCATCCTCGAATGGGTCAACTTCTTTCATCTGCATTTCCTCGAGCGCTTCCATTTCCGCCCACTGTCGCTCTTCCTCCTCCCATTCGTTATAGATCTCGTCAGGATTGCGGATCGTAAGGGTTCGATCACCTGATCCATATCGTGGAAGTCGAGGGCGCAGGTGTGCAAATTGATCAAACTCAGTCATGCTTGGTTTGACTTCGGCTTCTTTGCAAGTAACGTAGAGCTCCGTTTCTACTCGCACGCTGAAATCCCTCAGCATCGAGCTGTACCGCCGCAGTAGCTCTGCAACAGAAGCTTCGAATTGTGGGTCGATGTGTCGCACCACCCAAACAAAGCGGATGCTCTGAGTTCTAAGTTTCGATACGTCCGAGAAGCATAGCTGCTCTAGGTAATCCATGATGGATAATGCGAATGATGCGCCAGTCGAGGTGGCGATAAGCAGTAAGTTCTTGTGATCCTCCCAGTTTGGCGGACTGCCGTACGGCCCATCAACATACGCTGTCAGCGACGTTGCAGTGGATGACACGGTCGTGTTTGGACATGGGAGCCTCAGCCACTCCGTGTGAAACTCCTTGAGGCGCCGAGTTAGACCCGAGTGAGCGCGAACCATCAACAGAATGTCACTGGACTGCTTCGATGATGCCATAGAAGATGCGGACCCTCGTCTCTCTACATCTAGACTTCTCCTAGGCGGCAAGGGTGGCGGCGTCATTATGCTCGAGCAGTTTGCGGGTGTGAAGGGGTGCATCTCGAATGCGCCGAGTGCTGGGAGGTACAACCTGATGTGTTGCCCTGGTCGCCACGTCAATGGTACATTGCAAATGCGGATCAAAGTCGTGGATTCCTCGATGTCGGTCGAGACACCCAGATTGTGCGGTTCCAGCATCTCGACTGGATAGCCGGCAATCAACATTGCCCGACCTGGTGCTTTTCTGGATTTGGCTAGACCTGGTTTGAGTGGCCGTACTGAGATATTGACCCGGAGGAACGAGACAAAGACTGAAATTTTGTCGAATGCTACAAAACCGAACGCCATGTAGATCGGAGTCGTTGCATGTCTTGGCACATGTTGGAGGACAATCATCAAAAAGCCCAATGTCGACACCCAGTGGTTGATGTAGAAAGCGCGATAGCTCCACTTCCTGATGGGTAAGATGCCGCTGACTGCAATCCAGGTCAGCAACAAGTATGAGCCGATGCCGTAACGCACGACGGTAGCGCTTTGGTCCTGTGAGAATAGAATGTCCGTCATCGAGATGGACGATTTCATGATCGCAACATGAGTGGTGGCAGAGACGAAGACCATACGACCAACCCATTTGTGCAGCCAGCTGATCCTGTCGTACGATATGCTAGCGAGAAAGTTAATGGGTCCGCGTTTGGTCGACAAGAAGAAGGCCAGCGGGATCTGGGTAACGGTGACCCAAGCAGCTCTGAATGCGACATCGTCGGTGAAATGAGCAGTCGAGGTAGGCGCATCGACAGACAGAAGTATTGACACAACGATGATCAGATATATGGTCAGCGCAACGATGCTGCCCAAGGAAAAGGTATTCAAAGTGCGCCGCAATGTTTTTGGGAATGGCAGTACAGCGACAGCATGGATGAATGCTAATGCACGTCTCGATCTGGAAAATCTCCTTGGTGATGGAGACATGAACTTGTGTGCGCGTAACCTGAGTCATGTCAGACTCGCACATCTGTCAAAGAAGTTGAACTGGGTCGTTGACTTACATTCGCCTACTCAACCACGTAACCATTGTTCGGCTGAGTCTGATAAGCACAAATGCTGCTATGCATGACCAAACAATCCAACATATCTGTCGGTTGGCACTACCTCGGTGCACGAGGTGATGCTGATACCGAACATCGTCAAAGTCGTTTTTCATGTCAGACATGGCACACAATGTCTGTGGTACTTGCAGGGGCCTGCCAGCAGTACTGCTATTAATATTAGGGATGATGAATTGTTCCAGCCTGGTATGGAGAAAGTCGCCTTCGTAGGAAGCCGCCAGTAACGGGTTCCTTTGTATCGGAGAACAGAAGCGTTCTGCCGATCAGATGCAGTGCCCGTCGGTACAAAGGAAACAAAGGAAAGAATGTGACGGAGGAAGAGGGTCGAAAGACATCCTCAATGCCATTGTGTTGACAGCTTTGGCGTGGCAAAACGGTGTATGGGCCTATTAATGGATATTGTGTATCAGCCAGTAGGTCCTGAGACGTGTTGTGCTGGTCGAGGATGGTGAAACCGAAGCGCCAATGGCCTCGTTGTGCGCCTCACCACATTGCAAGTGATTCTGGGTCTTCAATTGTAGGACTGGGTAAAGATATGAGGGCACCTGCCTTTCAATTCCTGATCATACTTTCCCATAATCTAGACTGTTGAGTTTGCTACGCGCACAGCGAAATCGAAGATGCGCCTGGAGAGACATGACATCACCTGTTTCAGATCGCTCTCGTGAAGGCGCGACGCGCCCCTGAGGTTCACTACCGCAGCCAAGACGTTCCCAGCCACAAGCATACTGTATCGCGTGATACAATCGACAACACGGCTAGACTCGAGGTGTTGTGGAGGTGGAGGAGAGGTGGGGAAGCCAGGAAAAGGTACCACGCCTCGGTTGCGCCCGGGCCCCACCTTCAAGTTTCAAGCAGACATCAACTCAACACCATCCTCGACCATCACGTTTCTAACGCTGTGATGCCTACAGCACGCAAGAAAAGACATCAGGCCACGTGTCCAATGTAGTCACAGTATACAAAGGGAGCCAGCAGCCGTCCGCGGTAACGTTAGTCGAGCTGGGAGTGCTTCAGGGTAAAGACGTATCAATGTTGTCGTTCCGTGCTACCGATTGGGAGGTTCTCAAGAGCTCAATGCCTCTTTCTCCGCTGTCATGAGTCTTTTCTTTTTCTCCACCCCTTGTCATCACTTAATCCACGTACCAACCGCCCTGATACTTTTCCGGTTAGATCTCGATGCGGAAGAACACCTCGAACAACTCCTTCACCTTGTTGGTACCGAAAATGCCATAATCGAATGAGCGTTTGACGATCTTCTCTGCCCATTATCAGTCACGACTGTCAGGTCGCTCGTCGGGAGTGGACAGTACTTACCCCAGTGGACAGGCTGGCAGTCGCGGTGATCCATGCCGCTGCAGTTGTACAGTCCTTGTACGATCGGTCGCTGATGGAGACGGCAGCAGTGGAAGCGATGCTCGTGGAAGCACTTCAGGTCGAATGATGCGCAGCACTTCGAGATGACTGCTTCTGATAGTCATATGCCGTTGGTGGATAGGCCGGTGTCTCGATGTAGGTAGAAGCCCCAGGAAAGGAGCAGGCGCAGTGTTGATGGACGGTGGAGCGCGGGAATGGCGGCGATGCTCAACGAAACCAGACATGGTCGAGCCATAGCCATAGGTAGGTGCAGGCGTCGGTGCGGACGCACGCAGAGGTAACAATCCAGCATGTGCGAGTGCACCCTCAGCGTCGCCTAGACGGCGTTCGGGCCTGTCGATTCGAACCCTGCAAAGGCTTCTGGGGAACGCATTGGGAGGGGTTATATCGCAGCTGCACTGTTTCGAAGCACCACTGCACAGCTTGACTATGGGAACTTATGAATGTCAGGGCGATTGTTACGATGAGCATATGACGATGCGCATGGTCAAGCAGCCTGACAGCGCCGAAGTGCTTGGTAACTTGCAGGAATCAACTGATCTACGGTAGCAGAGTGATCAAACCCTCGATTCTAGCTCGAGGACAATCGGTCTAGCACGATGGGGCACCTATGTTGAGCGTACACTACGAGTGTACACTACTACAACCTCAGCACTGTCCGTTCTCATTGCTTAGGTTCCACACAGTGTCGAGATTACCAAAGGTGGTCATATGCCCAGAGCTGGATTCCTTCGCACACTCTAGGATCGGACTTTTGCCATGGACAGCGTGTTAAGATGACTTCAAATCACATTGCCCCGGTCTGTCTGTGGGTACACGTGGATTTGACTGCGACAAATCCGGTCTCCTCGGACCACAGCTCCTGAATGACCTGGTTGGTTACATCAAAGCGGGTACTTCAATCAAATCACGACCATTGTACATCGCGTCGCATACGAAACCCTGGAATCCTGCACTCTTCAACGTGTCCTGCTCGCAACCTAGGCCCAGTCACCATGCGGGTACTGGCCTTGTGGAAGTGAAACCGGCGGTCCGGTGCGCTGCGGTCCGTAGATGGGAGAGAACAGGAGATGCTTCAGGAACCCACTTTCCAGGCCCTTGTGGCCGATCTTGCCGTCTCGGAAGGCGCGGGCAACGATCTCCGCCCAGTCGTGACGATCTTCTGCGGTATGGTTAATCACTGGCTAATCGCAAGTTGAAGATTTTACATACCCCAGGAGACTGGCATGCAGTCCCCACGTTCTTCTGCCTTCACCGAGCAAGAGGTGTACGTGCGGGTGATGATGCGGTTGTGGGGGTGGCACCACGCCATATGCCCCTCGCGGAAGCAAATTTGGTCGAAGGCGTACCTATGGCAGGCTGTGGTGGAACTGTGAAAGCTTTCAGTATACAGTTCGTCCTAGGGATAGTACCGGAACTCACCACTGCTTTAACGTACCCTGGCGACGGAAGTGCTCCTGCATAACAGCCAAGCTCTCGACTACCATGGGTAGATGCATGGCATTGTCACTTGGCGTTGCATAAACTTGGGCAGCAGGAGATGGAGGAGGAGGAGGAGATCGAGCAATAAGGGAGCGCAGGTGCGCGTTTTCGACCTCGAGGTGGGAGACGCGATCAGTGAGGCTGTGGAGTTGAGCCTTGAGGACGTTGTTCTCGTCGTTCAGCCTGTTCACCATGCTGTTGATATCGAAAAGAGGAGTATGAGGGTACATCTAGTGAAGAGTAGTGAAGAAGATATATATGGAGGTTGGTTTGGTCGAAGAATAAAGAAAAGTTGGTTGTGGGGATGGAAACACAGTGGTAGAAAAGGCTTGATATACAAAGCGGGCCTGCGGCAAACACAGCCAAGGCTGTCTTCACTCAACAAGCGAAGAGCGCACGCCGGAGCCCCCGAATTCTTACGAGCTCAAATCAGTGGTGAAGAAGGCAGGGAGCATGAGCTATTGATATTTCAAGTTGTTTGCGCACAGTGCGGGAAGATGGTCAAGTGAACGGGGTCGTTCATGGTCATTGGGAGGCTTAAGCGAAACGCTGAAGAGCGCATGACTGGTCTACGAAATATGACCAAGCAAACACGACGCCCAAGCTCCGGCCAAACGGGGATCAACAACCGGAAATCTGACCCCCTGAACTCCTCGAGCGCAATACTCGAAGCTCACTTCTTTGCCAAACCCATCGTGCGCTCCGGATTTGTGCACGGTCCGTCTACCAAAATAGTCAGAAAAGTAAACAAAGTGATCGTGTAGCTCCATTTAATTCCAAGAATATGGCGGAGGAGTTTTTACTGCATGCTCAGCACCTCGACCTCGTTCTCGATGGTGTTTCTGGGTGGAGACGAACGTGACGCTCGAGCTGTTCCAGACACACCTAGATCCTGAACTTTTCGTCGTGAACGAACTGCCCGTGCTCACCCATCCAGTGAGCGATGTTACCGTTGATGTCGCTCGGCGCCAGCTCGAAGATTATCTTGTCGATCGTCTGTTGGTGCTCTTTGGTACGGCGGAGCAACACGTTCGTGCGAGGAGAGGTGTTAGGCATGAGGGCGGGAGATAGAGAAGGCCGAGGAAGACCGAAATGCTGGTGGTTTGGCTGTGGTGTATGGTAAGGCTTTTAAGAGAGCTGATTGATGATGAGTTGTAGAGGAACGAGCCAGAGAAAAAACGGCAGAGTAGCAGCCCAAGGACGTAAAAGCAACCGCAGACAGCTCACTCGATCCGATATAGTGCTGTAGCCTGCCTCAATGTCACCGTCGCCTTGCGCACAGGCACTGGGTGACCAGCAGCGCCCGAGTATGCACCGGACATTGGGCTAGCGTGTGATCTGAGCGTAGCTCTCTCGCAGGTACAAGTGTCCAAGTCTTCCATCCCAGTCATCCTTTTTCTGTCCAGAATGGGTTCTTCTAATGACAAGGTGGAGTAAAACAGCACTTCCCATCGCTACGTGGTCCGCCGTACCCCGCTCTTTATAGAATAATCTTGTCAGCTATCTCAAGCACCCTACGTTTTAGGACTGCTTATGTAATAGGAAGGTATATATTCGCTCACTTTGGTAGATTTATCAATCAACCAATGACTTCCCCATTCTCCTCTCATATTGCTGAAAAATATCTCTCAATAGCTGTTGTAGCCGAGGTCTGCAGTGGAACCGAGATGAGGGTACATCCCATGCGCTCCGGTACGCTTTCTGTTATTCCTCCGTCGTCAATAACATTTTCGTTTTTCTTCACTGCACTTTCTTCCTTGCCGTGCTGTGCTCTCACTGTTAAGTAGATGAATGACAAAGGAGTTGATGGATGGAAGACTGGATTTCAGGAAGAAGGGTTCGAGATTCGAGAATAAAGAACTGCATGACAAACCCACTCCAACAATGTCTCTCTCTTCGAACGTGACTTAGACTTCCTTGGTCTTACTTCCCTTGAGTCCCAACATCTCTTTCACAGTCATCTTCGATCGCAAAAACATGATGCTAGCAAAGATGAAGTGGTTGATCCCCGTCATGAGCAGCGCACTTGTCGCACGGTGCGGTTTGAAGATCACAGTGCCGAGCGCAAGGGCTGACCATACTGCATTCATGACGACTAATGATGGTATGGAATGGCGGTCTTTGCTTGCTCGAATATGGCCTAGGCCTACGGCGATTACCTGAGAGGACCAAAATATGAGCGCTGTGATTGAAGTCTGACAAACAATGGGAGCTACGTACCATTATGGCCACAGCATGCTGTGCGCTGATCTCGCCGTTGGCTGTAGGATATGGATTCGGCAGTCGCAAGCCGGATATTCGGTTCAGGAATTTTGCAACGGAGCTGTGGTAGATGATCTCGGGTTTGGTGAGTAGTATGACGCCCGTGGCTGCATCGGCGACGCCTTTCCAGTATGCGAACGTTGTCATTGTCAATGTCTCTGTAAGACTGTCTGAGTGTATCGTGGATATCGATGCCGCTTATGAATGGGATCGGAAGACTGCATGTGCTTCTCGTTAGGCTTACACCATGCTGTGGTGTTCATGGCGAAAACTCCTGAGGTATGAAATGAGAACTGTGAAGGAGACGCAACTTAAATGGCCAAAGAGAAGTGCAGCACGAGCTGCAAAGATGACTAATTCTCAAAAAGATACATTCGAGGAGGTTGCGTGGTGTGCGGCTGCTTACAGGCGCGAAGCCATTCGACCCCGCGTAACAGTAGCGAATTGGCCATATGCATACCTTCAAAGGACCTACAATTGCTACAGGTCGAATGCTATCGACGAGCGGTTCCGAGTGTGATGTGACTCTGACGTTGCTCGTGATGGAGGTGTGGTGTTATTTAAAGTCTGCTGGGGCGCGGCTGCCCCTTCCCCTCAAAATGTCCCACCACGCCTTTCCTCTTGCGGCGGTGCCATTTCTCGAAAACAACGTACTCTTCGCTCCTTTCCCATCAGCGTCCAACGACTGCAACATCGCCGCATCTGAGAGACGGAGAATTCTCCACACTCTGAGTTCGCTCTTTGAAGCTATATAATGGAATTACCGAATTTCAGCGGCCGCTGCACTGCTTGTGTGCTGTGCATGAGATCGCCGGCCCAATCGCCTGTTTATCTGCCGAGTCGACGGCACCAACTCGTGGCTTTGATGTCAGGATGCCATTTTTCATGTCGCCAAAAGCAGCATCTTTAGTCGATAATGGCTGTTTCCCCGCAACATGCATCTTGGCGATGACTGTAAAAACGATCGATGACCTGGAGCAACGCTTCAGCGGCACCTAAGCCGCTACTCTGGGCGACTTCTTAACGACTCTTGATCTCTGGAAGTTTTTGCGACGTACTCACGACTGTATTCAATCTCTCTGCATTGTTTTACCTCTCAATCTCTATCATCACCACCAGCGCTATGTCTGACCACGAGAAAGAGGGCGTCAGCCGACAAGAGTCGACTCCACAAACATTGGAAGAGCTGAGACATACCAAGACGATTGACACCATACACAACGATGAAGCTGTACGGGTACTCGCGCAGTACGTTGGAAATACAACTTGGGCGCCAGAAGAGGAGAAGAAGCTCGTCCGTCGACTCGACAGAAAATTGATCTCGCTGTTGGTGATCACATATGGCCTACAGTACTACGACAAAGCCATGTTGTCGCAAGCTGCGCTCTTCGGCCTACGGGAGGATCTCAGGCTCACTACAGGCAATCGTTACTCGTTCTCTTCAGCCATTTTCTATCTTGGCTTCATTGTCGGCAGCTACCCAGCGATCCTCATGTCTCAAAGATGGCCTATCGAGCGTGTTGCAGCTGGTATTGTAGCCGTATGGGGTATTTGCTTGATGTGTTCGGCAGCATGCACCAATTGGCAAGGTATGTTCGAAGCGCTCTCACCAGATGATACCAGCGTAACATACAGCAGGATTTTACGCTCAGCGCTTCTTCCTTGGTTTCCTCGAGTCCGGAGTGTCGCCCATGTTCATGTTGATCGTCGGTGGGTGGTACAAGAAACGCGAGCAAGCCCTTCGAATGGGCGCCTGGTACTCTGCAACGGGCTACGTATCCATGGTTTCTCCACTGATCAACTATGGACTTGGACATATCAGCGGCGGCAGCCTCAAGTCATGGCAGTACATGTATCTTGTTGCAGGCTCGATCACCGTTTTGTGGTCCTTCATCATCCTCTTCTTCATGCCGCCAGATCCCATACACGCGAGGGGCTTCAGTGACCGCGAGCGGTACATTGCTGTCGCACGCATGAAGGAAAACAATTCAGGCGTTCGAAACAAGCACTTCAAGGTTGCTCAGGTTTGGGAGTCGCTGTACGATGTCAAGTTCTGGTTGATCTTCAGCATTGCTTTTCTTATGATGATCGCCAACGGACCTGTTTCCTCATTCATTCCTATCATTATCTCAGGTCAGTCGAGATCGTAGTTTGGTGGTACCCAAATACTGACAATCGCAGGGTTCGGCTACAATCGTCTCAACTCATTGCTCCTCACCATGCCCGCAGGGGCTATCATCGGCACCATCGAACTGACTGCACCCTATTTCGCCTACAAACTTCCCGGTATTCGCACGTGGCTCATCGTTATCTGCCAATGCGGTACCATAACTGCCTCCATTCTGCTTTGGCGGCTGCCTCGAGGTGAAAAGGGTGGCTTGCTTTTCGGTTGCTACATTCTCGCGAGTTTCGGCGGGGCATACGCTGTTCTCATGGGACTGCAGATTGCCAACACTGCAGGATATACTAAGCGATCAGTCACCTCTTCCGGCATATTCGTAGGGTATTGTCTGGGTAAGAGTGTACGATCTGAGTCTATGGTCACATCACTAAAACCACGTTAGGAAATTTCGTTGGACCCCTGCTTTTCAAGCCGGAAGATGCGCCCGCCTACGGTCCAGGTTTCGTTGCTGTACTTGCGACCGCTATCGCAGCTGCTGCTCTTGCTATCGTCTACCGCTACGTTTGCATATGGGAGAATCGACGCCGCGACAAAACTGGCACCATGGAAGACTTCGATAACGCATACGACGATGATCTCACGGATATGATGAATCCACAGTTCCGATACACGCTATAACGTACAAACGTCTGCGAAGTAATCGCAGCTGCGTCGTCGCCCTGGAGAAGAAAGCCCCGGTGCACTTGGGTCCTCGAGTTTTGCAACGAAGACCACCGTGTGCGTTAATGCTCATGCATGCAGAGCGCAGACGGTTGGTTCCGCTGGCGATCATTCACTACACGCCGTAATCAAGGCTTCAACGTCCCAACTGAGATCGTGGCCAGATTACGGGATCATTATCGTTTTCCAGGTTTGCGCAACATTGTTGTCGAGTCGACTGGGCGTCGAGCGGGGTTGGTGCCATTCATTGGGTTCAGCATACAGCGCCTTGCTCTAGTGCAAAATATGACCACGGTTTGCACGCTGCAAAGCCCCGCAAAACACCACCCGGGAGACCGCCCAACGCGAGCACCACGCAAGATACAGACCCCACGGGAACCAGTTTCCTTTATTGGCCGTACGATTGCGACATGTAAATCCCTCACCCAGTGTCACAACAATGCATTGAACGCAGTACATTCTTTCTTCACCCCCAACTCCCGGCACTGCGACATTTGCGTTACAATTTTCATTTGTTTCAATATACCTTTGTCGTTGCGATTGTGTACGCATCGACGTTCTCTCGCTTACTGCACTCTCCTAATGTTGGCTTGATTGCGCATCGCAAGCGCAGGCGTATTTTCAGAGCGTAAGTGCATCGTTCAATGAGGATGCTACCCCAGCCGACAAGAACTGATACTTGTAAAGAGCGATTTCACGCAATGTCTTCCTGGTGGAAAATCAGGCGAAAGAAGTCGACTGCGACACTTCCTGGCATTTTCTCGGATAGCGCTTCACTATACGCGACACGCCCGAGCCAGCAAGGTACACTAGCACTCCCTACGAAGATCGATGAAGTAGTTCGGGCTGTGCATGATTGCATCCCATCACAACTGCCCGGAGAAGAAGCGACTCAAGACGATGTGCGTTACTTCCTGTATCAGATCTTGACTTTGAAGGAGTCTAAGTTTGCTCGCAATTGCCCTCAATGGGTGCTTGAGACTTGTATGCGCTGGCAAGGAGACGGATGTAAGCTGAGGTCGATGCCGCTTGATGCCTTCCAGCAGCTCTGTCCTCTGGGTCCAGGCTACGCCACGATCGACTACAGGGGCTCCAAGTTCCAGGCACAGGAAATTCCGCCATGCGATGTTCGACAAGCTATTGGAAATCGCATCAGGCAGGTCGTCGCGGGCTTGATGAAGAAGGAGACCGGTCATCGAGGACCCGGATCTGGATTGCATGATTCGAGTGATCTCAGAAGACCTGTTGCAGCCCTACCGAGAGAGATGGGCAGATTGCAGAGTCCTGCTCCTTCCCTGGATCACAGATTCCCGATGCCTTCTTTTGCAGCTGCTCCTGGTTTTCCTGTTCAGAGCCCGTTTTACAATTTCAGCAACCAGTCCCTGCCTCTGTTTCATCAAATACCACCTGTCGGTGTCCAGCAAAATCCCTTGTATATGCAGCATCGAGCCTCCTTCGCTGGCTCGCAATACGGACCTCCCGTTGCAGATCCGGTGCAACGAGTGCTCAGTCCTGAGGGCAGTGTAAAGCTTGTGCCGGATGACAAGCCGTGCGACCAAGGTTCACCTCCACTCTCGTCCCCAGCCTCGCCTACCTCGTCATATTGTCAGACGGAAAGTATTTCGTCTCGACTTAGCGAATCGACTGCCAAAACGTCGCCTCCAAGCTCAGAAAGCGAAAATAACTTCTGGGCTCCCAAGACAGACAGACCGTGTTCGATTGCACAGCCCATAACTGATGTCCAATATACTTCACCGGGAATGTATCAAGTATCCCCTTCACGTACGTCGACCGCGACACCAACTCGGTATAAGGCGGGCCTCTCCTCCACATCGGCTCAAGTCAACGGTCGATCTTACGATCCTATACGTCGTATGGCCCATCTGCGTTCTGGATCCTATAGCAACACTTCAACGATGTATGCTCCGTCTGAAGCATCCTTGACACCTTCCGACAGTGTGACCAACAAGTACAACTTTCGCCGAGATTCCGCCATGCCACCGGAAATGATGCATTCCTTGCAGCGTCAATCTTCGTTCTACCCGGCGACTGCATCCAATCCGTCTCGGTCTTCTACCCCACAAACCTACGTGACTCCACCACCTTATCCACGCTCTGCCAGTGTATCCACAATGCAAGGCCCTAGTCCAACTCGGCTGGGCTCTGCAACTCCAATGGTCCGCTCTCAAGGCAACTTGACGCGTCCAATGAACAACTACAAGGTAGATGCTCACGCGTTCGAAATGGCTGAGCACGTCGGCATCAAGTCCATGCCAGGTCCGATGCGTTCGCTGAGGGTCGAGACGGAAAGGAATCGAGTGCTTACCCGGGGCAAGAGCGAAAGTGGACTCAACCAGCGCATGAACAACTATTTCAACAACGTCCGAGGCGGCGAAGAATCTGTAGGTCCCTCCATACGATTCCAAAACCCTCGGACAGGACAGCCCAGGCTGACGATATACGAAACAATAGAACAAAAAGAGAGGCTGGGGAAGCAACATCTCGAGAGTCAGAGACGTGTAGAGATGTGGCAAGGTCGCGGATTGACAATGTTCCAGACGATTGAAGAGCAGGAGATCCTTAATGGGAGGCCTCAGCGCGGTGTGGACACGAGTGTGCAGGACAGCTGGACGAGCTATTTCTGAGCACAAGACAAAGTTGGAGAAGCAGTCGCATTCACTTGGCAAAGCAGCCAGCGGCTCAACTTACGCAGGACACGTTGTATAGTATGTTGGTTGAAGATGAGGAGCACCACAGCCGAAACGCAGCTGATGCGCGTGCGCATCATTCCGTTCATTGCAGTAGATAGCATTCTCCCCAAATGGAAGATACCCTCGCGACAGAGCAATCGCAGGCAATGCTTGCTGCTTATGAACTGCCCTCTTCTGTGACCCCGCATGCGGAAGGCTATCGTATGAATGGAGCAAAAGCGCGTCAACTCCCGACATCACCTCTCTTCGAACAACGTCCGGCCCACTCATCCGTCTCTCCTATCTCTAACTCTGTACCATCGCATGAACGATCATAACAAGTCGTACAACTCGCGCCCGTGGATGTGGCGCATGCAAGGTTTCAGCGGCTTCTTACGGCGATCTTCGGCGCTTCGGTACTTGGGCCATGTGTGCCATGCAGTGTCAAAGACTTACCGGAAGAAAGCGCGGTTTTCGATGGAATTTGAGATGAATTGCTTGATAGGGAAGGAGAGTCTGGATACATTTGAGTACATGGAGAATGTCGGTACTTTTGTGGGGCGAAGAAGTCGTGGCTATGATGTACATGGTAATGGGCAAATTCCGGAATCGGGATACCAAAGCAACTTTTCTAAAACTCGTGGCACAGCTACAACATCTTAGAGCTACCTGAACATTTCGGAATGCATTGCGATTGTCATCAGAAGGCAGTTCCTATAATTGAGACCTCTGTAAGTTAACGTCTATACATATAGTCTTGATGCCAATGTCATGCTGCGGCTATTGAATCGCCTACATAAGAAACTGAGCTCGGATATTCCAATTGCGGCATATGATTAGTTAGGAAGAGTTTCTAATGTTTTAGATTGCGCGTTACCTGAAAGACCTGTGATACGGCGGTTTTGATATCTTCATAAAAGACTCTAGCATCCCTCTCAGACCAATCATCGCCCGCTCTTCATTGACATCCATCGCCACACCTGTCCTTCACCAAGCCTTCACAGGATCCCTGATCATGACCGTGTTGATATCTTCGCCCTCGCTTCCATATTTTGTCAGATCCCACACCTGCTCGTGTCGAGGCGTGAAGCCGCACCTAGCGTACAACGGCCGGCCCATGGCTGAGGATTCCAGGAAACACGGTAGTTGAGCAGCGTCAGCTTGCGAGGTACCCCAGTTGATGAGCTGAGCGCCGGCACCGCGGCGGTGGTAAGCTGGGTCCGTGATGAGGATGTGCAAGACTGTGAGGGCATTAGTGACTCTTCGAGACATAGAACAAGTCTGAGTCATGTGATATTTACAGTAGAACGGCTTGGTACCCATGAATTCCTTCCTGGCCCTATTCAGGTACCACATGAAGTCGATCATCGCCAGCTTGCCCTCCTCATCTGCACCCGGCACCGGCAGCATGGACTGTATCTCCTCCTCTTTGCGCTCCTTGTGGTTGATGCGCCACTTGGCGCCAGCGATCATCTGACCATCCAGCTCGGTGTCGATGACCTTGAGGTAGGTAACATCCTTCTCTTCGCGGAACGATTTGATGTGCTTGTCAATGGACTTGTTGATGTAGGCTTCTGAAGGTGGGTGCTCGACCATGAACTGTGTCATGCCGCCGCCAGTGCCGAAGGCGGCGATTTGGATCCGGACGAACTCTGGGAGGTCGGCTTCGGTGCAGGGATGGAGCTCGAGAACCATGTTGGCGGTGGTAACATGAAATCCTGAGGATGTCGATCGATGTTTCTTGTGGTTGATGTTCTCGTAATGCAGGTGCCCTAGATCTTGAGGTGATGTGGCTGATGGAATGCCTCGTCTGCACCTTCCTTCATCGGCATAGATCATCCGGTTGTGAGTCGAACAACGCCCTTCCACGATTGCAATGACTCAACATCATCTCAACCGCCGTGCGACGCCCTTCTGCTTTTCTGAACACTTTGCACGGTGTGTGGTGTTGAGCGCGGCTCTCATTGCAGGGTCCTCAAATTGCGGGGTAGACCTCATTGCCCCTCCATGACAGCCCTGCGTAGCACCCCTGACGACCATGGCATGTCCAAGCCTCGCCAAACATCGTATCGAGATTTGCGAAAATGATGAAAAGTAGGGACGAGATGAAAACTGTAAGGGCGATAGCTCAGGTCGATGAAAGAGCACTTCCTCAGGAAAGCCACGTTTCCCGATCCGGCAGCATCCACGACTGGAATTTCTGGACAAGCTCACCAAGCTAGCGGCTGATCAACGCATGGCCGTTGCCCAACGGTCAAGACACGGAGATCATGAGACCGTGCTCATGGAACGCCTCAGCCTCATCCATGAAACGTATTGTGGTTCGACGCATCTCGAAACGAACTGCTGAAACGGTTACAGAAGGGCGACACCCATCAACAGAACTCAATGATCAATATTAACGGCACAGGTCTGTAGACAACGAGGTGCCATAACCACAGCAAAGCACCCAAGCTGTTTAAACCAGCACATGAATTGACGATCGCCGAGCAATTCACAAATGATTTTTCATACAGCAGCTCACCTACCTTGTAGATTCCATCCATTCTCGTCATACCCAGAAGTTCGACTCATGACCGTCTTGTTGCACACCGCATACCAACACCAAGCCAAGCCCGTCGCATCTTCCTCAGAGTGCCGAAAGAACCGCCTCAGAATCAGCCTGAACGCGCCGAACGTACGGCCGCGCTACCTCGGCAGGCGATTTCTACCAGAAGACCAGAAACTCTCCGTACAATTCAGCAGATCATGTTTCAGATCTACCGGGACGTCCCTTCAACGATTGTCAAATGCAGCCCTATCCGGTAGCTTCGTCCTAGCGCCGCACCACTCCTGTCGAGGAAGAGCTTATTTCTGCATGGAACAGCCGGCGAGATGTCTGCTGGGCACCAACACTTCTGACAGTATGTACTATTGTAGGATCACGCATGACATTTGCTGGCGCTCCGGAGTAGCCTCAGCATCCGAACATGACAGATTGTATGTGGTCGACCTCCATGATTTGTCTTGCGCTCCACGCCTCGGTTGACTAGATCGCCATCTAATACCGCTCCCTTATAAGTACACCACAGAGTACGTACTGATCAGAGTATCATACTACTGTTCATCAACACTCACTTCCTGGGACTGGTTTCCTACATCTTCAATCGTACAACTGTTAATCAATTAATTCCTCAACTCACAACAAGCAACAATCACTATGAAGTCTTTTGCTCCCCTTCTTGTCCTCGCTCCCTTCGCTTCCGCGGCTCTCACATCTTCGACCCAGAACGATGTCACCAACGGCAGCGGCTGCAAGGCTATGACTGTTCTCTTTGCTCGCGGTACCACCGAGGGTGGTAACATGGGATCAGTTGCCGGTCCACCATTCGTCTCTGCGATTGGAAAGATGATGGGAGGCGCACAGAACCTTGCCGTCCAGGGTATCGAGTATCCCGCTGACATCCCCGGATTTTTGGCTGGCGGAGATGCCGCAGGCAGCAAGTTGATGGCGCAGATGGTCGGCCAGGTCATGACTGCGTGTCCCAACACTGCACTCGTTATGGCTGGTTACTCGTAGGTTCAAACCTGACCATCACCACAGAATGTGAAGCTAACACATCGCAGTCAGGGAGGACAGCTCGTCCACAATGCCGCCACTATGCTGACAGCGGATCAAGCTGCCTTCGTCAAGAGCGCCGTGATCTTCGGCGACCCAAACAACGGCGATGCCGTCGGCAACGTCGGTGCCGCAAACACTAAGGTCATCTGTCACAATGGTGATTTGATCTGTGCCGGCCAGAGTGTCATCCTTGCACCTCACTTGACCTATGGTCGTGATGCAGACACTGCCGCTGCATTCGTCATGTCGACTGCTGGTGCTGCTGCTGGAGGCGCCGCAGCGGCTGCTGCCAAGGTTGTAGTCGGCAAAGTTGCCAACGGCTTCTCTGCTTGAGCGTTCAAGCATTGAAGTGGATTTATTCGAGTTGATGTGGACGTGTATATACCTAGTGGAAAAGCGCTGCAGGTCAGCTTCGATACCTTTCGCTACCATAATGTCTAAATACTGTCATATCGAGATGCGTCCATTGATGAACAAGGTCTACGCTAGGCTAATATCAGTTAGTCGATGTTGAGGGTCTGTATCTCACTGCGCCCTCCAAGCCCCTCTCTTTCTCACCACCAAACACCATGACTACCTCCAAGCTCTTCAAAAGGCTCTTCAAGCGTCGTGTCAAAGTAGACGTGGGCGACTACAACACCGCAGCATCCTCCTGCTCCGCACCTTCTTCTTCGGTTTTAGAGACTATAACACCGCAACAGCTCCTCCTCCAACAATTCCGCCTTCAAAAGGCTTCACCGCTCCTCTCCCTCCCCGGCGAAATCCGGAACCAAATTTATGCCCTCGCTATATACCCCTCTCTCACCACCATCACTATCTTTAAGCATGTCGAAACTGTGCTTTCTTTCCCCATCTTCCACATCTGCCATCAAGTCCGACTTGAAGCGATTTCGTACCTCTGCTCAAGTAGGGTTATTTATTTGAGCGGTTTGAGCATCGCCAACCAATTCTTCGAGATGGTTGGGGATGGCGTGAAGAGTCTGCGCCATGTCACGATCCGCTGCGAAAAGGCTTGGCGTGAGAAAGGAGAGGAGGTGGATATCGAGAGGAATGAGCTCCTGGGTTATTTGGAGCTTGCGACTGGGCTTCAGCAACTGGAGTTTGTAGTTGGAGAGTATCCGCTCAGTGTACGAGACGAAACGGGTTTGCAGGATGTGCAGTCCGTAGGCGCAAAGTTCCTCTACGCTGTCAGATATGTTGTCGATGGAGAGAGTGGAATACAAGAGGAAAGGGAGACAAAAGAGAGATTCCTGCGCCTGCGTGAAGATGTGGGCGCGTTGCAAGCGGTGCGATTCCTCAACGATAAGTTGAAGGAGGAACACGAGCAGCGAGCGGAGAAGGTGTTTCGGCTGCGCAATGTAATGAGTCTTGAGGAAAGTATTGGGGAGTTGAAGCTGCCGGTGAGGATGTGGGAATATCTGAGGAAGACTGAGGAAGACAGCAGGAGGACGTGCTATGATGGGAGGGATGACAAGTTTGACTTCTAAGCAGTTCGCCTCGATATATACAACACTTCTTTACGACTTGGGAACCATCAATCGATCCACATCCGCCGCATACCCCCCATTCACACCAACAAACTTGATCTCGTTGGCGCCCTGCTTCAAGTCTATGTTCAGAACGCTACTGCCCGGGTCTCCACCTCCATGGGGAAGGAACGCGAGTCTCTGCGTCTTGCCATTGACACTCACATCCGCAACCCTCTGACTCCTGTCCCCATTGAGGTGCTTCACCCGGATGCTCGTCCTGCCAGCCACATCGCTCTGAACGTTACTAAACACAACGGCACCGCCGTCAGACCCGCCGATATAGCCCGCCGCCTTGCCTGCGGAGCAAGTCGAGCACGTAATCGCGCGCGCATTGTTGCTCAACGCTGCAGCCTCGCCCTCATACTGGTTCTCACTCGGTCCCGCGCTCGCCGTGCCAATGCTCGAATTCAGCACCCAGTTCACTGAATTCTTGAGCGTCGCCGTCGTCCCCGAAATCGTGAGCGGGAGCCACACATACGTACTCCGCATCAGGTTATCGCTCACCCACCGATCGCCCATATACACGAAGTTTTCACCCACCGGCAGCACAAACGTCGTCTGGGAGCTGTACGTGTTGGAGCCGCTCTCGGCGAACTTCTTCCAGGCGGACCACGGCCCAGACAGGGAGGTGGAAGTGGCGTAGTAGTTGTCGTTGGGGTTCCAGCCGGTGAGCTGTGAAGCGAACATGAAGTAGACACCGTTCTTCTTGATGACGGCGGGGGACTCGTATTTTTCGGCGAAGTTGAATGTGCTGGATTGAACGGTGAGGTAGTCGGAGGAGAGGGCGTTGATGCGGAGACCGTTTTCGCGCTGTGTGTGTTAGTCTGTACTTCTTGTTTACGGGAAGAGTAGGATTTACGTCTTCTGTCAAGAGATACGCTTTGTCATCTGTGTCTACGAAGACACTGGAGTCGCGGCTTTGGTGACCTAGTGGCTGTTCGCTGCGTAGGTAGGTGTACTTTCCGCACACAGTGTTGCTGGTTGCGACGCCGATTTTGGCTTCTTTGTAGTCGCCGCTGTCGATGTGCATCCACATGACATACTTGTTGGTGGCCTTGTTGTAGATGACCTTCGGACGCTCGATAACCCTATTTGGCCCAGTGTCGCCTGATGCGGTCTGCGAGAGGAGAGCGCCTTCGTAATTCCATTCTACGAGGTTGGTGGAGGAGTAGCAGTTAATGTTGATGAAGGAGGTGCCATTCGTTTTGTCTTCGCCGACCCTGAGGAGACCTGTTAGCTTATATTCATGTAGAGGTGAAGAGGGAGCTATGCGTACCAGTACCACTTGTCGCCGACCTTGAGGATGCCACCGCCATGGGCTTGGATGTGTTGGCCTGTATTTGTCTGATACTCAAATTAGTTGTTTACCTGCGATGAGGTTGATGACGACGTGCCGCTGTCCATGTCGCGCCGGGCACGATCTGCAGCGAAGCAGTCGCTCTAGAGGCGAATAGGCCGAATGTCGAAAGGATGATGGATCGCATGTTGCTACACTTTTGCCGATGTTTTGAAACTCGGTTTGTTCACAATTCAGACGATTGTAGAGCTTGTTCAATGCTTATAAGCAAACATCATGTAACCGGCGGGATATTGCAGCCCCGTACAGTGTGTAAATGCTCTATTTAGTCCACCTCCTCATTGACGGAAACTGACTTTCTCGTGTCACGAGTACGGCTGCGTAGTAAGCGCCACGGAGGGTATATTAGTTTGGCATAGATTGTAGAGCGAATTGCGGGGAGCGTTAGCGTTCGGCAGCGGCATTGCTTATTTGAGGGCTTGTGATGAGGTTATGGACATTACCCCGATGCCCGGTGTTGTCATATCATCGCTGTTTTGGGTAAATACTGTTGAAACTAGGCATGAATAGATACGAGATGAATTGAATGAAGACAAACCAACAATTTCGACTAGTCATTAGTGTAGAGCCCGTGTACAGAGCAGTATGAATTAGGCAACGCTTCCGCTTGAGTTCCGACAAACTGTAGACAGAAGAGAAACAATGCGAGGAATTCTGGTATTAGGAGTTGATACAACTTGCTTATGAGGGCGGATGGACAAAAAGATGACGATGAGAGCAAATCCGCTCTCGAGACTGTACACAAAAGCAGGCAACAGCGTGAAATCCTTGTCCATGGCTTACCTTGCTGAAAACTCTCACAGACACCTCATCGTGTATTCGTTCTTGTCTGTCGTACTGTCACGTCCCCCAAAACTTGAACCTGACGACGTGGTTCTTCCTACGTGTTGGAAGCATGTGGAAGCTTGTTAAAGATCTTCAAATGCTGTACCGTGTGGGAAACTCGCACGAACATCTCAGTTCAATTCCTTCTGCCCATCTCAGACGCTCTGAGATAACTTGCGGGCTGATCAAACACCCCTGCGACGTCCTGAAAGCAGTCTTGAGTCGAGTGGGAAGGTCATAGAGATGCACCGCTTGATGCTGCTTTCCTCTTGAGACTTTGCAGGCAATCGCGAGTAACGGAGGATGCGGCGAGGAAAGCTCCGCTGCAGGCCCCGCCTTCTCCTGACGCTCTGGAGCAACGGCGTCCCACATCCCTGGAAAATTGTGAGCTACCTTTCAGACCCTCTCCTAAGGTTTTTGGATCCGACTGAAGCCCCGCAGGTGCTTTGTGGCGTTATAATTGTTCTCGTAATCTGCGACGCACCCCGTGACTTTGCGGGGCTCCCCGCACATGCCACATATACACCAAAAACCATTCCATCTGAGAATTGAGCAATTGCACATTGGTGTACCGCAAATTGACACTTCTTGTTTTGCCTGTGAGGCCTATATTGACAATATCTTTTGGTGGTGTACTGTTTGAGCCATGGTCAAGGTGTCGGCTGACCAGAAGCTGTCACCCACAACGCTTCAATCGGTGATTGATCGCATCAATCTCAACTTTAATGATACTCAAATACATCGCGAGACTGGTGTTTGGCCAAAAACAACATCACGGATTCGTCTCAACTTGCAGCAATGGGGTAGTGCTTATGCGCCTGATACTGTGAGGCGTGGCAGGCCTGCAGCACTCCGTGAGATTCATGTTAAAGGTCTGCAGCAATATATCAAGGGCAAGCCTCAGGCATGTCTTGAAGAAATGAGAGACTTTCTGTACGAAAATTATGACCTCAGAGTCTCCACACCTACAGTCCATCGCAAGTTGAAGAAGAGCTGTTTTAGTTGCAAGGTAGCCACCAAGAGAGCTACTGAACAGAGTGAAGCCATCCGCCAAGTAGGGTGTGCAAGAGTACAGGAGAACTACACCATGGAGCAGATTATTGCGCTCGATGAGTTCTCAGCAAGGCCTTCTTGATGTCGCCGGCTTCGTGGTGTCGCAGCCTTGGGTCCATCTCTGTCGAGCGTCTGGCGTCCTCCGCCCCCCCCCCCCCGAATCGACCGCCCACAACCTCACAAGCCTTTTTGCTTCACAATGGAGCATCTTGAGAGCCATAAGAAGTACCGAGAAAGCTTTTATAGCCTAAACCGAGCTTGCCACCGTCTCTGAAGCCATCGAGGGGCTGGTGCGGACCTCCAAGCAGCTGCCACCAACGTAGAGCCTCTCTAACAGCCTCGAAAGTGACGCCAGGCTTCCAAAGATAACGCAGTAAGTATCTCCACGCACCTGAGCATCATCAAGGCCATGCGCAGATCGGCTGTTATGACGAGCACAGCAGCATCGAGCCAGCAGCGGCAACCCCATCTCGATGCCCCAAGACTCCATACATCCTCACACCACTTTCCTGTCTCATTGTCTCCTTATCATACGGGAAGGTAACATGGCGATGACGGTCCACTCTACCGAAAAGGTCGCTGCCATGAACGGTCTTCCTTGAGGCACGGCGCGCGTTTAGATGAGCAATCTGCGCCGGCGGCTGGGGAGGCCCGGAGCTGGCGCATCCCGAGTAGGCATATGTTTGGAATGACCGTTCCCCTGACACGTCGGTTATTAGGCGGCATTGACCGGGATCATGGTGCTGGAGGCGCTGGTGAAGATGCTAGGGGCGAGATTTGCTGTTCTTGAGATGGCTCCCGTGAGCTGCGAAAAGCTCTCGATAAAGTCAGCCAGATCCAACGGGGAGCTAAGTCTCGAAAAGTTCATATTATATGTCGTCAGCACGGAACGCGCGGATGGGTCTGCGCACTCCATGCATGCGCTCACATCTAGCTTTGATCGAGTCTTTGCTCAATGAATAACCTTAGCATGAACTCGACTAACACATTGCCTCGAAAGCAACATCGAGGACTGAAACGGTCGTTGTCGGCCACGTCTGACTGCATCAAGGACATGGTCGTCGTTGCCGTTCGCTCAAGCATGTCGTGGTCGGGGCCAAGAGTTTTTCTTCATAACCTCAGAAATCTATATGCACTTGACTCGCGTCTGAGCCTCCCTAATGACTGAGGAATTTCTTGCGCATAACACCACGATATCCGCGCTTCAGCCATCTTCTGTTTCGTCAGTATCGCTTCCATTTACATGCTCATTTCAGCAATCCCCTTACGCTCTCGAATTTTTCCTGTCATATCTTGCCTTTCTTTGCTCAGTCTGAGCAAATGTTCCCTGTCCTTCTCATATTTGCTCTTCTCTTGCAAATCCTTACTGATTGCAGTCAGTTTCCATAGCAGCTTTCCCAGTCCGAATCATTCAAAGTCAACCACCTTCCCAGCCTTCGTGTTCCAATGCCCGACCCACTTGCACCTTTCTATTGTCATCTCAAATCCCCTGAAAGCATCTGGCACATCGTATGTTGACAATCCTTCATCCTCCTTCACTATTTCACCTGCTCCTTGAGGTGAAGGCTGTCCTCCCTCTTCGTGTTCTTGTCTCCGTGAATGACCTGGAGTTCCTCGTCGTCCGAAACGAACAACAGGCCGTCTCTCGTTGGCTGGAAGCACCAGTTCTCGGGGCGCTCCTGTGCCACGATGGTTGCTTCGATTTATAATCGGACGCGCTCGCGGTAGCGGTCCCGCTCAGCGGCGGCGAAGGCAGCAGCGACCGTAGCCATGGCGTTGCGGCGGATTTTATTGGAGGTGGAGGTGCAAGCGGTGTTAACGCCCCAGTTCTTGTTGCTGTTGTTGTTGTTGTTGTTGTTGCTGTTGTTATTGCTGAATGCGGGCGAGGAAGCGGTACACTACTGGGAGGAATGTCCGGCGGGCGACAGCGTGGAAGAGAAGGTCCCTGAGCAAGGCCCAGCAGACGAGCACCAGGATGATGCCCACTGGCGAGGTGGTGGCGTTGTCGAAGGCGGAGGGCATGCTGTAGTCTCCAAACAAGAATGTGAGGAGAGGAAAAGCGAGAGATGACAACGCGGAGAGCTCCAGAGTGAGCTTGGAAAGAAGAGAGATTCGATGGTAAGGTGATTTGATGGAGACAATATGTTGTGAAGTGGCAGTAAAGGTCACGAGAACATGTTTGGAGAAGTCAAGATTGCACAAGGAAAAGATTTTACTGCTACATCAGTCTGTCGCCTTGACCTCGAGTTGAATGTCCAGCCGTTACACTGGTAAATGTCAGAGACGCCAGACAAGCGAGGAGCTTGGAATACATACTTTAAGCAGGAGCTACGAGCTTGAGCAAGGTTCTGCGGGCATCCCAGATGCTGGCGCTGCTGCGTGCGTTTGCAGAGCGATGTGAAACTGGGCAGATGCATCTCACCTCGCCAGCTGGCCTCTCACCAGAGGAGGGGGGGCAGGGGCGCAAGGCGAGCCATCAGAAGGAATAGCTGCTGCCCCGCCGCATCGTGAGCGTGAGCTACGAGCCAAGCGACCATCCTGTGCGCGTTTTGTTCATGATATCAACTTTCGCGGGGAACGCAGTAAGTACAGTGATGAAGATGGAGATGCAGAACACTCACAAGTGCTGCACGTGAAGTGCAATGAAGTTGAACGTGCCCCCTAGCTCTCGTGATGACAACTTTCGAGGGGCTAGGCGGCAGCGTAGAGGTAAAGGAAGAGGTTCCCCTCATCGAGGATTCGCTGATCAAAATTCGGGCGAATCCGGAAGGACATGGAAGAATGTAATACGTATTTTGACGTTATTAGATGTGGAGTGTGTGAGAAAGAGTATGTGAGGCAGACAGTGGGCTTTTGTACCTCAGGGAAGGTGCGCTACGGTGACCGGGGGCTTGACCGCCGAAGGAGCTATGGTGCAGGGGTTCGACATTGGTGGTCAGGTGCTCTGAGCACGAGTAGGGCAAGTGCTAGGTATAGGCAAGATCACATTCCGTTTGAAATCCGGTCTGCAAGTCGACCTCAGTCACATAATGTGTCGGCTATAGACTCCCTGAAGATGTTATTTGTCATTCAACTGCATATCTCCACGAAAGGTCATGGCCTTGAAGATGATAAAGCGGATCCATACGTGCTCTCAACATTCAGAGCAGGTTATGTTGATACGGACATGATCTTTGGGTCGGTTCATGGCGCACGTCTCAGCAGGCGTCTACAGCTCCTCGCCCATGAACTGGTCGAGCCAGACAAGAATCGGACGGAGAACATCCGTCTTCTGTACGCACTGTCCGCAGGCCTTCTCAACCTGGCGCAATGCCGGGATGGTGTTCTACACAGTCGAGGAGTTGGCGACTGATCTTTGCGTGGCGGGGCATTGATCTGTCAATATGTGAATGATGACAAACGATAGTCGGCGTCTGAGACTGATTTGCATTGAGTTGCGATTTCGTAATTTGGATTCCCTCGGGGAACTCTAACAGAATATATTCGTGCATCTTGAAAACTTCCGCGCATGTACATTACAGACAAGGTCTGCGCCCTAAAGTACCTGGGTACCTCCAGACCCCCTTAAAGGCTCTAATACTGCATCTCAAATCATCTTGTACGTCGACATAGAGCCACAAAAACTGGCGATTTGAGCTAGAGACATGCGCTGACGACCTCTAGTGATCGTGTTACCGGCTTGGCTTACTCTCCCCGCTTCTCTCATTTTAGATACATAAATAGCTCCCCTCCTTCGTAGCTATTCAATCAACTCAGTTCCTCATGTCTCTCACACGTTATATGCAACAAATCGTCTGCCTTAGCCCAAAGCAGGCATGACCAGACTATGAATGCCTTCATCATGTGTCAGCCAGATTAATAATGCATGATTACTGCGGGGTAGGGAGCTTCAATGTTCGTTTGCAGTGTCGCGGACTTGGACAACTTACGGTTGTTGTTCATCGCGCTTGCCTGCCATGGCCGAGCAGCGACCCAAGCAAACCGCGATTTCGACCAGGCTCCTCTATAACGTCCCCCCCTACGTTGCGAGAAACCCTGTGGGCCGAGAACGGCCAATTAGGTTGCAAGGATGGAAGACTTTTGTATAGACCTTGCGATTTTATTGGCGATTCTCGGCCCACAGGGTTTCTCGCAACGTAGGGGGGGACGTTAGCTATGTAATGTAACGCTTTTGCGTAGGGTACAGACGAGAGGATCATCGAAGGAAGCGAAGCTGGATGTTCGAGTTTCGAATGGTAGATAAAGCAAGGAGTGGATGTTGACAAAGTGAACTTTAAACGTGCGGCGCCTTTGTCCCTCAATGGCAACAAAGAACAAACACGAGTGCTCAACGATGCGTTTATGACTTTTGAATCTGTCAGTTCAGATCGGCATCGGCTTTGTGAGTGCGAACGCACATGTTGCAATACTCTTTGCTCTTGCTACACACCAGCCGTATTGGTAGGTCGAGCTTGGAAGGCTACCGCCACAGGTGTCTTGACGAACGGCTCTAACTAAAGACCCAGTGACTATATCGAATAGTGCTGGCATCCTACACTGTCATGTAACACTGCTCGCCGTCAAACTCACGATGCACGCCACTGTGACGTGCGTCGTGGGACCAACGGCGAGCGGTGTGGCATGTCAATGTAGGCTGCCAGCCCAGTCAAAATTTCAGGGAGCTGCCCTGAATTGCCTGGTGAAGCCAAGACGAAGGGCTGGAAGAAGGACGGTGACGTCGAGGCTGCCATCAGGGCCTTCTGCGAGCTTGTCAGCGGTGTGGTAATACATCTTTGAGTACTGGCATTCTTACCGGTGTCTGCTCCTGATACTGTGAATGATGCTGGTACGCTCGTGTGTGGGGTACTGTATGGTGGTGGTGAGGGTAGTTGCGATGCTCTAGACATGGAGGGGGAGTTGCAATCTGGACGTGCAAGAACAACCGCGCTAGCTCTACGTCACTGGACAAGCTCGATGCATTACGGCAATAACTCACTCAGACTATCATTGATCGAAAATCTAAGAATTCTCCGTAGTTGGCTAAGTGCCAAACGACTTGATATATGTCTTTTATAGAAGACAGCAAGGTGACGAAAGAGAAGCTTTTGATTCGTGCTTACTTTGGGAGGTACTCGCGCACCAATGTATCCAGGTGCCGACCTTGACAGTCTCCTAGGGAGTTGTTCAGCTAAGATGAAATGCATTATTGTACAATCCGTAACACCCAAGACTTCTCCACGACCTGATCGCCAATCGTTCCTCATTTCTTGTCTTTCTCTGCGGCCACCCTTGCCCTCCTCTCCTTCACCACCACATGCTTCAGCCTGACCATCACCTCCGTCAGCCTCTTTCTCCCAAATTTATCCATCATCTGTCCACTGCCAACACCTTCCTCAGGCGGTGGGTCAGCGGGTCAAAACATGCGGCCCAGGAGCTGCACGCGAGTTTGCTCTCGGGTCTGGCCGAGTCCAACGGCTGCGTAATGCACCTGAGAAGGGTATCCGACAAACGAGTTCAGTATCTCTCGGTACATGTTAGAGGCGAACTCGTGCTTGCTGGTGTCCGCGCTGCCGGTGCCAACGTAGCGGGCTTGGAATATCACCGCGTGAAAAAGCCATGGAACAAAGACAGGAGCTACTCGTCTTCCATAGCCTCAGACTCACATACGACGTTAAACCAATCAATCAATACAGGAGCCGGAAAGGCAGATATGCGAAGTGGAGGAAGCTATGGAGGCTGCTCATCGAAATTACCTCAGGGAATAAAGCGACATCCTAAGGCCGGCTACTACGTGGATATTAGGAATGAGAAACAGTCACGAATTTTCAAATTGGGTCATGGACGCTTATCGAGCACACTGTGGATGACGCTGGGTAGTATTTTAGCTTCAAAATAGGTGTAGAGTGTCGGCAATAGGATAGCGTGCTCGACCATGTACATAGCACTCCGAACTAGAGCTACAATTATATTATTCCATGAATGTGTTGGAATGTTTTGTGAACATTGTGCATTGAAGACATATATGGAAAAAAGAGGAGACCGAACTGGGATACAAATCCCAAACCCGAACCTGAAAAAACACAAAGTTTTCTCTGCCCAAACAGATGCCGTGCAAACCATCCGCGCGCAACGGAACTTCTCCAAAGACAAATTGCAGCGTGACTTTCACTGTCCGCCACGGAGACTCTGAGCTTCCCACAGTGGAGGTGAACTGATGTTGCGGTGTATATAATCTCTAGAATCCAAGAGTTAGAAAGGTCGGCCTTTTTTGTATCGATGCGGGGCCGCGACAGAACTTATCATCGTTCTTAGGTATTAGAGCGAGATCACAGCCGGGTGCTCACCAGAGCACCGGTTCCCTCCGACAAGTTTCCATAACGAAGAGATATGTAGGAATGGGTACTAATACCTACTCACTCTTCACGGAAGTGTCACAAATGATGCCTGGAACTGTAGGCACAGCACATAGAAGCAATCACGTTTGGAAAAGTTGTTCAAGCACGGCGACACAACGGCACATGAAATTGAGTGGTTAAGATCAAAGTTTCAAGAAAATACATCGTTGAGACTGTTAAACTACGGCACTATCAATGCTAAAATCGAAGACGGGACACTCTCAAGGCTCCGAGATATGGTCGTCGAGTACCGAGAACACATGAAAAGGCATTTCAACATCGGGTATGAACGCGCTGTGCTACGCCTATTGTTCTTTGAGGCGGCACCATGGGCAAGATGTGTGCCGCGGTTCATGATTTTCGCCTTGAAATCGAGGCCGCATGCGTCAAGAGCAATGGGGTGTTACTAGCGCTGTCAACTTTGGGTGCTGCTGATGTTGCTAAACCAGGAGCTCGTGGACGTGGCATGATTGTGCGTACGATCAGACGATGGATCTCGAAGTGACTGCTACCACCTGGGCACTGTCAGCCGATGTTCAAGCATGTTGGAAGTTGGGAAGACACTTACAGCAGTGACGCAGTGAGCCCGTCGTATTGATGCTGTTAACATACAACAAGATGAGAGATTCTATGCTAGTGGCCACCAAGTGGCAATACCGCAGCTATTCCTGGGTGCTGCCCACAAGTTGCCGGGACGTGCGGACGAGCGCAAGCTGTCAACCTTTCGCTTGAAGTTTCTGCATCTGAAGCAGTTTAAGGCCTGAGAGCTGTCAGTGAAGTCTCAACAGGAGGACGTGACGCACAAACCTAGCCTTGCCCCAGGCCGAAGCACAGGAGCCATGGGGCCCAGGAGTGACGTGGACGTACATCGTTCGGGCAAGCCTCTGTGTCCCGAAGGACGGAGCCAGTGCTTGCGAAGCTGAGGAACGCTGGCCCTCGAGAGAAATTGCGTCGAAACTTGGGGGACACCCCTCGAGCTGAGCGTCACAAAGGCGACGCGAATGCATGCGGAGCTGAGGGCAGCAGGACGCATCGAACGTCGGCGTGAGCAGCACCACGCACACCACATTATATGGTGTGATGGTACGTGGTGCTACTTGCGCAACTTGGTCAAGGCTTCAGCGCCCTGCTGCATCGCGCAAGGGCGCCGCGCAGCCCCACTGTGAAACGTTCAGCGAGGTCGTGGTGACATCAACATAGGGACATACCATGCATGGGCAGTCCTTGTGTAAACCGCGCCATGGAAGGGTATCGAAGTAGAATACCCAGTCCATGGCTACCGAACGTCAAACGCGCTTGTCGAAACGCATGGGACAGTTTTGGAAACTACAAACTTTCGAGGGGAGGGCGAGGATGTGAGGATCGGTACGTGATTGTGGAGTGGTCAATCGTTCTGAGGTATCGAGATGTGTAAGGCTGGACGTCTTCAGAGTATTCAACAATGTAGAAGAACCTCAGAAGCGTACCAAAACAGCCCGAGTCCTACATCATCAGCAGAGCTCTCGTGACACTCGCCCAAATCAACGCACTGACGATGGCAGCCATCAAGAATGCTACCCAGTTCATCGCCTTGTCGAACCACCGCAGCCATTTCCTCGTCCAATACAAGTTCTCATCCTCCCTCATATGCCAACATCCACTCACTAACTCAAGAACGTATTGACATAGCAGATAAACACCCGCAAAGACCCCAAACAGCGCCATACCCTTCACAAACTCCTCCCCAAAGCTCGGAATCGGCATCGCACTCACCACATTCATCTCCTCCCTCGACAGTAACCCCTTAGTATCCACGCTCCAATCAAACACAAAATGCAACGCATCTGGCGTTGGCTCATTCGGATCGAGTGCGATGTTGTACACGGGGTTGATTTGGAATCCGATCGCTTCACCGTTGACCCAGGATATGGTGAGGTTGCTGGATCCGTCCTCAGAGGGGATTGTTCGCGAAGAGGTGGTGAAGAGGTCGGATGGGAGTGCGGAGTAGGTTTTTGTTGTGGCTATCCCGTATAGGGAGGCGGCGAGGAAGGCGAGGGGAATCAAAGTCAGGATGATCATTGTGATGATTCGCCAGATGCTCGGCCAGTTGAGAATCCAGGAGGAATACGATGTGGACTCAGTCTTCTTTTTCTCTATGGTTTGACTCGGCGCTGGGATAGGTGGTAAAGGGTCCGGTGGTTGTTGCGTCGTAGTTGCAGTTGTCTCTTCATAACTTTCTCTCGATGCCTCGACAAGACTTTCTTCTGGCTCTTGTGCGATGATACCGGACACTCCGCTCGGAACGCTTGTCACAGCTCTCTCTGGAATTGTGGGAAGAGAACTACATTGCCTCCCAGGGACAGTCTCCATAGGGGGGTCGCAATACGAACCGTCCGAATTCGACACATGAAGATTATTCATGACGATAGCTCCAGGGCTATCGGTGTGCGGTGAGTCTTCTGGCATCTCCTTTGTCGAGGGAGATATTGTTATGGTGTCTTGTGCGACTGGCTCTTTGATGGTCTCACTGCTATTGAAGGCATTTTGCGATTCCCGGGCGGAAGAGTACGAGCTTCTGGGTGAGGCGGCCGGGATATCTTCTGAAGCGGGATCTGCTGCGTTTGAGGCACCGGTATCTTGCAATTTCTGAGAAGCCTGTATGTAGAATGAAGATATTCCAGCCTCAGATTGATCTTCATTTGCCCACAAGGAACTTGACCGATCGGTCACGATGCTCAATCGCGTGTGTTTCGCGCCAATATCATCCAAACGTGCTCCGAGAGTGGCATTTTCGAGCCGCTCCTCGATATGTGAAGGATCTTGCTTCTTTGCAAGTGCGTATGGTAGCTTTCTGATCGAATCGACGGACTTTCTGGTTCCATCACAGATCCTGTTGACCTGCTCAAGTGCTGTGTTCAACGCGGTTCTGCTCGCTTCCGAATTTTCGAGTATAGAGGCCGATGTGACGACATTGCTGGGCTCTTGCGTATCCGTTGTTGCTGCGCGAACTTGCGCAGACCTGCTGCTCTCACCCTGCTCGCCAACGTAAGGCGCCCTAGTCTGCACGACTGGACATCTTCCAGACATCAACGCCAGCCTAGCAGTGTGCAGGGCAGAAACAGGCATGACGGCCACATTGTCATCTGTTTCTGGCTGTTGGGTCAGGGGTTGCGGCCTCGTTGAGCTTGAGCCCGAGCTTAATCTTGCTGACCACAGTCCAGTATCATCGGCAGTCGCGGTCTTGACAACATCAGCAATGGCTGCCATCCTCCTCTTCGGCGGCGTCTTATCATTGGGATCGTACTTGAACCCCTTGATCATCGAGTCGGCGACAGACCCATCCGGCATCTTTGTTTCTGTGCTGGGTGACGATGAACCTGATGACGGCACATGAATCGCCGGCGACGACTTAGCACTTTTTTCAGCTGCAGAAGACGGTATGAAGACTGGCGGTGAGCTAGCAGGCATCGACAGCATGATGTTGCTACTAGCTGCCAACGACGAACTGGATCCAGAGGTGGCGGTAGCAGTGACACGAACGGGGATGCGCCTGCCGGCTGGGATCCTCGCACCCTGAACTGGCGATGTGGGTAGCGACGGTAGTGAGGAAGGGGCAGACCCAGTGTCGGTGGGTTGCAGCGCCTCGGTGGGAACCCTGCTGCGACTGGGGGTCAGTACTCGATGGACAAGGGAAGTTCCAGCAGAAGCCTTAGTGTCGAGGTCGGGTTTCAGGGCCCTGGCCTTGCCCTACAAATCGTCAGCAACGTTGGAGGTAGTTACGAAGCTCAGTGTGCCTACCTTTTCGGCCGCATTATATCTTGATGACGACATGTTGCTGTGAAACGACGCTAAACTCATAAAATGTTGTCGGGTATAGTCGCTCGGATGCTGAACACGTAGAGAACAAATGTTATGTAAGCAGATACTTCTCAGATGAATAGAGTCGTGAGCGGAAAACGAGGGATGGGTTTGAGATAAGGAGAGGGACGGAGAAGGTAGGGCTTTTGAAAATGCGCAGTCGGTGCTGAGCTTCTACTGAGGTGTCGTTATCAACAGTGGGTTCGATATCAAAGTACCAGGATATGTCAGTCAAGATGGCGTATGCAGGGACATTGTGGTTCGGTTAGGGGTCGCGGTGCCGCACCAAATTCGAGCGAGACATTATCAGGAGCCAAAACTAGCGGCCACAAGAAAGAAGGAGCAGCCCTTGATATGATAGTGGTGAAAGACTTACAGCGAAAAGACCGACTGCACTGGATGAAGTACGCCCTGCATGGAAACATTTGCGCTGCGGGAATTCGGCGCCATAAGAACCTACCAGCTTACTACACTATCCACTTTCGCTACCCTCCTTCTCCTTCCTTACCTCTTCGAAAAATATCCTTATCAACAGCATACTCTGCTCCGTCGGACTCGACTCCTCTTCATCCCCGCATAACCACTCCATGTAAATCGGCGGAAGGCCTAAGCGCACCCCTCCGATGCGAACACTGGAGTCAATCGTAAGGGCGTACCGTTCATCGATCCACCGGAAGCGAAAGTGACTTTGACCAAGCGCATCTATGACCCATTGGATCGAAAGCACGCAATGGGGGAAGGCGTGCGGTGGAGGGCGGAGGAAGGTGTGTACCAGCTGCTCGGTTGAGGGAGGAGTGGGTAAGAAACTTTGAAATGGTACACCGAATGAGCTGAAGCCAACGTCCCTAGTAGGCGCATTATTGGTGAATACGGGACCTTTCGTGGCGGCTTCGATCTCGCCCTCGTCGTCATTGTGGGTGGGTCCGCCAAACTCAAGACCGACACTCACCTTTGCAGACTACTTATTCGAGTACTCGTTACCTTCAGGTCCGGCATTCCGTAGGCACGCATGTGATTGTGGATTGGCTGGAATGGAGATGTCTGGATCGACAGGTGCTAGAGGTGAGAGGTTATGTACCAGCCGTAGGTGGCACGGCGAGGCGAGCGTGACGGCTGCTCGCCACCGTGACTATCTGAAATGATTAGTTGCGTGAGGGGGTTGTATGTTGTGATGTTGTAGAGATGCGCGCGAGGATATGGTACGCTCAGAATATGCGTTGAGTAAGTCTCAGTCGCAAAAGCAGCGGAGAATTATAGCAAGAATACCTCTGCTCGCCTTGTGCGTGCGAAGCACCTGTACAAGCTGTGCAACGATGCAATATCCCTGGCATCGATTGGCATGGAGAGTTTCGAGGCGAACAGTGTAATGTGTACACATACCTAACGTTCACGCTGTATGAGGCTGAATCGGTTGAGTCGGTTGAGTCGGTTGATCTGCAGTAGGGATGCGTTGTCTAGCGTCAGAATTGCTCACCGCATTGAAGATCCTCGTTCACCTGTTGAACAGTGCTATTGTCCGTCCATTCCCCTCATCGAAGATGCCACACGCCTTTACACTTCACGCAGCATTGCTGCCTTTGTTGAATCACTTCGCATGTCCATATAACCATTTATTTCATTCTCTCTCTTTTATTTCTTGATTCCTTCCAACCTGTTTCGCTTGTCAAACATCTTTTCAGCAATGAAACATCTTGCCATACCGTTCGTTTCATTGTTTCTGGCGCTGGCCGCCGTCCCATTCACAGCCGCAGAACGAGCCTGCAACAATGCCCCTGAGCTGTGTGACACCTCGTACGATCAGGTTACACATCTCGGAGCGCATGACTCGCCGTTCTTGCGCGATTCTTCGACAGGATTCTCCTCGTTCGGCAACCAGTTCTTCAACAGCACCGTACAGCTCGATGCTGGCGTTCGGCTGCTAACCGCGCAAATCCACGTCGCCTCCAACAAAGACACAAATGCTCGAGAAATACACCTATGCCACACATCATGTGGGCTGTTCGACGTAGGAACCTTCCAGGAATGGCTGTGGGAAGTTCACTTGTGGATGGCCGCGAACCCCAACGAGGTGGTGACGCTGGTCTTGGTGAACATGGATGGCATCGGTGCAGTCGAGCTTGAAGGCGAGTATGCACGAGCAGATGTTGCGCATTTCGGATACGTGCCGCCAGACATCAGCCACGCTCCTGCACCATCCAGCGAGTTCAAGAAGACGTGGCCGACCCTCGGAGAGATGATCGACAAGGGCGAACGGCTCGTCACTTTCGTCCAACCGCTGAACCCTGACAAGATGAACGCGCCGTATCTCCTTAACGAATTTGACTTTGTCTGGGAGAACGCATACGATGTGCGCAATGCCTCGCAGTTTGCCTGCAAGCCTGACCGACCTTCCAACACAACCACGATCGAACAAGAGCGCGACTCCGGCAAACTGTTCCTGATGAATCACATGCTGTACTGGCAGCAGGCCATGGGCATCGAAGTTCCGGACATCCGCAACATCAACGACACGAACTCCTGGGACAGCACAGGTGGGCTTGGTGAGCACATGACGGCGTGTGGACAGCAGGTCGCTCGACAGCCGACGTTTGTGCTTGTTGACTTCTTCAACGTTGGACCGGCGATCAAGGCGGTAGACATCTTTAACAACGTGGACCAACCTGTTGGCCGGAAGAACGTGACAGATGAGGTCATCGAAGGAGGCGCGGGCATGAACTACTACGTTAACGGTGGTGAGAAGATGGACAGTAATGCATGGGTTGCGCTGGTCGTGGCCGTGCTTGGGATCGTTCTTTGTACATAAATTGGTGGCGTCGCTGTGAATAGTGGAACAGTAAAGGTGTCAGCAGCACTGCGAATGTATTTATACCGAGAGAATGCAACTACATGTGAACTCAAAGCGATTGAGCTGGTCCTGTGACGTCGTCAAGAGGCGTTGAGGTTTGCGGAGTTCTCGGAGGTGCCAAGGCAGAAGTTTGCATTGTTTGCACCTGCAGGCGGGCTGCACCTGCCAAAAGGTGAGATGACAACAGCAGTACCTTGGCGCAAACCTCAACACCACAAACATGGCCCCGTCGAGAGCCTACATACCTTCGACGGCGCTAATACGCGCGCTTGGCCGGCCGCTACCACTACGATGTCCCTTTGCGCGCCCTCTACCCGCGCAATTCGTGCGCGGCAAAAAGTCCAAGGCCGCGAAAGCGCGAGAAGCCGAGAAAGCGCAATTGGGGCAACAAGCTCGAAGAGAGCGCTATGCCGAGAAGACTGCAGAGGCACGACAAGCTGACGTCGAGAAGGAAGCTGAAGAGCAGTATCAGGAGGAGACGAAGAAGAAGAAATTCGCCGCCGCAGCAGGACCAATAGGGAACATGATCACGGAGATGAATGACCCCAAAAAGATTGACAAGTTCTTCGAACCTCCAGATAACAATGTCTTCGAAGACGGAGAGGATCCCGGCATCGACTTCTACGAGGAGGACTTGTCAACGGGCAAGCGGCGCAAGGTGGATAGATTTGGCACAGTCGCGGACAGGAAGAGGGAAAGAGAGACGCGCCTGATGATCGAAGAGTCGTACAACAACCCCAACTACGACGATGCCGAGCTGAACAAGCGTCTGATGGATGGCCTCATGTCGAACCCAGCATTCGCAGATCTGACAGAAGAGCTGAAGGAAATCAAGGAGAGCATCTTGACAAAGGACGAGGAAAGAAAGATCGAGGAGGAAGCCGAGAAGGCCGCGCAGCCAGCTATCGACGACCTGCACGCGACCATGCGCATGGCGATACATGCAGCAGTCACCCAGCTTATCAACGACCCAGACGTCGGGGATGCGAAGCCAGACCTGCAGGCGGTGCTTGACAAGATGCCCGAGACGGAAGATGTACAGAGCCCTGAATTTCAAGCACTTCTCGACGCAGCCACCGAAAAGGTCAACAACAACCAGAAGCTTCAAGAGAAACTCCAGGCCGGCAGCGAGACCGAAACCGAGCAGGACAGGCAGCAGTGGGCCAACTTCGAAAAGGACGTCGACGACCTCCTCGCACCTGAAGAAGACCCTCTCGACGAAAAGGACATGGATCATGAGGAGATTCATGAACTTATGCGCGAAATGCGCGACATCCTGAGGAGCCTCAACGTCAGCGGCAACCTCGAGTCCGAGCTGGACAAGATGTTGTCCGAGCCCATGCCCAACACCACCGACGAAGCCGAGGACGAGAACGGCGTGAACTTCAACGAAGACACCGACCCGGCCGACCTTGCGGCCGCGCTCACAAAACTCGCAGCCGCGAAATCGGAAACCGCTCCGGAGCCCGAAACCCCAGAAGACGAGGAAGAGCATATCCCGCCCGAGCTAAAAGCTAAGGTCGACAAGATCATGGAAGACCCGCGGCTAATGGAGAAGCTGGTGTACATCCAGAAGCTGATAGCGGAGCACGCGCCCAAGCGCGACCCAAATGATCTGACGCAAATCGATCACGAGCTGGCCCCTGACCCGTACGAAATGGAAGACTCCCGTACCGCGACCCTCGCCCAGCGCATGGCCTCTGCACGCGCCGATCCTGAGCACTCGGCTGCTATGCGCCGCCTGCGTGTCAGGCTCCAACCGCCCTTCAACATATCCCCTGCTTTGAAGTCGTTCAACCAAGCAATCGAGTTCGCGTATATCGGTGCCAACGACGACGTGCGTCGCGTGCTCTGGCGGAGCTACCAAAGAGCACGTATCCTACCGACGTTCCTCCAAAACATGAATGATGACGCTTGGGACATACTGTACTACAGTCAAGCCGTCACCTGGAGTGGCAATCAGAACAGGACGGATCATCTCAAGATGTTGCTGAGAGACCTTGCGAAGGTGGGCAAGAATGGACCGCCTACGCATCCGAGCACTCTGGGCCAGCATGCGGAGGCGGCGCGATTGGAGGCTGCGCAGAAAGAGACGGCAAGTCTCGAGGCGTCAAGGGGGGAAGTGAGCATGGATGATTTGGAGTGGAAGAAACGATAACGAGTGTACAATATGATATGATACCCCTCTTAACTGGCATAGTGGCCTGAAACGATCTGTGCATGTTGCGCGTGTGTTGGGGCTGTCTCGTCTGTCAGCCATTGTAAGTGTCTGTCAGAAATGGCAGTGCTCCTCCCTCAACCCTTGGGTCGTTTAGACTGACGTACGCAAGTCCAATTTTCTTCGGGTCCGAACAAATTTACTCCCTTCAGGGTTCAGGTCGCCTCGAAGATGAGGAGTCGTAGCCACAGCAGAGCGCGCAGTGACAGGTACTTGACTGCCTCCCCGCCTGCGGGTCGCACGCGCGACCTTCGTCTTTCCGCTGTTCTTCGATGTTCGGCGCACGATACCCTCTTTGCAGATTTCATCTTTCTTGCGCTCACTATTAAGCCCTTGACTTCCTCTAGGCATTACTGTTCCCCCGTTGGCATTCACGATTCAGATCACAATGGTTTCAAAGCACACAGCAAAGGAAGGCAGCCCTGAAGGCCTCCAGGCTCCCTCATCGGAAGATTCAGTTCACGAAGACTCAGGTGCAATCTCGGACGCTGATGTGGCGATCGAGGCCTTAGGTAGTTCCTTTAGGACCGCCACCAAAGCTCAAAAACGCGGTGGAGTCGATGAGGAGGAGCCTACGACGCTGGGCAACGGTAGCAGGAGCACACTCGGTTACTTTGCTCACACAGTGTCGACGACACCTTCCAGCCCTGCGAGTGCAACGTCAACGAAGTTGCGATTAGCGGGATCGCAAAGAGTCACCCGAGAGGAGCAGGATAGAGCAAGAGCTGAGTACCTCCAGGCTCAAGGATTCCCGGTTGGGAGCTCGACAGATGCTAGCTCTAGACACGGTGGTAATCCTAGTGTGTCGACGAAGGTCCAGCGATTAAGACAAAGGTTGGCTTCGATGCCTGGCCCTCATGATGCCTTGAGTGCCTCCACGACCCCAAATTTCACACCAGAATTGGAGCAGTCGATTTCCAACCCCGGCGAGGCTCATGATGATGTGACTTCCTCCAGGAGTAGGCGGTCTCTCCAGAAATTCAGGATTCGCATGCCCAGCTTGCGTGGGCACGAGCACGGCGCGACCGCCTCCACGCCTACCCAGGATGCCACAGAGTCGAATGTTACATTTAAAGCACTCCGCTCTGACGAGGCTGGCAATTGGTTCACTGTTCGCGGCTCGAAGACTTTACCGCACCGATTCGAGCCTCCCGAGAGCCTCCAGGACGCGTCGTCATCGCCGAGGTCGTCTAAAGACGGAAGACCGTTGCTGACGGATTATGAGTACTCAAAGAGGTTCTCGAGATCAGCATCACTGCGGCTCAGAAATCTACGACTACCTCCAGCCTATACCTTGCCCATTGAGCCAACGTCAGAAATCGTGCCATCTGCGTCAGTGCCCAAACAAGATGCTGACGATCGAGAGGCTGGCCATTCCGGCCCTGGTAGCGTACCTGAAGGCCTCCTAGGATCTGTATCGCAGCTAATGACTGCGTCACTGATTCCCAACATTGATGAGGATGATGATGTACCTGCGTCTTTGGCGTGGAGTACTCGAAGATCCTCACATGACCTCACGATCGATACCACAATAAGCGACGGTCTGCCCTCCACCCCGGAGGCCCTCACCGCAGCTTCACAACGGAACAGTAGATTCAGCGAGGTGCTCGAAGACGTTGATCCAGGGACCAGGCCGGATGTACCGCCTAGAAGTCCAGACAGACCGTCAGCAAGGAACAGTGCTCTGCTATCGAATCGAGGCAGTGTTGTGTTTCCAGTACCTGAGCCAGCTGAGTCACTTCAGCTCGAGAACCCTGCGGAGCTGGTTTTAGAGAAGAAGCAGCGATCTTGGTGGATCGACTTCCTCCTCGTCGTCATATGGGTGATATCCACCGCACTGACGATGTTCGGTATGTCGAATACCTCCTTGCTTCACCAACCCCTAGCATGTACACTTGGAAATGTACAAACCTGCACACCGCCGTCATTCAGCTTCGTACACAACTTGCGGTTGAACACTACGCTCCCAGAAGTCCTCTGGCCCTTCATATCCACTCTACGCCTACAAGACGTCGAAGGTCTCGACCTCGCGGATCACGGTCTCGTTGTCAAGGAGATTTACAGTGACACCCAAACTATAGACGTCCATGGTGGCCTCGTTGTGCGAAGCGCGTTTTCGGATAGGGGTATCAATCTTCTGTCAGATATCATTTACAGCGGTGTTGTTGATGGCGGCGACATTGTCAGTGGACGGAAGTTATTGCAGAAGATGTTGAAGAAGGCGAAGGCTGGACATGGGGTTGAGGAGGCGGTCGGGATTGTGAGTGCTCAGGGTGCGAGGGAGAATGCATCGCGAGATGGGTCACGGTCGATAGGTGACATCTTCCTTGCGTTGTGGTTAGCATGCCTGCTGGCAGTGGAGATCACATTGCTGGTACACTTCGCGATGTTGCCAGTGTTGTGGATGGCCGCAGTGTGGCTGTCTCGATGTTGCTGGTCGAAGAAAGAGAGAAATGGGTTGGAGAAGGGAAGGAGTTGGAAGCAGGAAGTGCTGATGGCCTCCGGGCTAGCGCTTCGGTGGATTCTGGCAGGAGCGCTGGGTTCGGCAGGTGCAAGTGGGATACTGCTAGCGTTCTGGACCTGAATATGTTGTAGACTTCACGGTGTACGGTTACTCAACAATGATGCAATAGAAGCGTGTTGTAGGCATCAGAGTACCCAATGTCGTAGTGATCGCTATGCTACATACCATTGAAGAACTCCAGCCTGTCCGTGGGTATCTTGTACTAACGCCGAAAATGCACTGTGATGACTACAAAGCTTTACAGCTCCTTGCTCATGATGATGTAGTCAGCCTCGATGACCTTTCTCCTCGTCACCCTGTCTCCAGGGCTGAGCTCATCCTTTACAAAGCCCTCCCTCTCATACACTCGCCTCGCCCCCTTGTTGACCGTGAACATCGTCAGCATCATCTTGCTGATTTTGACCAAGCGAGCTTGGCTTTCTGCCCACTGTATCATTCGTCCGCCAAGACCTTGGTTGCGAAGTCGGTCATCGAGGTGAATCTCGTAGATGTATTGAACTGGCCTCATCATCTTCAGTTCTTCTTCTTCAGGTTCAAACTTGAAGGAAATGAAGCCGAGAATTGCACCAGCGTGGTTTGCGCTTGAATCCTGCTCGCTGACCCTGTCCATACCTACGTAACCTTTTGCCTGCCGAATCAGAAGGTACATCATTTCTTTGTCTGACATCTCCTCCATCTTGTAATCGGGGTCCCAGCCCCGGCTTGACGACTTGTAGTCTTGCTGGGAGGTCTTCGCGATGAGATCGAAGCACGCGGCAAGCTCGCTGTTGTTCATCTTGGTCGACCTTCTGAACTCGAAGTGGAGAGCAGAGTAGATTCGAAGTCCAACGAATGGCTGGAATGTGTACGAGTATAGCTCTTCGGGGGCATTGTGTAATTCGACGAACGCAGTTCGATGCTCGAGAGGACTATCAGCGGTTATGCTTGGAGTGAGAAGTATGTATTCTGAGGACAAAGAGGAGCTTTCTTGAGGAGTTCGAGGAGTTTGGAGCGATTCGATGCGTAGAGAATCGTTATCAGCGTCGTTGGACGGAGGAGAGGGAGGCTTTGGAGGCTCTTGTGGATCAGGCAGCTTCTGAGGGGACATTTGCTGATTATTGGCCAGAGTAGAGGCAGCAGAGTCGAGCTTGGAGAGCTTTCGAGGATCTTCAGGCTCTGCATGGTCTGCTTCGGCGGGGCTTCGCCTCCTCTTGGGCAGTGGCTTGTGAATTCTGCCGCGAGTAGTCATCTGCTCTCCCTCCTCCGAACCAGGATAACCGAAAAACATAGCGTCCTCCGATTGCACCGATATAGGTTGTGTGAGGTTTGACCATAAGCAGCTGTGGAGCTGAACGCGTCGAAATTTGGGGAGACGCGCCGGTGGGGCAACGAAGGCAAGGCTGTTCCTGCAGCCTAAGATATTCACAGCCTAGCTCAGTATTTACGTCAGCCTGCATCTCGAGACAGAGCCTCAATCGTGAAGCGCATCTCAATTCATCTCAAATCGCACTCCCTTACGTTGTCTCACTGTCATTAACTGGATTTTCTTTGCTCCAGGCGTTGACGAGGGGATGTTGCGCAGATATGCAACGATAGCCATAAAGCCGCCTTCCCGGCTGCGAGCGCGAGGAAAGAGCCCTCTGGGACTCGACCACGTGAGCTTTGTCTAATCACTGGCAGCAACCCTGACCTAACGATAACATGCAGTTCATACAGCGGCAAAAAGTGATATCGCTGTGGCGAGACATTGTCCGCAGCACCAACAACATACCAGACACCGCCACCAGGGCCGACATGAGACAGTTTGCCAGAGTCGAATTCGAACAGCACCGTCACGTCACTGACTTGGTATGTACTCACAGTGCATGCGCATGCAAAACGACATATACTGACAATGCTGCACAGGACCATATACGTTATCTGCTCTCCGTATGATTTGCTCATTAACAGTTGCCACGCATCCAGCTGACTTGTGTAGACCGGCAAAACTCAGTTCCAAACTATGAAAGGCACGCTAATCAATTCTGGAGTTTTGACTGAATGAAATATACGTATCTGCTCTTCTTCTCTTCCATCTCGGGCTGCTCTTGCCTCATATTCCTCATTGGCCGAGAGCCGAGGGGCTCTCGTTAGCGCGCTTCCCGTCTCCCCACCCATGCACTTGCCAACATGTCAAGGTCCTCAACACTATACACTCCCTCATCCCGTCTACTTGCGCATTGTCCGCGTCTTGCTTGGTTGTGATAGCTTCATTTGTATATCTCACACCTCTGAAGCACTCCCGGGCACGACACGAATAGGCTGACGAATACACTTCCAGCATTGTAGTCTGCAACTAGCATCATGGCTTTTACGAGATCTGTGTGCATCGTCGGCGCAGGACCTTCCGGCCTGGTAGCAGCGAAGACCTTTTTGCAGTATGGCAGCTATGCTGTCACCGTGTACGAGGCCGCAGATGGCGTTGGAGGCATGTGGAGAGCGCAGCCTGGCGAGTATGGCGCTAAGTGCAGTCCGGAGATGAAGACGAACCTGAGTCGCTACACGGTTGCGTTTCCAGATCTTTCGTGGTCATCCGTAGACCTCTCAGATCCTGTCACCGGAGCGCCTTCCCCAGTGACTCCGCCAATGTTTCCGAAGGCATGGCAAGTTGGGCGGTATCTCGAGAAGTACACCGAGAAATTCGGTCTGAAGTCCGCAATCTTTTTCAACCGGAAAGTCATCAACGCGGACATTTTTGACGATATGAAGACCTGGCAGGTCTCGACCTACGATTCCGTGACGCATCAGTCGGATACACAGACGTTCGACTACCTTGTGATCGCGAGCGGATTCTTTGACGTACCAGGCCGCACCTTCAATCCCTCGCCTGGCGCCAATCTACACAATTTCCAACACTCTTCCGTCTTTCGTGACCTTTCTTCACTCGCCCAGAAGCCTGGCAAGATTGTTGTCATTGGCGGAGGTATCAGCGGGTCGGAAGCTGCTGCCCAAGCTGCCTTCCAGATCTCAAGCGCCAAGAATTCGCCAGGCAAGAGCAAGCCTGTCCACGCGGAGAGCAAGATATATCACATTGTGAACCGCCCCTTCTACTGTCTCCCTCGCTATCTCCCTCAGAACCCCTACAAAGGTTCGACGCAAGACGCCAACCTGGCACCCACTTTCCTCCCTCTTGACCTTGTCCTCTACAACCTCTCGCGCCGTGGAGAAGGCGAGATATCTGCTTCTATTACAACAGTACCGCCTGAAAAAGCAAAGAAGGGACATGAATTCATGCGGTCGGTCATTGGGGGCGATCAACAGGAGTACGGAAACGCAGCACTCGTGTACACGCCAGATCAGATGCAGTATCCTGGATACTGTGGCATCACTGATACCTACCTCGAGTTTGTCAGGAGCGGGCTGATTGTCCCAGTACAAGGCTGGGTCGAGAAGGTCACGCAGGAGGTCGAGGGCGACTGGTTCGACATTGTGCTGCAACATAACGAGCCATGGTCCAAGAAGTCTGGTGTACGTTCACGGCCATCAAAACTTTGAAGACACTCTTACTGACACATTCCAGACGAAGAGCTTATTCTCTAATGTTACCGGCATCATTGAGGCCACCGGCTACAAGGTCGGCCTCGACTACCTGCACGACACACCGAAAGGCTTCCTTTACCCAGACGCATCCTGTCCTCGTATACCTTTCCTCCTCACTCGCGGATCTGTACTCTCGGACAACCCAACGCTCGGTTTTGTCGGATTCTACGAGGGACCTTACTGGGGAGTCATGGAAATGCAGGCACGCTTCATTGCTGACACGTGGTTCAAATCCACTCCAGACCCTACCAACCCTACGAGAGCTGGTCTGAACCAGCTCAACACGACTGAGCGTATGCGACATCAGATTCGGTTCGAGGGGTCCCTGCAAGTACCACAGTTCTGGATGGCAGACTACGTTGGGCTTGTTGAGGAGTTTGCGCGTGAAGCTGGTGTCAAGCGAGCGGACACAGCATTCGACGGCCAAAAGGGCCCTGCTTTCCCGTCCCGCTATCAGGGTGTCGGCACAGATGATGAGGCTGATGTCACTGTTCAAGAGGTTGCCAGCTTGTTGAAGGCTTCAGAGAAAGATGCCAAGTTCGTCGCAGCGGCAGTCTTTCGGGCCATGCAGGGTGTCTGGTCTCTACATCGCAACATTGCTACCCGGAATACTATCCCAGGCGGCGTACTCACAGGCACAGCACGATTTCACCCACGCACACCTACTGATCTCACATACGCTGCTGAATATCTGTACATCGAAGAGGGAACTTTCCAGATGGATAACGGCTTCTCCTTCCCTGCGACGCGTCGCTACGTTTACCGATACAACGAGACAACAGACAAGATTACAGCGTGGTTCGTTGATGAAGATGGAGAGTCAACTGGTGCCTTCTTCAACAAGTGGGAATTCTACCCTCCTGCAGATGAGCATCACGGGTGGAAAGCCAAGGGACATCATTGGTGCGATCCTGATACATACAAGAGTGGGTGCGAATTCAAGTTTTGTGGTGCAAGCTTGCAGACATTTGGCATTACGTATGAGGTTGCGGGACCCAAGAAGGACTACAGTCATGAGAGCTGGTATGAAAGGCCGAAGAGCGAGGACACCTCAATCGACTTGCCTTAGCCCGTTGTTGATCTTTGTGGTTACAGCGCTGTTCGCATTGCGTTATCGTTGAGGCCAGTGATGTTCAGCTGTGAAACCTTGGGTAATGCTGATCAACGTTAGATACTGGTCGGCAGCACAGATCCGTCTGCACGATCAAGAACTATTCTGCAGCTTGATATCGACTGCGGCACATGATAGCTACCTGTTAACAACGCTTGGAAACGTCCGTTGTAGTCGGTCCGGTTCCGTCCGCTTGACCTCTTGCTACTCTTCACGGTCGCACCTGTGCTACACTCAATAACCTCGTGGTTTGTCTCATTGCCTGGTTCTGGCTGCCGGGTGTCCAATCCCTCGATAACAAGCAAGTCTGCCCGAAATAAGCTTCCGCCGACCAGTGCGACGCCGTGTTGGGTCATGTCTTACCAGTTTTGTGCGGTGTTGCGACAAAGCCACATCTTTCTAGGCCACGACTTTCACTGTGCAGTGTTTGCTGTTGTAAATCTCAGAATTCGAGACAACGAAGAAGGGGCGATGGGTTGTAATCGGCGCAGATCTTTCGATTGTTCAATCACCATTATCAAAGAATGCAAGAGCTGGGCCGATAAATCCGCAAGCATACATCCTATTTAATACCGTGGCAACAGCCCTAGGTTTATCCCTCATTCATCAACTTCACATCATCTCGATACACACCAACCGTTGAGCATCCTTATTTAAAAGCACTCGGCCTTTAGCTCCGGGGTCAACTGCGACCCCCATTGTACTTGCATCCATCCCATCTCGTACATCTTCGGCCAAGCGTCCTGACACCTCTCATCCCTTCGGTCTTTTGCCACTACCACAATGAGGGTCGACTTCTTTGCCCTTCTCTTCATTGTGGAGTTCGCTTTGCCTGGCCCTGCAAAGCGAGACTGCGGCCAAGAGAAGCGCTACGATGCCGTAAACGAATGCGGCATGACATATGGCGGGTAAGTGATACATACTAACGCCTCGGTTTTAGCGTGCATGTTGCTTGATACCTAGATCGCCTTGGCTAATATGCGTGTAGCTGTTGGACTGAGTGTGCAGATGGCATTACAGATATGTCCACATTTACTGCTGCACCTTGCTCCTCCAGCATCGATACAGCCGTCAGCATTGATGCTGGCTACCCCACGCAGACAACTGACGCTGTAACCAGCGTTCCTTCGTCCACAGACGATGGCACTTCCGACTCGTTGATTACTCCACCACCTGCACTGGACTCGACGACGATTACGAGCTTGAGCAAGACAAGTCGTTGCTCTCCGCTGTGGCTTTGTGTCGACTATATGGCCGTCTGCGGCAACCTAACCCAGATGTATGGCGGGTAAGTCCTCATATTGAAGGCTGCTCTTTCGACCTGTTCTCTTTCCGGCATGGAGTTCAGTCGTGGATTGCGCTCTCGAATAACACTGCACAGATGCTACGATATCTGTACCTCCTCTCCACCAGTCACCTCTCCTCCCTGCAGCCTCTCGTCGCGCACCACAGGGACTGGCTACGCAACCACCACTCCGACTCCCGGGCCAGGAGCTGCTTACACTGAGAATCCTGCTTCTGACGGCGTCGCTCCTGCCTTAGACAACAGCAAAGCTCTTGTCATGGCAGAGATTCCAAACGTTGATACTTCTGCCCCTGCTCCCGAGCCTTCGGCTGCAGTAACTGAACCTGCTGCTCCTTATGCGGGAGAGTTTAAGATTGCTAATGTCCAGGCTGATGAGCCTGAGGCCTCAGCTTCTCCCGCAGCTTCAGACCTTATTAGGGCCCTTGCCCCCGGAGAGGACTTGCCATAGCCAAGATGGAGGCGTACAAGGGTAGGAGTTCGAATACGGCAAACAAGCCCTGTTGGGACCACGCGTGGTGCAAAGAAGTGCAGCTTGGCATACCACAACCATACTCGGCGGAGTTCTCAGCAGAGCCTTCGGCAGAACCTCCAGGGGATGTTCTAGCAGATAGCCCAGCGGAAGCCCCTGTAGAAGCTCCAACAGAAACCCTAGTGGATGCTTCTACGGAAGCCCCTACAGAACCCCCAGCGGTATAAACTTTACTACAGACCGTCACAGTCTAGAATGTTCCTTGAGATCATGCTCAGCAGGCGAGGCTGTCACGGCGCAGTTGATGACGGCTATAATATGTTACTCAACAAGACATAGTCGCTGGTAACTCTCCTTTAGCGTCAGGTGTGGTTTGGGTGTTTTGATGATGTTCATACATGGGGTGAGGTTGGTGTTCCTTTGTTTCACGAGTCACGAGTCACGTTGCTGTCCAAGTCCTGAATCGTTCCTTTTCTTTGTCATGAAACTTGTCTTGAGTCTTTCGAGTAGATGAGTACAAGGCTTCCACGCTCGCACATATGATACTCGTGCGGCAAAACTTCGGTCACCTTTCATTAATGTGGTCTGACCCTTTGTCTCCTCGAATCCGAGTTCAAATCCAAGTCCATGCCTAAACTAAGCTTCGCTGTGCAAACACCCCGATGAGTTCCTTCAAACTGCTCGTCTCGCTTACCGTTGTCTTGATTCCTCCACGTGCTAACATATTTTGCGCTGGCCGTATGTTGCCTTCCAGCATCACTCTACTATCCTTCTACCAGTGAATAGCCCAACCGGAGTGCGAAGCTGCTGTGACTGGTCAGTCTCCATCTTGATCAACGGCTCACCGATGTAACATACCTAAAACACCTGGTGAACGTGCAACCCTGAAGATCTCGGCTGGAAACCTATGAACTTGCATTGACGGCGATCCACTCAGCCACGCCGCAATTCTCTTGGGCATTCCAGCATCAACAGCCACCTGCTGGCAGAACACCGACCCAGGATGCAGGACTTTACGCATCAATAGAGAATCCGCGAACTCTAAAGGCCCGATCACATCCATCGCCCAGTCCAAATCTAGCGTGTATGTGTTGTCCAAGGGATTGTAGTAGCCGGGTGGTGGAGTGAGCAGGGTGGATATGACTTGGTAGAGCCTGATTTCGAGCGACTGGGTGCGGTCGAGAGTGACGGATGTCGGGTACTCGCGCCTAGTATCTGCAAGTACGCGGTCACGGCGTTGCTCGAAAGTGGCCTTGCGCGTCTTGGGCTTGTACTCCTCAGCAGTATTGGCGGCGGTCGTGGATGGTGGGTAGTGGTGCTTGGGCTTGAATGAGTGAGTGTTAAGGCCCAGATCTGGCTGGTGCAGCGCGCTTCCGAGGTCGAGGTGGCGCTGGTCAGGTCCCTCCGTCACAGGAATATCGCAGAGCGCTTCGAGTGGTGAAGACTGAGGAGGAGAAAACGAGGAAGAGATGCGGTCGATAAGCTCTTCGAAGGACGCGGTGTCCCCCTCGCCTTCGCCATCGTCACTGAACGCTACACGGTTGGAGTCGATACTTGAGATCTCGCCAGTATCGGGGGCGCGATCGTACCCGCGCTCACCCATATCCAGGTTGGAAATGGGCAGTGGCATCGGACTGGACTGGTCAGAAGCCGCATCAGCCTCAGCCTCCTGGTAGTAGTCAGGCGCATCTGGGATTCCAGAGGTAGTGTAGTCGACCTCGGTGTAATTGCGACCGCCGGATGAAGCTTCAGTCAGCCTGGCAACCAAGTTCGAAATGCTGCGAGGGCGCATGTTGAACTCGTCACCAGCGTCACTGCTGCCGTGAACTGCACCCGTAGAAGTGGCATCTGTGTAGATCATCTCCGGAATGCCGTCGCGGGGATCGAGGAAATATGCTGGGTTGAGCTCATCGCGTAACGGAGACGCTTGCTGAGCACAGTGATCAGTAAAGCCTTTGAAAGCTTCCAGATGACTTACCCTGACACTAGAGATCCCCCGGAATACAGGACGATCGTTCATGATGAATCGGGCAGAATTGGAGTTGGTCATGGTTGTTGAGGAAGATGTTGTTGCGAGTTGAGAGGTATTATGGTTTATCGCTGAACTATATATCGCTGGTGAGCGCAGGCAGTGGCGGCGGCTAGGGGCACTAAAGCGAAGTTGCTGTGAAGGGTTCTGCACAGTGCGCCGGGAGCAAAGATAAGATGTGCCAAAAACGACGCAAGTTTGCTCCAGGTCTGATGATCGAGGTAGCTAATCTATGTAGCAGTGTGGAAACGGATCATTGTAGACCTTGTTGCAGTTGCTTTCGAGCTTGATCATGGCTTGCTGCCATCACGAAGGCAAATACAGTATTTTCTACGGAAAGCGTCCTATCTACCAGCATCTTTGTTCATGGTTGCGACGAAGGCCAATTCTCAAGGTAGGGACTGCCCAAATTCAGCTTCATCCTTCTCCGCCATGGTGAAGGAGGCTAGACGTATGGCAAAGGCTTTCAGAAGGGCAGCTCCTGTCTGAGAACTCTAGTTCACCTCTGATTCTCAAGCCTGCTGGCAGTTCTTCCACGATATAAGATCCTCCATCACTTCTGTATAGACTTGCACCTCTTACTACAAGCGATCTCTACATCAATCCTTCCCTGGAAACGCAGCCTCCATCGTCGTGGCAAGCAACACTGCTTCAGCACCAACCGGCAATGGCAACAACGTAAGCACAGCTAGTCTTGGCCACGCTTCCACAGCTCCCTAACATCTCTCAGCAGTCCACCACCACCGGTGGCCCGCTTGGCGGCACCCCCAACCCAGGCCTCTACGCGCCACCCCTCCACAGCGGCGGTGAGTCAGACGACTCTCTCCTTACCATCATCGATCGGCTCATGAACCCTCCCGACTACATCTACTCCAACTGCGGCCAGTAAGTCACACTCAACATCACTTGGGCAGTTGGTGTGGTCGACCACGAGCGCTTTGAGCCTGTGCCGCTGAGTCGTGGGTTGAGTCCTTATTTTGTTACAGAAGCGACTTCATGAGCCTTATGGTTTGAAGCAAGCCTACAGCAAAACCGTTTCTCATGGCGTTTCTTCATCTACCAAGTTCCAAGATGCTAGCGCAAGGTCTAGTCGGGAGTACCGCCAAGTTCCGGTCAACCTTCCTCCTTCTCGTACATATCATTACCCAGCAGTGAAAGCAGGACATTCTCTTCGCCTTCACCCAAGCAGTCGATGATCAGCTTGTGAGAGACCTTGCCAGTTACCAACTCGTATGCACGGGAGTCGAAGGTGAAGAGCTCTGGCATGATCTCGTAGGCCCATCGCTTTGGCTAGGTGATCTTATTGCGCGGCTTGCCCTCAGGGGGATAGTGGAAGTCGTAGCGGCCGTCCTCCCTGAGAGTGGCGCGAAGCGGTCTTCTGATGCGGTGGGCTCGTTCTGTGCGATCTCTTCAGCGGTGAGCAGTTGCTAATCAAAAAGATACTGTTTCACCTCCCCTACTCCACCGCAGACGATTCTTTGCCTGAGAAATGCTCAAATCGCAAACTGCGGCATTGTGAACGTCATGTATCCATCAAACTACTTCTACATTCCAAGGTTTTGACAACTTGAGCTGCATCGTCAGCAGTCTGAAGCATTTGGCTAATTGAGATCTCTTCTTTGGGAGACCAGCAAAGCCGGAGCAGTCAACGAAATGAAGTGAGCAAAGCCCAAGGTGGTGTCCGATTCTTCTGTCAGCTCACAGCATGCCGCCACGGCCGCATTACCGACCAGCTCGGAGAAACTCTTCATCGCCAGTGACGATCGACGCTTCACTCGAAGTTCATCAGCTGAAGCTGTAAGGTCAGCCATCAAACCATATCGACCAAAGGTGCAAAGATTACACTCTCTGCATCCAGCAGTAGAGTAACAGCAGCAACACTAGTGCGGTTAGTAGTAGTGAAAACCGTAAAGTGTGCCGTTCTGACCCTGTCGACGTATGAGGAGGTCGAGACTCAACCACGCGCGAGGTGCAATGCGTGTGATCCCGCCAGCCTGCAGGTTTCCATGAGCGCCTGAGGCTAGTACAGGAGCTCATAACTCCCTTACAAACAATCACGTGGAGGAGGGAAGCAGGGTGAGGGGAAGGCGAGCTTTTGTACCTTGCTGTCACCGGCGCATCGGCGCCGGGTTGCCCGTCACAACACGCTGAAATGCACTGTTACAGGCAGCAAAGCTCTTGTTACGTCACTAGGTCACATTGCGTGATTTTCTGAGCATAACAAACAAACCCGACACGCGCGCGATGTCACCGAGCGATTTTCGAACTTTCCACCCACGATTTCGACTTTTGCAATATCGTCATAGGCGCTCCAATGCTTCAACGTAGATGCTCAATTCAGGCTTTCGATAGACCATTTTCCTCATGATGCAAAATAATGAAAGCCTTCCATCCCGAGGACCGCTTCGCTCTTGAAGGTCGTGGTCTGCTCAGCACTCTGCATTGCACTTCGTGGAGAGGTGGGCTGAGTCGAAGGATGTTACCTTGCGTCGAGACAATTTTTGTTTTCAGCCTGGGCTTTCTCACTTCTCATTGATCTTGCAGGCTTTGCTCGCGTTTCGAAGAAGAGAGTGATTCGTTGTGACTGCGTGAGCAGTGTCGGTTGGAGGCTGTGATCAATGATTGGATTGCTATCTGTGTTGTTGTTCGGTGATGTTCTTGTACAGGAGCTCTCTGCTCAGAGGCAAGTGCACTTGCCCATCGGTCAGTGCCTTCTACAATAAGATATCAAGTGACTTTAGCCACGTGGTTACATTCATTGTTCCCGCTCGACTGCCTCTGCAATTGCTGTTGATGTTGACTTTGCGCGCTATGGTGATCTTGCAATCGTTCGTGCTGCTTCACGTACTGCTACCTGTGTAAGGTATGGAGCTCAAGTCTCCTATGCGCTCGCCACAGCAGCGGTATGTGATTAAGACCACGAGGCGATTGAAAATGTTGTCCAATTTTCAAAATTTCGACCTTCTTTTTGTTGCGACACTGTCAATCACTGAGCTCATCGCAAGACCCTGGATACTTCTAGCTTGCCCTAATGCTTGATAGGCAATATTTGTGAGCGACAGACTCTGTACAGCCCACTTGTACCTGCTGTGAGCGAGCTTGATGAGTGTGCTGCATGCCTCCAGCTTGTGCAATCCTGATGTGACCCTCGAGTTCAATCGTAGTAGCCGTGAGCTCGTGCTGTAGCAAATGACCCTGCTTCACCTTCACTGTGCCAGTAACTCGCCCATAAAATATTGTCTTCTCCAAAGTTCCCTCTCTTCAACTCCTACACTCTCACTCAAGATATCGTCACCTTCAAGTGTTTCGATCTCGCGATATTTTCAAAGTTTCGCTCTTCGACTACCTCCAAACCACTCCATCAAAACCTCTTTCGATATGCACACCACAATGGCTGCCTCCAAGCACAACCCACCACCGCGCTACGCCTCTAACACCCCCGAGGCTCTCCAAGGCCTCCCGACATACAGTCCCTTTGGTTCTGGTTGGCCTCGCATGTCTGGGTACCAGCGCCATAGCGACGAGGTCGAGCAAGAGACGGCGCCGTTGCTTGGGGCTGGGTGTGCGAGCTCTGGTGATCCTGGAGAGCAAGTAACAGGCGAACCGTTCTCGAGCAGTAGGAGTCCGTCGCGTCGTGCGTCGATTCAAAAGTTCGATTCGTAAGTGCCTTGAGAACCTCCTGCCCAGCCCTCATCATCACATATCACTCTATAAACAGCGGCAGATTGCTCCACGCTACATCTACGTCGTGTTCCTTAACTAGTTGGAATACCGTGTATCCTCCAACTTCTTCTACGTTGTCGAGTCTGAGCATGGACGATCCACTGACGTCCTCCAGTACCACCCTCGTCGTCCCCGCGCCCACGCCCGAGGAACCCTCCCTCTTATCCCGCCTCTTCGACTTTATCCGCAGCCTCTTCCGCAGCGTTGTCGACTCTTTCTCGTCTCCTCGCCCGCCTCCTTCTCCTCTCCTCCCGGTCGCTTCTCCTCCCGCTGCTCCCCCAGCTCCCCCGGCTCCTCCTGTCCCTCCCTCTTTTGAAGTGGATTCGGGAGATTTGGTCCAGTCCTCCTTCGACGAGGACGAGGAAGTCATCGGGATGTTGCCGCGTGGCAGCCCGTAGAGGTCCTCAAACTATGATGGCTGAGGTGGTGGCTATCTCAACCCAAAGGCGTACATTCAAGCCTGCGGGAGGACGTCTTACACAAGCGGAGTAGAAGACTAAGTCTGGCGTGGCGGTGCTTGACCTTGAGATCCAAGGTTTGTATATAACAGGCTTTTGTATGGGCTGCTTCTCTTGTGGTCGTTTGGTGGCGACGGATTCCTGCGTGTACTTTTGGTGTCTTGGCGTTCTGCTTTGATGATGTGAGGTGTTCCTGGGTGAATAATGGCAGTGGGATTGGCGATGGTGGATGGGCTGGAAACCTTCTGGATCTGCTTTTGGCGTTTGGGTCTGGTGTCTGACGTAGCTTGGGGTGAATTCAAGGCGTTCAGGATGATACCCATGGGACTTGCACTCTACTTTGATAAATGCGTTTTCTTTCCTTCTCTCCAGCTACATTTCAGCGTTGTCAAATATTCTTGTGGCACACTTTCAAGGGTCGAGATCTCTGGACGGAGTTAGTTGGACACAACTCACTTGCTCCAAAACACTGAAGACGGTGGAGAAAAGGGTTGACATTTGAAAGAGGGCCGAGAAAGAAAACTGTGACCTTTTGGTTCTGTTCAAGGTGCTGGATCAAAGGGACGATGCTACTTCGTAGCCTTCAAAGCGCTCATGATCTTGCTTTCTTCTCAGCCTCAGCACAAGAGGCAGAATAGATAGTCCCATTTCATAAAATCACAAGGATGCTGCTGTAAAGATATTCATTGTGAAGTTGCTTCACGTGCATCTTTGACGTCGTCGGCATTTCCACGCACCGACGTCGAGCCCAAAGCACGAAACTTTGGAATCGATGACGCGCCTTTGCATCTTTGCAGCCGTTGCACGAGGCGCAGCCGTCCAAGCGAGGCGCGTTGAAGGAAATTGGCATCGCAATTTCTGCCTTTTTGATGAAGTGGTGCACTCGGCGGCTGGGCGCTCTGGGCGGGGCGGAATGCCGAGGTCGATGCCGTCGGTTTTCAAAGCATCGCAAACAATTCAAGCAGCGCACATATGCTTCGCAGCTCGAGCGAAGGATCGATATGAACGTCAAGTCGAACGGAGATACAAAGCTTGGTGGTTCATCAACGGTACAGCTCATGTTCTACCATGCCCTGCTCGGTCCTGCGTCGCGTGGGTTGCAGCTGTCCATCGGAAGTCGGGGCGCATCGTGATGTGATTGGAAGCTCGATGGGCCGCCGAGGTTCGATGGCGGGAGAACATCGACCCGCTTTCAACACCATCCCTAGTCCGGGGCATCGCGCGAGGCAAATGAAGACGACACGATGTTGCCGCTTGGCAGTCGTATGCGAGTGTATTGTCGAGGCGACATTATCACGCATGCCTTTTGCTTGACCTTTTCGCCCTTTGCCCGTCGACCTTGATACTGCTGTTTCGTGCACTTACTGCTAGATACCCCTGGAGCGTTGAAGCATGGTTGCCGCTTTCATCTCGTAATCTGTAATATCGAAGTCGACTCCACATTGTTCAAGGCAAGAAGCCGCAATTCGAACATACACGGTCGTCACTACCTTGAGCGCGCCCATCGCGGGCAACAACAAGAGCCATGGCGATTCTTAGGCAGACCTGGATCCTCACGAAGAAGACGCTCCTTATCGTGGCATGGCGGCAATGGTTCTTCACGAGCGTGCGCGCCTTCTGGGCGCCCATTATCTTTGTATGTTGACGCTTAAATGCAACTTGATCATAGCTAACATGGCTAGATGTTCTTCATCACATACGCGAAGAATTTCTTCATTCCACCCTCCGAATTCGGCATTGGCAACGCAACACCCATCCGCTCCTTCCCCAACGCACTCGCCGCCGCAACAGGCGGGCGCGACAAGGTCGTCTTCGTAAACAACGGCTATACCGGCGGTGATATTGAGAATGTCATCGGGCAAGTCTCGAACCAGGTACGTGACGCAGGTCTCCAGGCCATTACAGTCGAGCGAGAGGTGGAACTCCTGACAACATGTGCTGGATCACTGCGAGGCGCGAGTACATGTTTCGGCGCGGCGACGTTCCACTCCAGTCCCAATGAAGGAGGCGGTCCGGCGTGGAACTACACGCTGAGAGCCGATGGTGTGTTGGGGTCGCAAATCTACGTCGACCAAGAAGACAACGATGTCCAGATCTACATTCTGCCTTTCCAGCGCGCCATCGACGAGACGATTGCAAGCCTGAACACTACAGCTGGTGCAATTCCTGCCATCGATGAATTTCCGTATACCGAGCGCACGCAAGAAGAGAGGGATGAGCGCATCAGAGTACTGTATATGGGCGCGCTGATCAACATTATGGGCGCTGCGCTGTACATCGGTGTCTGTGGTGTGACATACCAGCTCACCGGACAAATGGCCGAAGAGCGAGAGCGTGGCATTTCGCAGCTCGTGGAAGCTATGTCTCCAGCAAAGAAGGCGTGGCACACGCAATTCGCTCGTCTTCTGGCCAACCACATTGCTTTCGACATCATCTACTTTCCTGGCTGGGTCATCATGGGTTTGATTGTATGGGCTCTCGCCTTCAAGTCGTCGAACGCGGGGATTCTGGTCATCTTCCATATACTGGCTGGTTTGTCGCTGACGAGTTTCTCCATTTTTGGCGCTGCGTTCTTCCGCAAGGCGCAGCTTTCGGGTATCACGATTGTTATTATTCTGATTCTGCTTGCGATTATTGCGCAGGTTGCCGGTCCGTTCAGTACCTCAGCCGTCTACGTTCTCAGTCTGATCTTTCCGTCTATCAACTATGTCTTCTTCATCGTCTGGGTCGCACGATTCGAGAGGGAACTCACTGGCGCAAATCTCGGACAGGGCGCGCCCGTGTATGAGGACCATGTCTGGACGACTCCTGGAATTGTCTTCTGGGTGTTCCTGGTCATACAGACGCTCGTGTACCCCTTCCTCGGCGCGCTTGTAGAGCGTTGGTTGTACGGTACCGTTTCGGCTGACCGCAAGACCACGACCAATTCACCTGATCACAACATCATTCTGAGGAATTTCTCGAAGCACTGGACACCAAGTTGGTTCCGCAGGAATGTCTTGGCTAAGATCGGTGTCAAGCCTCCGGAGACCGTCATTGCTGTTGACGACTTCAGCATCAAAGCGCGCAAGGGGCAGATTATGGTCCTGCTAGGTGCCAATGGAAGTGGCAAGTCTACGACCTTGGACGCTATCGCTGGTCTGAACACTATCACCAGCGGCTCTATCGAGATTGACGGCACGGGAGGCTTGGGTCTGTGTCCGCAGAAGAACGTCATGTGGGACGAGTTGAACGTTTATGAACACGTTCGGATCTTCAATCAACTCAAGTCGACCGGAAATTTCGATACCAAGGATACCATCGAGGACCTCATCCGCGCATGCGATCTGGGACACAAGATCAAGGCTCGATCAAGCACGCTTTCAGGCGGGCAAAAGAGAAAGCTGCAGCTCGCTATGATGTTCACTGGTGGCAGTAAGGTGTGCTGCGTTGACGAAGTCTCTTCTGGTCTCGACCCTCTTTCGCGAAGGAAGATTTGGGAGATTCTGCTTGCTGAACGTGGCGACCGCACGTTCCTTCTTACAACCCATTTCCTCGATGAAGCAGATGTGCTTGCCGACTACATCGCCATCCTTTCGCGAGGTGTGCTGAAAACAAAGGGTACATCTGTGCAATTGAAGCACGAGGTAGGTGCTGGTTACCACGTTACGTACCCGCGAGATGCGCATGTAGCTCCTCCAGCAGATGCGACGAAGAAGCCCGCCCCGTCAGCAGACATGGTCCAGTACTGGTTTCCTGATGCTCTTCCTGCAACTCACTTTGTTGATGTCCTGAGATCCAAGGGTGTCCAGAATTACGATATTGTGGGACCGACGCTGGAAGATGTATTCCTTGCGATGGCTGAGGAAGTCAAAGAGCACAATCTTATGGACGCCAACGAGCAACAAGCCGTACTCGCTACAAACAAAGACGCCTCGGACCAAGTCTCTGACACCGACAAAGGGCTTGAGATGGGCAAGGGCCGAGGCACGTCAATGGGCAAGCAAACTCTGATTCTGATGCAGAAGCGTTGGACCATCCTTCGACGCAACTTCTGGCCATACGTGTTCGCTCTGCTACTGCCTATTATCGCTGCTGGACTGGTCACACTGTTCCTCAAGAACTACGTGGCGGTTGGCTGCAATCCTGGAGAGAATGCCAACGATCCTGAGGTGTTCACGCTTGCAAGTACCGATGCCATTCCGCTTATCCCCATCGGCCCTACAAGCCTTGTTGGCGATGCCATCTCGACTATTGTTCAGCGTTCTGGCATCAACAACGATAGTTTCTACATTGTCGATACACTCGACGAGTTCAATGACTTTGTGCAGACCCGCTTCCGCAACATTACGCCTGGCGGCTTCTTCATCCGCGAAAACGAGCCTACCATAATGGCATACCTGGGAAGTGGAAGTGTGGTCGGCGGTCTCATCACGCTCAATACACTTGACAACGTGCTCTCGGATGTCCCCATCTCGACACAATATCAGCAGTTTGCTGTCCCGTTCTCGCCAAGTATGGGTGATACCTTACAGCTCACGCTCTACTTCGGCTTGGCGATGTGCGTCTTCCCAGCATTGTTCGCGCTGTACCCAACACAAGAGCGACTAAGGAAGGTGCGAGCGCTCCACTACAGTAACGGTATCCGAGCTGTACCGCTGTGGTTGGCATACACCGCGTTCGACTTCATCTTCGTTCTGATCATCGCTGGTGTGACGACGGCGATCTTTGTCGGGGCCTCTGATGCGTTCTACGGCCCAGGCTACATGTTCGTTGTTTTCGCTCTATACGGTCTGACTGCCATTCTTTTCTCGTACCTCATCTCAATTGTTGTGACATCGCAGCTTGCAGCTTTTGCCTTCGCCGCTGGAGGTATGGTCTCACTGTACCTCATCTACTTCATTGGGTACATGGCTATACTCACGTACGCCCCTGCGTACAAAATCGACGACTGGATCGACATATTCCACTGGACAGTTTCCCTCATCGCCCCATCCGGCAGTTTGTTGAGGACGCAGCTGCTCTCGCTCAACTCGTTCAGTGTCCTCTGCGACGGCAACCAGATTCCAAGCTACCCCGGCAAGCTCACAGTATATGGAGGTCCGATCCTGTACCTCACTGTCCAAGCTATTCTCCTCTTCATTACCCTCGTCTGGTGGGACTCCGGCTACAGGCCACCCTTCTTCAACCGCGCGAGCAGCCGTCAAAAGCACACAGAAGAGAACCTCGAGACAATCCCACCCGCCGTCCTCGCCGAAACCACCCGCACCGAACAATCCAAGGACAGTTTGCGTGTACTCCATCTTCAAAAGACATTCGGCTCCAACCACGCTGTCAACGATATCAGCTTCGGCATCCCGCAAGGCCAAGTCTTCGGCCTGCTCGGTCCCAACGGCGCAGGAAAGTCTTCGACCATCTCTCTCATCCGCGGCGACATCCACCCGACCACGCACATCAACGGCGGCGGCGACGTACTCATCGAAGACGTATCTATCATCTCCAAGCGCGCTGCTGCTCGAGGCCATCTGGGCGTGTGTCCGCAATTCGATGCAATGGATACTATGACTGTGACGGAGCATTTGTATTTCTACGCCCGCGCCCGCGGTGTGCCGGATCCTCAGTCATCCGTCAATGCGATTCTGCAGGCTACCGGTCTCGTGCGTTTCCAGACGCGTCTTGCGAGCAAGCTCAGTGGTGGTAATAAGAGGAAGCTGTCCCTTGGCATCGCACTCATGGGTAACCCATCCGTTCTACTTCTTGACGAACCGAGTTCCGGTATGGATGCTGCGGCTAAGCGTGTCATGTGGCGCACGCTCCTTGGTGTTGCGGCGCCCGGACGCGCGTTGTTGATTACAACGCATTCCATGGAGGAAGCGGATAAGCTGGCCACGAGAGTTGGTATCATGAAGAGGAAGATGCTGGCTCTCGGCACTGTTGGGCAGCTTGGTGAACAGTATGGTGACGCTTGGGTCGTTCAACTAGTCCTGAAGAGCGCACCTGAGACAACGGAGGAGGAGATGGAGGCGTGTAAAGAGTGGGTTAGGAGAAAGATTCCTGGTGTGCAGATGGATAAGTGGGGTTCGAGAGGCGGCGGACACGGACAACTCCGCTTCAAGGTGCTGAAGGCTGCGAAGGACGACGCAAACGTCATGCACGAGGAGGTCTCACGCGCTCCTTCGAATCAGAACGATAACATCGAAAAAGTCAATGTCGATGCCAATGTTGAGTTGGTGCGCACACAATCCTCGGATCTTGGAGGTATTCCGGGACTTATTCAGCTCCTTGAGTCTAACAGGAATAACCTGGGTCTGGAGTACTACTCTGTCTCTCCAACCACGCTTGACGAAGTTTTCTTGCGTGTTGTGGGCGAGGAGGAAGAAGAGAGTGGGAAGAAGGAGCGGCATTTTGGCGGGTTCAGGAATGCTTTTAAGTGGCCTTGTTTTTAGGTGGAGAAGGAGGAGCGTTGTAGGCGTTTAGATACCATGCATATAGATTGTGTGAAAGGTCACATCCATCAGCACAAGTAAAGACGTTCTGCCATATCGCAGCCTGGATACCTTCAACGTCCCAAACGCCACTGCTCACCATTTCAACAAGTATCCTGGTGGCTACATCACCTCCTACCCGCCCATCTCATTCCCCAACTCCCTCCCCATCCCCCCTCAACCCTCTCAGCACACCCACTCCATCCCCCAAAAACCACCACGTTGTCTACAAAACCACAACCTCCTCCCTGTATCCTCCTACCACCTTCCCAGCCCACCCTTCGACTGCCTGACATGGAGTTTCAATACGTTCACCGCCCCCTTCTACCCGTAAGCACACCGCCAGTCCGAATACTCAGTCCAGGATGATGGTGGTGGGAGTGGCCAGGTCAGTAATCGAAAGACTACGTCCTCGACGTGGTCGGATGGTGGTGAGATGAAAGGGTGGTATGGCCATGGTGGGCGCGCGGCAGGCGGAATGACTTGGTCTTGATCGGAGGCGTGTTGAGAGTGTGTGAGGAGCGCAAGCGGGAGGAGAGGAGGAGCCGGCTTCGTGGATTGCAGCGAGTAATGAGATGGTGATGTAGTGCGTTGTGTCGTCGACGTGCGGCATGGTGGAGGCCATCGTGCGCCTAAGTGGGTGGTGTGGAGGTATTCACGGAGATTTGGCGTAGCAATGGTGTAGATGGAAAAGCACTTGGTGGATACAGATAGGAAGAGAGAGCAGTTTGGAGGTGAGTGTGGCTGCAACAAAGATACTGTGCGTGATGGCACTGGAAGCGAGAGCTCACTTTCACCACGGAAGACAATATCATTGCTAGATGTTCGAGGACTTGCATTGCTACGTGAAGATTAGAGAGGCTAATGACCAAAGCATCTTGTGTGTGCTTGCATGTCTCAAGTTTGGTGATTGACATAGTAAATCAATGAGGAATGTCAGAGCTCGTTCTTAACAGGATGAACGCTTACCCTGACTTGTAGTCAACAGGCCGTATTATGATGTTGACAATGATTACTAAAACCATTTCGAGTACCTTCGGCCTCTGTGGTCTGAACTGTAGTGGAAACAAGCTCAAAAATGAAGCTTTCCAGAGTTGTTAGATTAGGTAAAAAGAAGCACTTTGGCCTTGGCGTAGCAGTCGAGATCCGTTACCGGGATGTAGATGCACGTTTGCACCATCTCATATTACCCTGGACAATGCCCTTTCAACTATTGACCACCCACATTGCCACATCGTACTCATCCCGAGTCGATCGTCCTGCGAGTGCGCCGCCCGCACCATGCTTTGAAGCCAATATCTAGGACGATGAGGAAGAAGCCGTGGCCTGGCGGCGGCTGGCTGTGTGCGCCAAAGTAAGCCAGACACTGCGCGAAGCGGTGAAATGATGGTACTGGAGGACGCATAACTGGCGGAGGCGGTAGGACTTCAGCTTGCGTAAGTACAGGAAGCCAAAAAGCTTGTCTGAGGTTTTTCCACTGGTCCTCGAGAACATACTGACTGCCTCCAGGCTGCGCTCTTCTTTGACAGTCTTGATCTGCGCTCTCCTCGGTTGCTCTCACCGCACACGAAACTCGTCCATCCCACTCGCCATCTCCCAATCGCTCACCACCAACCTTTCGAAAGGACCCGGACTAAGCACGTACGCATCCTGGCCGAACGAAGCCGGACTAAACACATCTGCCTCTTCCTCCTCATCTCCGTCTTGCCAGAGCGACTGCTCGACACCGCTCAAGAATTCCCATGTTGCTTCCAGAATATCTTCCATTGGGAGAACGTATGATATGGAGCGGTTGTCGCGCCCAGTGGAATCACCCCACGCTTCGAGTTGTTCGAGAAGAGGGAAGTGCGTGAAGAAGGATTGCGCCCAAGCGTGGATCAGGTCCTCTTCGGCGGAGAGGGTGATGGTGGATCCTTTGCTAAGAAGAGTTTCTGGTCGGGCGAAAGAGATATTCTTGAGGCTGGGGAATAATGGGATCGAAGCTGTGGGAGGAGTTGCGGAAGGCGTGTCGATGGCTGCGACTAGCTTGATGGTACTCGACATGGCCTGGTGCGAGTCTGGTCTTTGATCGTGTTTGGTCTGAGGGGGTGTGATGATGTCGCTACCAGGAGTGACCGGTTGGGATACTCCACCATACAAGGGCAAGTTGGGAAGCTGCAAGGGAATGCCCATACGCAGGACTTCGAGCTTCGGACAGTGCTGTGCTAGACTCGGTAGAGCAGTCGTTTGCAGTATCGTCGCCGTAGTTGGGTGCAACTTCAAGCTCAGTTCCTCAAGATTTGGTAACCCTTTGCAGAAGTCTTCGAAGTGTATACTGGATATGCCTGAGCCGTCAATAGAAGAAGGATCGAGGGCTGCGAGATCGATACTTCGCAGTCTCGGACAGCAAGCAGCCAGCTTGACTAAAGCTGCACCGCTCACTGGCAGGTTCAACTGTGCAGTAGGGAAGCCCATAGCGAGATTGCCGACATTGACCTCCAGTAACTCCAGATTCGGACAGGCAAGAAGCGAAGTCGCAACATCATCCAAAATGCTGAGATCGGACAGGCGAATTTCTCCACTCGGTTGACGTTCGACAGCAAGCCGCAATTCCCTCAAAGCGAAGAGGTGGATGGGAAGGGCAAGCGCAATTTCTGGATCGCACACGATCTGCAGACGCTCGAGAGTAGGAAATGGTTTGTGCAGGGCATTTGGGCCTGAGAACAGAGGCAGTAGCCTCAACCCAGGGTCAAGATCTATAGCCAGGGACTTTAAGCCAGGACGTTTGCTAAGATGACCGAATAGAAAGTCTTTGCCGACGATGCTGCTCATCAAGACGTCGACTTCTTCCAAACATGGCAGGGAATCGAAGTGGTATGCAAGGACATTGGCGTGGATAGGATCCTGAGGGCTGAACGTATCAGGTCCAAATTGTATACGCTTCAGCTTCCGGCAAGGACCGAGTAACGCTGGCAGTGTCACCTGCGTAACGTATGCTGAGCCTCCAGATTGCGTACCAGTCACTGTCAGACTTTCCATTTTTGCGTGTAACAGGCCTCGAAGATGATGTTGATATGATTGCCAATCAAGATCTACCTCCAAGCTCTTCAATCTTGGCCATACGAGTTCTTTGAGGTACTCGTAGTCATCGTCGCTTTCGTCTTGTGGGTCGGAGAGTTGCAGCTGCTCAACTTTGCTTGCGTACAGCTGCCGTCGGTCATGTTGCATCCATCTGAGTGCCAAGAGACTAGGATTCTGCTTCCAGATGATGGAGGTTGCTGCGTCCGCCCAGAGGCGATTAACCAACGTGGCCGGCAATAACGAATGTCGAACTTCCAGAAGCTCCACGGGGTACTCCAGGCTTCTCTGGTGACGATATCTGTCGCTTATATCCGCAAGATGATGCAAGATCAGTGATACGATCTTGCGATTTGCCGTGGCTTCCGCATGAGCCATTGTGCTGGTGCGACTTGAGACGAAAGCAAGAGGTCAAAGAATGGACAACTGTAGGGTTGCCAACCCAGACACCAGGTCAAGAAAGCAATGGATGTAAAGTTGAAGAGAAGAATCTGGCCGCTGGTTGAGATTCATTGTTTGGAATTTTAGCAGATCGTGCACCTGGTGCACTACGTAGTTGACAAGGATCCGGGCCTGCCGGCCCACGCGGCGGGAGTGCCTGAAAGCCTGTTCTACCCATGTCAACGGCTATCACAATGTCTAATTTGGGGCCGGATATCTGCAAGGGGCTGCGATCTGATGCAGGTGACGATGTTGACGAGATTTATGGGTTACGATGTCTGATGTTTGATGTTTTGATGTTTGACGGCTGGGGTGGTTCTTTCCTTGCGCACGACAGGCTTAGTCACTGGTACAAGCGTCGCCTGTGGCTGTCAGGACGAACGCTGCACGGCCGCATCTCTATCAACGCTTGTCTCAAGGGCCATAACAACCTTTTATCTCCATCAACCGCGTAGTGAAGCATGCGCATCTTCAGAATTCGCACGGAGTGCGGCCATGTTCGTCAAGATGGTCCGGGATCAGTATCAGTTTGTGACGCTGGACGCCTTGTGATACTCGACCCTTGTACAGACATGAACTTATCTCGCTTCGGCACAAAGTACAGTTCACTCCTGATAGTCAATCCCGAAATAGCTACGTGCCCGTTTAGTTCTCAAAAGCTTGTCGTTCTCTGTTGACTCTACGTTCCTTCCTGGTGTCACGTTCTTGTCCGCTCAAGGTTGCGGCAAGCTCACCACTATGTTGTTCGCTACTTCGTCTCTTATCGTTTCTCTCCTAACCCTTCCTACTTTCGTCACAAGCAGCAACTGCTACTCCCGCAACGGCACCCTCATAGCCGATATTGCCTACCAGCCCTGCTCTTCCTCCGGCGAGTCTGCCTGCTGCGGCACCAACCACGACGGCGCCGGTGATGTTGGCGTTGCGAACGACGTATGCGAGACCAACGGCCTATGCCAAAACTACGAAGGTTTCGATGGCACGAACGAGGGCGTTAAGTTGTGGTGGCGCCAGGGCTGCACAGATCCAACGTGGTCGAGTCCAAATTGTCTCGCAAGCGTTTGCGATACAGCAGAGTACGAAGACGACAATGCGCCGGTGTACAGCTGTGGTAATGGGAACTGGGCGTGTGGAAAGAAGAGCTATTGCAGCACGAGCTCGAGGTTGTTCACGCTTGCTGCGACAGTAGGGAAAGAGGTTGTTGCGTCCCCAAGCGCATATGCGTCCTTTTCCACACCTTCCGCTTCGACAACGGGTTCGAGTAGGGCATCTACAACAAGTGCTTCGGCAAGCAGTGCATCCCCGTCAACAACTGGTATGCCAGTTGTTACGGCGACACCCTCATCCACTGGGTCCTCCACCAGCACACCGCCGCTTTCGACTCCAGTAGCCAGCTCCTCACTCCTCAGCACCGCAGCAAAAGCTGGCATCGGCGCCGGTATCGCCGTCTTCGCGCTTCTGCTCGGCATCATCCTCTTCCTCCTACACAAAATCAAGAAAAACAAGAAACGGCAACAGGCATGGGGCAAGGCTGAGGTATCAGGCCAGAACGCACGAGTGGGCGAGAAACCGGAGATGGTGGTGTATGCAAGGGAAGCCAGTAGGAGTCCGATAGAGATGCCGAGCAACCAAGCGTCGGCGCAGGAGATAAATGCACAGAGGAATAGGATGGAATTGCCGACGATAGAAAGAGCGCAGGAGATGGGTCAGGGGAGGGAGAGGGTTGAGTTGGCTGCGAGTCCTTCCGTGAGCGGTAGGGGGAGGTATGCGTAAACGATGTTCTCGGAGATCTATCCGTGAAGAATAACAGAAGAGAAGTGCCATGAGGCTGCTGTTTACTGTGAAATCTCGTACTGAGCTAGAGTCGTGAGCGTTGGCGGTGTGCGATCCAGAACGAGGATGCTGTTCGAGTGTCAGCGAGATTGATTGATTGGGTTAACGTCCTATCTGAGTCTAAGACTATGGAAGACGAGAGGAGCAGTAGCTCCTCTGGTAATGCAACGATTTAGTTACAGGAGTGTGAGGTTGATTGATTGATTGATTGATTGGTTTAATGTCCTATCTGAGTCTAAGACTATGGAAGACGAGAGGAGCAGTAGCTCCTCTGGTAATGCTAAGATTTAGTTACATGAGTTTGAGTTTAAAAGAGTGTCAGCGAGAGACAAAGCGCCAGTATAACGACAAGTCTCTGCTCAAGAGAGTCTAGACTCCACTAATTGAACTCCGAGCGAGCGATACAATCGACGATAGCTGCTCGTGGTACTTTCCGTTGCTCCACTTATCCGCTCTTCAGCGATGAGAAATGTTGTAGCCATCTGAACAGGACGTGATGTGGCATATGCGACGGCGCATGGGCTTGATGATCCACAGGGCGGATGATTTGAGGTAATCAGCACAGGGCTAGAACTTGAGAAGCCAGATACCCAGGGCACATCATACAGAAGAGCTTGTGACATGGTCGTCAAATGAAGCGTGTTTTGGTATCAATATGTACAAAGAAAAAGAAACTGTCTAATTACAAGATACCCATGCCATGCCATGCAGCTGTCCTCAATAAACACAAAAGAACCGCACATTAGCCATTAGCTTAGTAGTTGTACTTGTAACACAGAGTCGAACTCTGAGTGTTAAGGATATCCCTAATACGGACAGTAGGACGGAAATCGTAAACATTGACGGTAGTATCGAGAGTGAGGCCGTTGCCAACAGCGTCAGTACCGGAGACAGTGGTGATGCGCGCATTGCCGCCGTTGTTCTGCCAGATGCGGAAGTTGCGGTCGATGAAGGCGTGGTGCAGGAAGAAAACGGGGTCCGCGGGAGACGCGTAGGTGTCCTGCATGACGGAGCCGATGCCGTTGTGGCCCCAGGCGTGCGCTCCTCCTTCGGCGCAGGAGGCCATGTCGGCGTAGGCGGTGCGAGAGTTGCAGGCGTCGACGATGGCGTTGCCGGTGTTGGCGGTCTTAGTGTCGTCGCCGTTGCGGGCCAAGCAGTGACGCTGGTTGCCGGAGCCGGGACCGACGTTGATGGCGAGACCAGCGAATTGCTGTTGTGTTGTTAGTAATATGATTCAAACTCGAGGTCTGATGGTACTTACGCCGTCGGTTACGCACTGGCCGCCAATGTTGACGCTGCCAAACCACTGCGAGCTGAAGATGGAAGACTGGCCGAAGCGGCCAGCGTACCTGGTCTCATCGAACCAGGGGAGTTCACGGTTGAAACCGCAGTCGCTGCGGAGCATCTGCTCGAAGGTCCAGAGGTAGTACCTGTGCCAGAGAAGGAACTTGGCGTTACCGTGGACGTTGGGGGTCAGAGTCTGGTGGAGAGCGACGAGATCCTCATATCTGCTTTGAGACTGACCGAACTGGCCAGATGCCGGGCGGTTCTGCAGACACTTGATGGCATCGACGTAGGCCTGACGGTCGGAGTTGGAGTAAGAGTCCCACTCGCGACGGATACGGGGGTTAGAGCAGGTGCTCTGTCTCTTCTCGAACTTCTCGAGCTCCTCATCCAAGTCGCGGGCGGTAACGGGGAGGGGGGAAGGGATGATGTTGGGAAGGACAAGCTCAGGGAGCTTGTTCTTGGCGTCCTGAATGTTCTCAATGGTGGTGACGGTGGCGTTTACACCAGACCGGGCCTCGTCGAGAGAGAGCGGGCGAGCATACTTAGGTGTCTTGAAATTGTCGACCGGGAGAGCAGGAGGAAGAGCGACGTTAGAGGGGAGCGATGTGCCCTGAGCAGGAGCAGGGTTCTGGGGAAGCGCGATGGCGGATCCGGCGATAGCCAAAACGGCTGTGGTGAATGACAGATGCATGTTGGTTGAGCGAGTGTAGGTATTAGATTAAATAAGAATATTAAGAGAGATTGGAATGTATCCAAACGAGAGACGTAGAGCTGATGCTGCAGAAACGTTTGCGGAAGGACAAGCCCTTGCCTATATACTTTGCCTATGGGGCCCACCATATCTCCTGAGCGATACGATAAAGTCGATCCATCAGTTCGTGTCTGTCTACGCCAAGCGGGACAAAGTGAGAGGCGTGAGAACGCAAGAGGAAAGATGTCAGCTTACCGAAAGGCGCCAGCCAGAATAGTAAGGGGCGAGAGCGAATCAACTAGCCGCCTTAGTGGGAAAATCTCATCTCCGAGTGAGCGCCATCACCGCGTACGGTAAGGCTGAGCTTCTTCACGAGCGCCAGGTTATTGGGCCCACGCCTCGTGCGCTCGAGGCGTGCGTAGGGCGCTCTCCCAAGCTCGTCGAAGTGTTGTTTTGCCGGCTGCCGATTTTGCTGATTGGCAGCAGGGTTTAGGTCATCGTATCCTAGAATAAACTAGCCGAGGGTACGTCGCATCCGCCAACCCCGTCGTGATGAAAAGCTTTGAGAAGAACGCCGTTCAGTGACAATGACTACAAAGCTTTTTGGCAGCGCGCATCATTTGTTCTTTGGTCCCCTTGGCCGGGATACCGTTGATTAGCCTGGGCGTTGCTGAAGTCACGGATTTCGGTAGCGAAGAACATTAACTACCTGGTTCTGTGATGTCGAAGGGTCTTGATTCCTTCACTATGTCGCTTTGGGGTCGCGCGATGCGACCTCTTGCGGGCGTACAAGGTGTGACGGAATCCTTCGAGAAGTGTGCCGTGTCGAGATTTGGGACGATGCACAATGTTCACCGGACGCGGTGGCTCGTGCGAGCTACAGGAACGCAGCCACTCAGCTTGTGCATGGCCGCCAACCCCAGAGGAAGACAAGTCGTGACATGAGATTGTCCCAAGCCGTTGCTACGTCGTACGGCGGAGCGCCTCGTGAATGGCGTTCGTAACGTGCCGTTCCTGTCTGAAAGTGCTGGAGTTTTCCTGTGTTGTCGAATGATATTTATCGTCAGCACTCCCTCCCAGGTTTCAATAAATCATGCATCATTGCGCTGCATGTGCAATTTAAACCAGCTTACTGATGCGCGCAATCAGCCGTCACGAAGGGATGCCAAACCATGTGCACTGAAGACTCTGCCGCTGTCGCCTGTCTTCTCCGCAAATCGACGTCCCAGAGTTCAACACCTAGTCCATTCCTGGGGTCGCCGAACATGGGTTCAAGACCTGACCAGGTTCTCTGTGGTAGCCACTGGCATCGCGCATACAGTAATACACTGCGCTTGCGCTGCAGAAAACCTTTGCAAGCCTCAAGGACGGTCTGGTGCATGCTGGCGGTGAGTAGACGACCATGAAGCTGAAGTTGTAGGGCTTCTTGACGACATTCGCTCGTATCCAGCTCAGAAGGCTTACAAGGAGCATCGTGACTGTGAAGGTAACTCGAAAAAGCAGGGCCAAGGTTGGTGTTGCTAAAATTGGACCTTAGCGCTCCAGAATCAACCTTATGGTAGCCATGCAGATCATAGAACTCGTCGATATTTTCATTCGACTTAACACGGTTGGACCGAGTGCGCAGCACACGATTCGTCCCAAAGCTGGGCTGAGAAGATCTTGCTAGCGATCGTCGACTCTAGCTGATAGCGACGGCGAGGAAGAACCTGAAGTGTAGCTGATAGTCGACGGCGAGAGGGCGCTGGAACGCACGATTGTAAAGGCTTGCTGAGGAAGCTGCTGCGATAGATGATGTGCATACTTAACAACCGTTCAGACGCAAGCCAATGTTAGGGTACTGGAGCACTCGCATGCAGCCTGCATACTACCAGTAGTCTCGACAGCCATCTGCAGGCGTACAAGTAGCTTGTTTGTAGAATCGGAAGATGTAGCGTGGCGGCTGGGGGTGTGGTAGGTAGTCGCGATAGTGTCGAATGCACAGCTGGCTGGATGCGAAGCGGTGGCTCGAATCGAGACTCGACGATGTAGAGACTGCCGAAGAGCCATTTCCTAAATAACTAGGGAAACGGCAAGTTATATCGTCGCGCTTGCGGTCCGTGGGCATAAAGCTCTCAAACTTGCTCCTTGCCCCGTACTTGCGGCCGAAGTCGCAGTTCTGGCGTGCTCAGATGAATGTTGCTGAGAGGTTCAGTCGCCACGCAGCTGGAATCCAATTAGCAAAGCCGACCCTTCGGTCTTACAGCTCGTGTAGTCTCGTGCTGGTGAGGTATGTTGTTCGCAATGTGATGTTGAGTGAGCTGGGTGATGATGGCCAAACTTTTCAGCTCTGCGAAACTCATCACATGTGCACTCGAAATTTAATCGTTTGATTACTTCGCGCGTCATTGGTCTCTTTTAAATACACATGTGTCAGATATTGACCACAAAGACCGTTGTTGTGTAATGCATACGGGGGTGGTGCAAAATGCACGTGGCAGCGTCGTCGAGGCGCGCGGACGATGCCGTCACCAGACCCTTGGTTCGCAGGGAAAGCTAGCGGGGTCGCGTCAAGCTCCACAACGCGTCCATGGCTCCTTCCCACACTTCGCATCGCCATTTCCTCCAGCCCCCGAATTGAGAAGGTGCGACTTCCTCACCTCAAAAGTCGCGGTCGCGTGACTGGTTCTAAATTGCACCGAAAATTCCACAGCCTCATCCTCCATCATGGACAACGACGCGGTGCCACCGTCATCACCGCCGCACGCGATCGCGACCAACCCCCCGAGCTCGCCGTTCTTCGAACCTCAACGATATGGCGCATTTTCGCCCAAGTCAAGCTCACCACCACCGCTATTCTCCAGCGACGATTCTGGCGAAACGCTTGATATTACGAACTACGAATCTCCGCGCATCTTCAAAAACAAGCGCAAAGGTGCTTGGTATGAGACGGATAATGGCGATTCGACACAAAACACACCAGAACCCAAGAAGACGAAAATGTCACGCAATTACGACTCGGGTATCTACATGATGAGCGACAATAGCGATGGCTCTGTAGATCCCCTGCCAGAGCACAAGTCGCCATTTCCGTTCACTGCTGAGGCTATAGACGAAGAGGAGCCAGAGCCCATGAGCATGACTGAAGCCGCCTTCTACTCTGCGCTCAGAGTGGGGCTGGACAGGAACTGTCAGAACTACGACTTCCAGGGCTTAGACCTTGGAGACAACGACATCAAGCAGATAGGTGACCTGAACAGTGTGATCAAGAACCTGCCAGATCCAGGTAATGACTTGCCTGCAGAAGGTCAATATCGCTCTATGGTGCCAGAGCTCTACATCAACCTCAGCCATAACTCTCTCAGGCGAATGACACCGTCTTTGTTTCACCTGCAGCATCTCACCACTCTCGTACTAAGAGACAATCGCATTGAGGAACTACCTCCACAGATCAGTCAGCTGCACAATCTCCAGGAATTGGACTTGTCTCTCAACAAGGTCCAATATCTACCATTCGAAATGCTTCAGATGCTGGTACCGCATGGGAAGCTTGAGCATCTCGTAACCCTCGGTAACCCCGTTCTCGAGCGAGTATCTCAAAGTCGATATCGAAAACTGGATGAGCGATTCATGTTCACATCCTCTACAAAGGACATTTACCCACGACTACAGTCTTGTGCCGATCGTGAAGCGCTGATCTGGCACATACGGTACATCGAATCGATGGAGAACTTCCTCAATGCTGTAGAGTCGAAGTACACAGTGGGCGTAAGGAGTGCAGATGAGCGTGTCTTTGCGCATCATGCTGCAACTCGTGTTGCAGCAGACTCACCTTCATCGCGATATATCGCCAGGACTCTTGTCACGTATTTCGATCAGACTGGCCAGCTTGTCAAAGGGTCACCCGCTCAACCATCACCGAGCACAACCGACTACTCCATCATCATCGAAACCAATGAGGGCGCATTCGGTGTCCCATCGACCCCGTTATTTACACCATCCACATCATCCCGGATACCGTCCCTTCTCACCATGTCCGTCAGCACTGCGCTCGCAAATATCACCGTCGAAGAGACAATGGAAAGGTTGGGCGAGCCCGTACCATTCGATGGAGCTGCGATACTTGCGCGAGCAACACATAATGATGCATATGCAGGCTTTGGCTATTCCCACCAATGCCACGTGTGCAAGAAAGATTACATCGTAGCGAGGGCAGAGTGGATTGAGTTTTGGAGTACAAGCTTCACGGTGTTCTACCCATTCAAGGTCAAAGTATGCTCATGGGGCTGTGTGCCACCTGAGATGACCAAGAAGCCGGCGAAAGAGTTGGCATGGTGATTCGTGAAAGGATGCATGTGATATGCTCGAGCGCTCGAACGTGACTGGCCACAGATTGCATATCAGCGAAGCACACGAGCGTTGTCAGTATTGAATCTTGGATTCCATCATATGACCAAGCCATTCAAGGTTGGCTTTCGATCATCTACTCGTACATTGTTTTCCCATCGCTCTAGACGATTGGCGTGTCTGTGTTCACCACGATATAGGTTATCTTCGGTTGTCTCAGACCAAGCTGCCAAATGACATTGTAGCAAGATGCGCGTGCTTTATGCCATAAGTCGAACGTGGTCAATAGGTGAGGTGGATGCAAAGGGAACAAACAGGTAGACTTATCAGAGTCTGTCGAAATGATACTGTTCAACCTTCGTGTTTGCTTGCACAGTGAAACAGACCCAACCAGGTTTCATGATGGTTTGGTTAACCGCCGCTCAACGCCGTGTTCTCACACAAACAGAGCAAGACATCACAGCGACACTCCTAGCGACGAGACCTAGAATGCGACATCGTGCAAGGCTGCTTCGGACACCACTATTACTGTTCACGATGCTCTATTGCACTTTAACATGCATCAAGTCCTATTCCCAGTGACCGAGCACCACATCACACTACCAAACCATCACACAATAAACCTCCGAGCAAACAAACACATATTGTCCCTGCGCAACACCATCCTCACCCTCCTCAACCAGGCCACCCGCCTCGCCTCAACACGCATCCGCATCACCCGTGCAAAACTCAACCTCCTCAGCAAAATCGCAACCTGGCGCTGTCTCTGCCGCCACGTGAACCCCATCTACCACCTCCCGTCTCATGTCCACTCCCTAGGCATCCTAGCATGCAGCGGCTGCGATATCACATGGCACCACAATATTTCTCTGCTCATGCCGCATCCCAAGTCTGAGTCAGAGGTGGAGATTTTGCTTCCTGACCCGGAGAAGCCGAATACAGATGCGCCGTATATCCTTCCGAAGCCGAAGAAGACGGGTCTTCACTTCTTTGGTGAAGATGAATGTGGGGGCTATGGGTACATTTGGCTCAATGAGCGGTGCGGGCTCACATGAGCCAAGCAGGTAAGAAGGAATGATGGGGCAGGAGTAGGATGGTGTTGATGCTTGGTGGTAGGAGGGGGAAGTGGAGCTGTCTTTGTGGTAGGAGGGTGTAGGTTGGTGGCAGGTTTGCGGTGTTTGAGGTTGTACGGAAGTGAGTGGAATAGAATATGCAGATGGTGTACGAGGTGAGAGTGTTGCGTAGGAAGGATGATGAGTGCATACAGATGGAGTTAGGGTTAGGGTTAGAAGCGACATGATTATCGCAATTCCATGAACGCTGGTTACGAGCAGTCTTTGCAAGGAAAAGTCGAAGACCGACCGTGTTCACGCAGACGTTCTCGTTGTGGATCAACGCAAGAGACGAAGGAAAGTCCTCGTGATTGAACTCAAGACAAAGCGATAAAAAGGAATGAAACAGAACACAAGATAAGAAAATGAAATGTTTGTCCTGCTTGTTCGGAGTGAAGTAGTAGCGTCAAAGGCACGAAGGAGTAAATCTGCGAATAGCCACGTGTAGCACACCCGATTGCGATAAGATCCCCTCGAAGACTTTCAAGACCCAGAAGCAGAAAATCACCAGAGTAGCTCTGTGGAAGACGGAATGATGGAACAGTTGATGCAGCAATAATGGTGATGATGGGAAAGGCAATTGGAAACGTCCGACGTCGGTTAGGTTCGGCTGTAACGTCGGCACATCAGATAAGATGTGATTGATTACCGTGTCTGTGCGCGCAATGCGCGGATTCGCGCAATGCGCCGAGACGCTTTATGCACCCATACTTCACAACACCACAACTCAACGCCACAATGACGCTAGAGGAAGCCATTAAAGAGATAGATGCTATGATGCCATGCAAAAACATCCCTTGGACGCAATTATCCATAAAGCATGGTGTTGTGCGCTCTACGTTGACGCGCAAGTACCGAGGAGAAACGCGATCGCGTGAAGAGCAGGCAATTGCACAACAAAAGCTCACTCCACAACAAGAGGACGAGCTTGTCAAGTATATAGAGGAGCTTACAGCCCGACATCTACCTCCTACAAGGGAAATGATAGCAAATTTTGCGTCATCAATAGCCACAGAGCCAGTCAGCGAGAGCTGGGTTACCCGCTTCATCAACAACCACTCAATCCATCTCATCTCTCAATACTCAACGGGTATGGACAGCAATCGCCACAACGCCGATTCGTATACCAAGTACAAGCTCTATTTTGACCTGTTGCAGTCCAAAATTGCCCAATACAACGTCGACGCTGAGCACACATACAATATGGATGAGAAGGGCTTCATGATCGGAGTCACCACAAGGACCAAACACGTCTTCAGTAGACGTATGTGGGAGAAGAAGGAGGTTACAGCAACTACTCAAGATGGTAATCGTGCCTGGGTGACGCTTATAGCGTGTGTGTGTGGGGATGGATCGGCACTGCCACCAGGCCTCCTATACGAGTCTACCAACAACACTATACAGTCAAGCTGGGTGGAGGAAATCAAGCCAGGAGTACACTCTGTCTTTGTTTCCTCGTCACCTTCAGGCTGGACAAACAACGAGGTAGCCCTCGCTTGGCTCAGACAGGTGTTTGATCGCTACACCAAGAAGAAAGCACGAAGAAAGTACCGCCTATTGATACTGGATGGCCATGGATCTCACGTCACGATGGATTTCATCAACTACTGCGATCAGAACAGGATACTCCTGGCTATACTTCCTCCTCATTCAACCCACACGCTCCAGCCACTCGATGTGGTGATGTTCAAGCCTCTCTCGACAGCATACTCAAAGGAGCTCACAACACACCTTCACCATGGCCAAGGACTGTCGGTTATCAAGAAGAGCGACTTCTTCCACCTGTTCTGGAAGGCGTGGACAAGTACGTTTACTCAGGGGCTGATACTCAGGTCCTTTGAGGCAACGGGTATAGCACCCCTTCAACCCAACGTCATCCTCAAGCGATTTGCTAAGCCTACCCCTGAGGGCTCCGATAGCAACAAAAGCTCTTCTTCAGTCTATAGCGGCAAGGATTGGCTCAAAACAGAGACTCTGTTGCGCAAAGTAGCCAAAGACGAAGGCAGTGAAGAGCTGAAAAAGATCAGGCGCTCACTCCACCACATCTCAGTTCAAAACTCAGTCCTCCACCACGAGATTACAGGCCTCAGAGAGGTTCTTAAGACTCAAAAGAAGCACAAGAAGAAGAGCAAGCCTCTTGAGCTTCAGCATCACAAGGACTACCACGGTGGAGCCGAGTTTTACTCTCCTAGTAGAGTAGAGAAAGCACGTGCACGTGAGAGGGCAAAACAACAAGAGCAGAAGGCAGAGGAGCTCAAAAAAGCAGAGATGGCTGAACTGAGGCACGCCAATAAGCTGTACAAGGAGAAGATTGCACAGGAGAGGCGTGAGCAGAAGTTGAGGGAGAAGGAAGAGCGTGACCGGCTGAAGGCTGAGAAGGCTAAGGAAGTTGCCAAACGCAAGGCTGAAAAAGAGCGTCAACAGAGGGAGCGCAACACCAAAAAACCTATACAATTGTCCCAAAGAGGCAAGCGCAAGGCCTCAGAGGTTGCAGCACCCAGGAAGAAGCAGAATCGTGGTAGTGCAGCTGCCCGTAGTCATGCTGCTGCCGCGCCTTGCTCCCCATCCCCTCCGGCAAAATACAACAGCCGCGGCCGCCCAATCAGAGCGCCACAAAAGTTTGAGTGAGAAACTTGTTCATATAGGTCTATAGACTACTCCGCCAGAAAATCTCATGATAATAACCATTGTGTGTGGCTCTACAGCCTCAATTTTGGATTGACGATTTTGGTGTTTCGGCGCATTGCGCGAATCCGCGCATTGCGCGCACAGACACGGTAGATCGACCCACAGCCAAGCGCGCTAGTGGGAACGTTCCTCCTGGGACGACTGGGCAGAACGAACCACGCCCATCCCCGCCGTATCAGACCCTTGAAAGAGTGCCACTCTGCCCAGTGCGACCACAGACTTCATCATGCGCGTGCACAATTTTTCCATCGTGGCCGACCCGCTCCCGTCGTAGATGGGTGGCGACTCCACTCTTGATCCTCAGTAAGAATCGTGGTTCATACTTCGCGGAGACAAGCGAATCCGAACAGCTGGTTCAGATCTTGACAGCTGCGTCGATCCTCCGTGATGTGCTCAAGGCCTAAGAAGTAGCTCAAAGTACCTTGGCAATCAACCTCAACTTTCTCTTCGCTTCACCACGCACATGGTAGGCAGCTGAAGACTACAGAATGAATGCAATCCGCGGAGTATGCTTGGAGGAAGGAACAGATCAGTCGATTGGAAATGCGTTGATGTGGGCAGTCCACGGCTCTTCCGTCGTCGAGACGCAGTTCGACCTTGCTAGAAACCACACAAGCATCGAACGGACTTGGACAACATCTTGTCCATCAATCAGATTAGATGTTGATGAAGAATCTGCCAAATGAAAGAGCACTATGGTAAGGCATCCAGTCGGCTGATAGCTTAGCAGACGCCGCGCCAGGCCTACTCACGCCATGCAACCCGACTACCAGGCCAATCCCGTTCCACGGGCTCAGCGTGCATGCAGCGGTTACTTATCAGATGAAGTTTTAACCTGTGTGTCGGTACTTGTACTCTCTTCAGAACTATACTCAGTTTTCAGCCTACCAAGCCCAGCGAGCCAGCATGGCCTCTTCAGGAACATTCCAACCTGTGGTGGGACACACGATGACCAGCAATGCACGTGCTACATCAACAGAGCAGGATGTTCAGACACATGTACCTGTCTCCATGGTCCAGTTGGACTCTGAGAAGGGCAATAACTTCGACGCGACTGCTCCTGAGGACCTGAAAGCTTCCCCAGATGAGTTACCGGACTACGATGCACAGCGTGGTATTCAGAAGATCGAAGCTACGACCCTAGCGTGGAGCAAATGGTCACTGGCCGCTCTCTTGATCAAGTACATTGCATCCACAGCTTTCTGATGCGATATGTCGCCGTGAGCGGAAGTAGCTGACTACTCTACAGCATCTGGCTCATCTTCTTGACGAACGGATTCCGAGGCTCCGTCCTCGCCGGACTGGTTCCTTATGTGACCAGTGACTTCCAGTCGCACTCGTTGCTGACGGTGATCGAGATTGTCTCCAATGCAATGACCGCTGCAGTTTACATCCCCATGGCCAAGCTGCTAGATGTATGGGGCCGAGCTGAAGGCTTCGCGCTCATGGTTGGGTCTGCCACCTTGGGTGTGATACTGATGGCTACCTCACACAACCTTGCAACATTCTGTGCCGCTCAGGTAAGCAATCGTTGAAAGAACCTTTTCTGTACGCATCTCCGTTAACTAACGGTGGCGATGACAGGTCTTTTACTCAATTGGTTTCTCCGGCATTATCTACACTGTAGCTGTTCTAGCTGCAGATGCCACATCTCTGCGCAACCGAGGCATTGCTTTCGCATTCACTTCCTCGCCGTATATGATCACAGCCTTTGCCGGATCAAAAGCCGCTGAGGCCTTTCTTCTCAATGTCAAGAACTGGCGCTGGGGCTTCGGCAGTTTCGCTATCATCGTCCCAGTCATCACCGCCCCTCTGTTCGTATTGCTGAAGCTTCAACTCCGCAAGGCCGAGAAGCTGGGTCTGATTGCCGAGCCGGTCAGTCGTAGCTGGACATTTGACAGGATCTGGAAGAACATCGTAGCATTCGATTGTAAGCAATCCCGATGTTTCTCTCGACATTCAAGCTGACATCCATCGCTACAGTACCAGGTGTCGTCCTCTTTGCCGGCGGTCTGACCGTCTTCCTCCTGCCTTTCACGCTCGCAACTCGTACCCCCAACGGCTGGAATACCGACTACATCATCGCCATGATCGTCGTCGGTTTCATTGTTCTCGTCGCATTCGGTCTCTACGAAACATACGTCGCCAGGGAACCCTTCCTCAAGAACAAGTTCCTGACCGACCGCTCCGTAATTGGCGCCTGCCTAGTTGACATGACATACCAAATCAGCTACTACTGCTGGAACAGCTACTTCACCTCCTTCCTACAGGTCGTATGCAACTTGACCGTCGCGCAGGCAGGCTATGTAAGTCATATCCATCCCCTCCCTTTCCCTACCACTCCATGAACTCCACTCTTAGTAACACCACACCCAGGTCAACTCAACATTCCAAGTCGTCTCCGGCATCCTCCTCTTCATAGTCGGCTACCTAATCCGACGCACCGGCCGCTTCAAATGGCTCTTCTACGTCACAGTCCCCATCTACACCTTCGGCCTGGGGCTGATGATTTACTTCCGCCGCCCCAACCAATCCATTGGGTACATTGTCATGTGCGAAATCTTCATCAGCATCGGCGGCAGCGTGTTCATCTTGCTGGTCCAACTTGCTTGCTTGGCGGCCGTGGATCATCAGTTTGTGGCGGCGGTGCTGGCGCTGCTATATGTGAGTGGGACGATTGGAGGTGCGATTGGCAACGCCATCTCCGGTGCTATCTGGACGAACACTTTTTTTGATGCACTTATGAGGGAGCTGCCGGAGAGTGCGCTGCCGAACGTGTTGACTATTTATTCGAGTTTGCCTGCACAGCTGGCGTATCCTGTGGGATCGCCTGAGCGCATGGCTATCCAGGAGGCGTACGGATACGGTCAGGCACGGATGCTGGCAGCGGGTGTAGGCATCTTCGGACTATCGTTCATTTGGATGTTCCTGATCCGAAATCACGATGTGTCTAAGAAGGGACAGACCAAGGGAATGGTCTTCTGAGGATGTTGGTGATGGATATTTCATGAAGAGATGCGACACGAAACTCGCAAACGAGCTCGCTCACCACACAAACTTATTGAGTTGGACGATATATATGTATCGGACCAACTACGGAATGGAATCGTGAATGGCTGAGCCGCAACGTCAACGTTGCTTGTAATGCCTCGTGTGCACTGACCGTAGTGCCTCCTGTGAATCTTGGGAAAACGACGTATGTTTTCGCACTGATACGCTGTGTAAGCTCAAATGTAAGTATATCAATTCTGGTGATGCTCACACATCGTGTGAAATGCGATATACTAGTGACATATACATCATATACGTACGTTGTGTTGGAATCCGTGCGCGTAGATGTCGAATCCCATAAAGCCCTTGAGATGCAATAACTCCTTGCTCATAATCGAAGACATCGTAATCATCATGTACCTCATACCCACAACGCTCCCAGCAGAACCGCTCCGAACAGCGTGACCATGTTGGTCTTTGTCCCACTCGCCATACCCTGGGGCGTTGCAGTCGCACTCGGCACCCCCGTCGTAGTTGGCGCATCACTCGCGCTCGGAACCTTATCATCAGGTAGTTGCTCGAGCACGTTATCGGTGAACTGTCCGATCACGTTACCGGTGGGGTAGTATTCGCAGACGACGTACCTACCGGACATTAGTATCGCCAGAAAGAAGGTGGTTGGGATGAGGCATACCATCCTGGAGCATCGCCCTTCCCGCCCTTTTGGCTGCCGTTGCATTCTGTGCGTGCGCAGCCTACGGTCGAAGTGTTGCGCCAGACGAGTTGGGTAAAGTGTCCTGTTTTTGATCTGTTCTAGTCAGGAGAAGATCGTTCGGTGTAAGATGTAAAGAGGGGCATACGCGAACTCTCCCTTGTCAAAATCATAATCATCTCTCTCATTCCCCCAAGCCTCAATCGAAGCTGTCACATTGGGGTACCCGGACGCAAGATTCTCTCCCGAGGGACCGCCGGAGTGTTTAAACTCGCAATCTTCACTCCAATCCTTCGCATACTCAACTAACGACTCGTTCCAAGCTAGTTGTGATGCATTGTGCTGTCTGCGGTATAGGTTGGTGACATCGAGGACAGCTTTTTCGAAGGTGTCATCATTTGCGTATTCGGCGGATACTGAAGCCGAATCTTGACTCAATTGTGGGATCGCATGTGCTAGAGGGACGGAAAGAACGAGAAGGGACGGTGCGAAGCGCATGATGGGTATATCGCCAAAGATAGCTGAAAGGCAAGATGAAGGACGATGCGAGAACGCTGGACGAGTCGTAGGGTTTGTGTTCGCTGCTGCTACTGCAATGTTCAGCCGTATACTGGAAGTATCTACAGGAAGACGAAGTAATGTACAACAGATTCACAGAAAAAAGGCAAGAGCGACCTTGAAAAGGTACGACTACGCCGTAAGCTTCACGAGACAACAGGGATCAGTCCTTGTTTCGTACCGTTGACGGCTTCGGCAATCATACCGAGCAGCCGAATCATGACTGGTCGAAGGACGTCAAGATGGTTGTGGAGAGGTCTTGGTTTGGACCTTGAAGTTTGGGGAAGGAGTGGTGACGTAGTCGAGTGGCCTGTGCGGAGTAAACATGGAAACATGGTATTTACCTATACATGGTTGCGAGTTGGAGCGAAATACAGTCATCGAGCCATATGTGCTTGGAGGCTCACTTTAAACTACAAGTCTCTTAATATGATGCAAACACACATACAGATGTAGTTTGCATTCATGGTCGGTTTCCATAATGTCGATGAGCGTACTTTTCCGCCCTGCATCGCTGTGGTGCAGTGCGTTCGAAAATCACCACATCTGAATAGAACTCCCGATTCTCTAGAGAATTTTGGACATAACGGCTGACATACACTGGGGGCGGCTCTCGAAGTTTGATTGTGAAGATCTTGATGTTGGCTACTCCTGCACAGCAACAAAGCCGACGCTGAGCTGGAAGCTCGTGGCCTTTGCAGCATCAAGAGGATAACGTGGAATCAATATGATGCATGCTGCGACATCCCTCCGGTAGGGTGCAAGATATGTACGCTCCTAAAGCAAAACAGATACGAAAAGCAAAGTGGTATATGAACGCAGCCCAAAACGCCTAGTGAGTATGCTGTGCGGTCTATACAAGACATTACAACCAACAGCAACACGAGCTAAACCAAGCCATCCCAAGCTCAACCTGATAGTCAACTGACATCGCTGCTGAATCCCAAAGTTTCCACCAGTACGTTCGCTGCCGTGCTGACCGTCCAAGTAGCCACCAAGCCCCACCCAATCCATTTATCCATCCTCCATTTCCTGACCGGCACGGCCACAAGCAACCCCGCAAGCGTAACAAGCAGACTCGCCCCAGAGATGACCAGGGTTGTGCTGACCGCAATATGATATGGTTTGAAATGAATAGGTTCATTGGGGTGCTTATCATGCCTATGCTCACCCTTGGTGAGAATCATATACGTCCCACTCAGCCCAATACCGAGGAGGATATTTAGCATCGGGCCCCCAAAGCAGGCAGACAGCGCCATAACAGGGAACCCAAGGCGCGCGACCGTAATGTCGGCGACGAGGTCGCCCAGACTGTTGCCCACGGCGAAGATGGTCAGTCCGAGGATCGCGTCGGACATGTTCAGGATTACGCCGAGGGTGCGCAGCACGCCGACGACTTCGTTCGCGATCGTGCTGATCCAGGCGATTGCGACTGCGAAGCCGAGGAAGCAGAGCAGTTGGCGCCAGCGGGGCGGGCGGTTGGGTGTCGTGGTTAGGAGGATGAAGGCTAGCATTACTAGGGAGGCGATTAGGCTGTACATTGTTTGGCGGAGGAGGGCGCGCGGGTCCTCGGGCTCGACGTTTGCCCAGACGACGAGGAGGATGAAGAACGGCGCGGTGAAGGTCTGGATTATGACGAGCCAGCGGTTCCATTGTTTTGGCTCGGTAGAGGGATGTGGATGGGCGGAGAAAGGGTTCTCAGGGAGCTGTTCGGGGGAGCCCATTATGTTTTCTTCGGTTGTGATGAGGAGCTGCGGCGGTACGGAGCCGGTGGTGTTGTTAGAAGCGTAGGAGGGGTTGTGTTGGTGTGAAGAGGACTTCTGCAGCTTTGAGGGGTCGGTGCCGGAGCGGCTCACTGGGGCAGAGCCGTCGAGACGGAATTGAGGGTCGAAGGTGCCGCCGACGGGTGTCAGGACTGATGGGAGACCGAGGTCAGGGTGACCGGCTTGCTGGTCGTCATCGTTGCTCGCTGGCTCGACGACAGGCAGTGTGATTGTAAGTAGCAAGACCGGGAGTGCAGCTACAAGACCCAGCAACTTGTCCCAGATGTTCTTGTCGCGCCAGCTTGTCAGTGTTGGAAATAGTGTCGATAGGAATACATATGGCGCAGGAAGGAATTGAGAGGGCCACCATCTTGGTGTCCGAGCAACATCGTAGACTCCAAAGAGGCTCTCATTATGGAAGGCAGACTCGGGCGACACGCTTGGGGAAGGCAAGCGCAGACTTTGTGCCCGAGACGAACTATGTGCCGACCACGGAAAGTCTGTGTATGTTGGGAAAGGGAGGGGAGGTGACGCAGCACCAGGCACGGTCAACTTTAGATTAGGTGGCGCGGGACGATCGCCAGGACCGAGAACGGGTGAGGAAAGAGGGCTCGGGGTTGATGTTCCTGAACGTTGCGAAAGACCTTGAGAATCGAGGCCTGGGGGAGCTAGCAGGTCAGAGTAGCCACGATTTCTCGACGGCGCAGGACTTGGAGCTCGCGACGACAGAGGACTTGGCACTCGCGACGACAATTGCGAAGGGGGCGGTGACAGTGAAATCGTTGGCGAAGGAGGCGCTTGGCCTGCTCGAGCGGACATGCTGTCTCGCAAGTCGGGGGTTGCTGGTGCGAAGCTGATATGTGGCAGATTCCCCTGTAAAGTGCTAGGCTGAAGACGGACACTGTCGAGGTCGTTGGTCGAGACCGCTCTTGTACGGTTGATGTTCTGTTGCACCTCCAATGTTGGCCTGGTAATACTTGGTGACTTTGCTGATGAGACCGAAGCAACGTCAAAAGGTGGTCGAGGAGCAGGATCAGATGTTGTGGAGATGAGGTCCTGCTGCTGGGCCGTTGTGTAGCTTGGGTCATCCGAGTAGCGTCGCAGGCTAATGGGCATTGCCTGAATGTTCCTAGACTTCTGCAAAGACGACAGCACAGCTCTGAACTCTAACGCTCCCACCAAGCTGGGTCGAATGAGCGTCTGGGTTGGTCGTCGAGCTCCTAGCGGCGGACGACTCACGCGCATGTTGTTCGACATCTCCCCCATCCAGCGTCCGCGCTCCTCCTCGTTCTCGTCTGCGTCCATGGGGTCTCCGCCTGCGCGCTCGAGCGCATGGAAGTCGTCGATCGAAACTCCCCGCGACGGTGTTCTGGAATTGGCTGGGGCCGCGTCGTCGTCATCGAAATACTGCGGGATCTCTTCCTCTTCGCCTCCAGGCGTAACGTGGTGACTGCGGCTGGCAGGAGCTTTGAGTCTCCGTGCCTTGCGCTGATTGAGCCACCAGTGCCAAGCCACAACGAAGACGACGTAGAACAGATAGAAGGCCACCATAGAGACGGCTTCCCACAGGTGAAGCTTGCCGTCGACGATGAAGCCCATGCTGAACCCTGCAGCAACGATGAAGAAGCCGACGTCCCGTACGAAGCTCTTGCGCGCGACGTTGAAGGGGCGGATCAGGGCCATGGATCCCGAGACCACCGCAGTGATGAAGCTGGCGGCACCGATAAGCTCGCCCACAGCCAAACTCGCAGCATGTGTGCGGAAGGCAGCAAAGGTCGAGAAGACGTCTGGACTGCCATTGCCGAATGCCAGCAGAGTCACACCCGCCAGACTCTCGCTCATGCCCAGCATGCTCGCAATCGTGCTCAGATTGACGCAGAAGAAGTCGCTGGCGGCGATGCCAATGGTGCTGAAGAGCAGCGCGAGCCAGAGGGTCATCATGGCGAAGGCGACCGGCTTGGCATGAGGCAGGCGGCAGTAGTAGAGCGTCAGGTAGGAGATGACGCCGGCTTCTTCGTCGGGGCAGTTCGCAAGGACGAAGGCGCACTGATCGGGCGCATGGTGGACGAGACGGCACTGCGCATACAGTTAGCAGGAGGAACCCATGGTTGTGTGTGCCGTTGTACCTCCTCGTCGAGTATCGTGACATCTCTCTTGCGCAGTACGTCACTGCCGGGCGCCGCTCCGCGCTGTTCCTTTGCCCACGCGAGCACTGCGATCAGCGTGATGGCGAGGAGAGTCAGGGCGAACGGGCGGGCTGAGTATTTTGCGCGGCGCCATCGCTGCACCGTGTCCAGGATGGAGCGCTCGTTCATTGTGAAAACATTCTGCTGCATGCGCGCGGGTGCCTGAAGGGGGGGGACTCCCGATCTTGTACCTCGCTACCCGCGGTTCGGTCTGATGCGCTGGCGTCACAGCGCGGCGGGTGAAGCGTGAGGGGTCGCAAACGTGCGGAGGGACACGGCGCGATAAAGATAGTGTAGGGTAGGCGGTCAGATTGCGAGGGCAGCCCTGCACCGCGGGATGCTCTTAAGCACTGCTCGCATATCTTGGAACCGGCTGCGAAGCTTGATGATGGAGCTGTGGCGCTGATGCCTGTGGCGGCCTGTGGCGGCCTGTGGCAGTGCGGGGCTCCAGTCTAGCGTCCCACTTTTGGCTGTCTAGCGCACGCGGCCCTGACGCGAGTCGTTCCTGCCGCATGTCGTGTTGACAAACAAAGCCGCCAACGACGACGTCCACCGCACAACGCCCGCAGCCATGGCACGCTCGCGATACAGTCTTGCGCCGCAGGGGACGCCAGCGAAGGGGATGAAGTGGGTGTTGTCCGCGGGATCGCTGATATGTATGCTGACGGCCTCAGGGTCCCGCTGAACGACGACGATGAGGAGAGAGCCAAACGCCGCCATGCCTTCGCGGACCAGCAGCGCAACTCGCTCAGGGCCTCTGCGACACCCGTCGGCAAAAAAGGTCGCAGGTCACTCGCAGCCCAGGTCATCGACCCTCACACACCGACGCAGGACCAGGACATGCCCGATGTCGCCGGGAGCGCTGTCACGCCCATGAAGCGCGTCATGCCGCTCGCATCCAACTTCGAAGACTGGATCAAGATGGCGACCGACAACAAGATCAACGCGACAAACTCTTGGAATTTCGCTCTCATTGACTACTTCCACGAGATGTCGCTGCTGAAGGAGGGCGACGGCGTCAACTTCCAAAAGGCCAGCTGCACGCTTGACGGATGTGTGAAAATCTACACGAGCAGAGTAGACAGTGTTGCGACAGACACCGGCAAGCTTCTCAGCGGTCTAGCTGAAAACGGCAACAAGAAGCGCCGAGGCGACGACGAAGAAGGCGAAGATGGCGAGGACGGAGAGGGTGAGGAGGGAGAAGACGGCCAGAAGAAGAAGCGCAAGCGAGCAGCTCGATCGGCCGAAGCAACACTGGCGACATCATTCGAGCAACTACAAAACAAGAAGATGGACCTGGAGTTCGCGCAGGATCCGCTGTTCAAGAAGGCGACCGCCGACTTCGACGAGGGCGGCGCCAAGGGTCTACTGATGAACCACCTGGCCATCGACGCAAACGGCAGGATCGTGTTCGACAGCAGCGACGATGCAGGTGATGCGGCAGCGAAGGACATGCGAGAAGCCTCCGCGCCAGGAGAGACACCAGAGCCAGAGGAGGCGGTAGACGAAGCTTCGGATGACATTGAGATCGATATCTCCGGGCTCGCCGCAAAATACTTTCCCAACCTCGCACTTCTCGACGACCAGGATGTCTGCCCATCTATGAAGACCTTCGATCTCGGCGACGTGAACGGCTCCATGGATCTCCCCTTCCTCAAGGCGCCCGAGGACTGGCGACAAGACGAAAAAGACGAGGCAGAAGACGAGGCAGGAAACGTCTCCGGCATGTTCCTTGACGATAACAACGCCGGGGGCTTCGACGATGACGACGACAACCTGGGGGGATTCGACATGGGTGCTGATGTTGGTTTCGGTGAAGGCGGCGAAGCTTTCGCACAAGAGTTGGCTCTGATCCCCAATGCTCGTGTGCACAACAACGACGTAGCTGAGGGTGATGAGGAAGCCGTAGAAAGTATTGAGGGACAGATGGGCACTGAGGAGCAACAGTACGCATTGACCATGAGCCACGCCCGCGAGCAAGAGCACGAGAATATCCTGAGCTACTTCGACCAAGCACTCAAGAAGAATTGGGCGGGGCCTGAGCATTGGCGGATTCGACGAGTCAAGGAGGCCGGAAAAGCGGCTCCGGTCACGAAGAGGAAAGAGAAGGAGCCCTTTGAGATTGACTTCATGGCGCCCATGTCGCAGGAGCTGGCCAACGCATTATACACACCTGCAGCCTCAGCATCCGCAATTTCGTTACCGAAAGCGCAGTGGAAGTCAAAGACACGAAATCTCCTCCCAGACGACAAGCACTTCAACTCGAAGAATTTGTTACGGCTGTTCCTCAAGCCGAAGGCTCGAGTTGGCCCACGACGACTGCAAAAGCGGCCGCAAGAATTGGCCAGGAAAGAGGAGGCAGTCCATGGCGAAGTCGACGAAGCGTTCTGGGCCAACCGTGCCAACGAAGAAGCTGCTGCGGACGAAGACGGCCCAGTACAAGGCAACTACGATGCCGACTTCTTCAATGACGACGCACTCCCGTTCGCTGGTGGTTTCATGGACGACGACGACGACTTCGCAGATGCCCGCGACCACTTCTCGCCACCCCCAACACAGCTCCCTCGCGGCACCCAAGCCACGGACATACCGAGCTCGCAGGCCAATGCCTTTGGTGCGGATCTCATCACTCAGAGCAGACGGTTCAGACCAGAGTACGTGCAATACGCACGGGTAGCAAAGAAGGTCGATGTCAAGAGACTGAAGGACGAGCTTTGGACCAGCATGGGTCTCGAGAAGGTGAGGCTTTCTCTCCAAGCATTTCAAAAAACTCGCAACTAACGGGAGTCAGATCACCGCACCCCCAGCAGCAAACGCCGTTGACGATCCAGCAATGAAAGCTGTTGACGGCTCGCTCAACTTCACTGACGTCGTCAACAGTCTGAAGCAGGTGTACCCGCAAAAGGCGTTGGCTGATATCTCGACAAGCTATTGCTTTATTTGCACCCTTCATTTGGCGAACGAGCAGGGCTTGGTAATCGAAAACACAGAAAACTTTGAGAACCTGACGATCCGGAGAGACTTTACTGCGGACCTCAGTGTTGGGCATTAGAAGACGGGATGGAATGCTTGTTGTTATGATTGTCGATACCATCTAAGCTGGCGTTAAAGTAAGGGGTTCCGGATGCATCCATACAGGTTGGGAGGCCACGCCCGGGACGTTAATGTGCATACGAATCCCACACACCCATTGTCATTTCTACACCCCTCTCACTGGTCGACCACACATGCTCACATTGCTCATTCGTGTCAATGGATACCATGGCTTTCGGCCAGACTTTGACGCTTCAATTCCGGAGCCAATGTTTCACAAGACCCATGTGCCGCATTCTCATTCTTCAATCGAGTCGTGTGGGCATCTTTTCGCTGAAGTTGTTGTCGAGGCTCTTGTGGAAGGTGCTACGCGTATGAGCGTGAAGGTAGTTCAAAGCCCCACCAGTAGGGTACCTAGGTGGTGGGATTTCACGGCCACGGCCGGTATCGCTTTTGACCAGGCATCGCAGCGAGTGCAGAGCTGTGTCACGCTCGAACTCACCGGCCATCTACTCTTGGAAGTCACGGTGTGTTTGATGTGTCGTGCTGTTCACGCTTCTTCGTGCCACGTGCGGTCAACGCAAGATTTTGAGGCAGCGAGTACAGTGTCGTCGTCTCGACCGTGAGGATCGAAATCCAATGAACTTATGTGTGGGCATCCTTTCGCTACATAACGGTTTACCGGTGAGCCCAACACACGAGGCTCCACTCTCCGCTATGCAGCTAAAGTCGGCGAGTGCGGCAGCAATTCACAGTGGAGCCTCACAGCTTCACCCGGTCGATTCCAAGTGGCTGGTCCGTTGGACAACTGCGCCCACACGTGGCAGGCTTCTCTCAAATAAAGACCACGGGCCTCGAGACAGCGCGTTGGATCTCGGGGGAAGCAAATATAGCCAGCCCTGTGTCACAGACGAACGTGAGGAGACTCGGACCACGGCCGTGGAGCGTCCTGAGCGTTGTGGAGAAAGGGTCCAACACCGGTTTTTTGACAATGACATGGACTTTCCCAGGGCGAGCGGTGGCCAATAGATGTCGTCGTCGAGGGTCAAACGTGGCAGGGCCAGGTCAAGTTGGGCTGCATGGCGCCTCCCGTTCGAGGCTCTTTCGGCATGCATGCATTTGAGTTGGGCTCTGCGGCGCCAAACAGCCATGGTGGATCCGCCTCACAGCAATTGCAGCGCACCACGTAGCTCTGGCTCGGGTTCTGGACACTGGAAGAGTCATAATTTTGAACGTGTAGCGTGGTTTGTATTTGCTCCTCAAGGGAGCGTCGCCGGTCAAGGCAATAAATAAGGAGAGAACCAGGCAGGCAGGCAGGCATAGTAGAACCGCACCTGCATATCCTAACAGTCGTCACTGTTGTCTGCATCGACATCGCCCACAGCTCGCCCACCTGCACCTAGCCACTCACCAGCTGCAGCATTACCTATGTCCGAATCAGCCCAAGAGACTGTACATTTCTCTCTGATTCGGAGAGTACGGCGCAGGCCTTGAATAAACAAACATCATTCACGCTTCATAGCAGCGAACACACCAACACACATTCTTCCACAACACCAGGCCAACGGCCGCAGCAACAAACCTCCAGCATCGCCCTCTGTCGATCCTGCAGGCTTCTTGCTGTGCGACCGTCTCCGCATCACCCAGCGGCCTGACACCTGCCACACCAGACGGTCAGACGTCCCCATCAAACGTCATCTGTGTGCCTGCAGCGCACCCGCCATTTGCTGGCGCTCATCCTGGTGTCACATCGCAGGCATCGCCTCGCTTCAGTTCTTATCGATTGCCCGTGCCCAGGTTGTTCCTCTTCTCGCATCCTCAACCCGCCATCCATCCCGCCTGCGGTTAGCACAGCAATCAAACCTCCGCACGTCGAAACGCCAAACAGCGGCAAGGAATTTTGGACCAGCACCTGCCCAGCGCCTGCCTCATCCGGACGCCTGCGACAATCTGCTGCGGCGTGGAATCAGCCCTACGAATTCTTCTGCACCGCTGCCCCTTGCTGCCACTGGATTCGAGGGGTTCTCGCTGCTTCGAGTATACCTAGCGTACATATTGCCCGCCCGCCCGGCTATTTACTCTCAGGGACTGCTATTTACACGCTACGGACAACAGCACCCCTCCAGCACCTGCGATTGGCGATTGGACCGGTCAGCCAGACCCCACCACGACGCATCGTCAGCCGCCCAGCCAGGCGCAACCCAACCCAGGAGCCCTTCCTGCTTCAGTGATAACTGCCCTGCGCGCTCTCGATCTCCCGCACCCTCCCGGTATCCGCACTCGGCCTGTCTCTGGTAGAACGGGCTAGAGTACGGTATACCCCAAGCACACATCAGCCTCATGCCGTTAGTCATCGCCCTTCCACAGTCAAGTCGTCCCTCTGCTGCTGCAGCCATGCCCTCTCACGTCTCTTCCCGTCCGCCCCAAGCCAGTTCTGCTGCCTCTTCACGCCGGTCGGTCTCGCGCCGCTCCGTCCGCAGCAGGACCTCCCAGTCCACCCGCACCACTGCTACCCGCTCGACAGCCCCCTCGAGCGTCTCTGTTTCTCCCGCGCGCACCAAGACCGCTAAGACTGCAACAAAACGCGACACTAACATTACTATCAGACAAGGTCGCGGCCACAAGGGCATCGATATCCGAGTCGACAACCACACCGGCAACTACGCCGACGGCTACAGCGACGAGAGCGAAGAGGAGCTCTCCGACGAGAGGTTCCACAGTGAGGACGAGGAGGACTACACGTCAGAGGACGACGAAGAGACCAGCTGGGATCTGATTGAGGACGAGCACGACGAGATCCACCCGTCAGACTCGGCCTCGAGACCTCACCACGCCCGTCGCCAGCAGTCGCACCACCACGCAGTACCTCCAGCGCCCCCAGCTCCCTCTGCACCCTCTGCGCCAGTCACAACCCGCCCTCGACAGTCGCGCCGCGCCTCTTCACGTCACGCCGTTGCTGCTCCCGACCCGCACTCCGCCCAGCACAGCAGGAGCAGGAGCAGAGGTCCCGAACTGGCGCCTCGTGAACGTCGACCTCGGCGCCATCGACGCCAGTCCACCCACCAACAGCCTGACAGCTTAGGCGAGGAGGACACCGGCGACGACTACCCGTACCCAGGAGCACCACCGCACCACGGCGCACCTCCTGGCCACCCCACCCCGCAGTGGTCCCACGTTCCGCCTGCTCACGGCTATGCACCGAGCACGATGTCACACTACGACCACTATTACCCAGGCTCGCCCGCAGGCCAGCTAGTAGGCCCCGGCTACCAGGGCGGCTTTGATCCCCACCGCCAAAATGGCTTCAGTCCTCAACAGCCAAACCCATTTGCGACAGGGCCTGATGGCAGCTACTTTGGAGGTGCTCCGGGTGCTCCGGGTGCTCGCGCAAGCAACCCGAACCGGCGCTCAATGGGTGGACCACCACCCCCACCATCTGATGCTATGATGCCCTACGGGCAACCTATGGGCGGTCATCCAGGTTACCCGCAAGGCTACGGGTATCCTGGTTACCCAATGCCACAGATGGGTTACCCGCCGCCCTTCCAACAGCATCATTCTCCTCCCCCAGAAGACCGACCACGTCGATCTAAGCGAGGTACACCGCGACCGCAATCTACTGTTTATGATTATTCTGACGGAGATCATCACCAAGATTCCCGACTACCTCTACCTCAACAGCCCACAGCCATGCCCGTCGCTGTGGTCCCTCCACCACCACCACCGCCGCCGCCGCCGCCGCCAGCGCCAGACACAGCAAAGGAGGACGCTATGCTCAAGAAGCTGAACGACCTTCTGCTCGGCAAGGCTGAAGAGGAGGCAAGGAAAGAAGCAGAAGCTAGGAAAGCTGCGGAATTGGCCAAGTTCGACCGTCTCGAGAGCCTGCTCATTGCACAGCAAGAAGCACAAATCGCGAAGGACAAAGCGAAGCAGCAGGCCGCCCTTGACGCTGCTAAAGCAGCTGTTGAAGCCAAGAAGAAGGGTGATGAGGACAAGCTCGCTAACCTCGAGAAGCTCATTCTAGCTCAAAAGGACGAGCAGCTCAAGCGCGAGGCAGCAGCAGACGCAGCTCGCAAGGCGGCAGCAGAAGCAGCAGATGCTGAAGCTAAGAAGATCGCGGAAGAGAAGAAGGCTGCAGCCGAAGCCGCCAAGCTCCTGCTCGATGCAGCGACGAAGGCCCGTGAGGAGGCAGAGAAGGAGGCAGCGAAGAAAGCTGAGGAGACTAAGGCGGCTCACGAGAAGGCCCTTGCTGAGGCCAAGGCCGCTGCAGAGGAGCTGGAGAAGGCCAAGAAGGCTGCTGAAGAAGAAGCGGCGAAGCTCAAGCCTTCTGACGCACCAAAGGCGCCCATCAAGTTCAAGGACGCTGTTGGCCGCAAATTCAGCTTCCCGTGGAACCTGTGTAAAACATGGAAGGTATGTCACACGAACGCCTTATCTCTGATAGTCAACTAATAGTTACAAAGGGTATGGAGGAGCTCATCAAGCAAGCTTTCCTGCACGTCGACATCATCGGTCCTCACGTGCATCAAGGCCACTACGACCTTGTTGGTCCTGACGGCGAGATCATCTTGCCTCAGGTCTGGGAAACAATGATCCAGCCAGACTGGGCCATAACCATGCACATGTGGCCCATGCCCGAACCAGCCAAGGAGGAGGTAGTTCCAATACCACCGCCGCCGCTGGATGCCCAGCATTTCATGGCCACACATCCGCACGCTGGGATGCAACGCCCGAAGATGAAGACGGGAAAAAGCAGTAAGCACAAGACCTCTAAGGTCCTCCCTGATCCGATGGTTGTGAACGTTCCTTCACGTCCACCCCCTCCTGGTGTTTCTGGCGGGCCCCCACCACCTCCCCCTATCCCTGGTGTTCCAGCGGCCATTGAGATTTTGTCTCCGCTATCAAGCAGTGGATCCTCGCACAAGCCCAAGAAGAAGCCCGCGCCTGGTGGCTTCTTCGCCTGGGCGGCTGGCGGCAACGGTCGCTCTGGGCCCGTCAAAAAGAGCAGCAAGAAGGCGTGAATCCTTGCGTGGCAGCAACGCGTCGAGGAAGCCTCATACATGTCATCATGAACATCGTGATGACTTTTTGTTCAAGACCTTGGGGCTGACTGAAACTTCGCAGTGCTTGCCTTGGAGTGGGACGAGCGCGACTGGGACCAAGCCGGGAACGAGAACACACGCATCGTGACGAGATACAGATGGATGAACTATCGATGACGATTCGACAGCTGTTTCGCAGCTTAGGGGTCGCCGTCGGTTTGCATCCTACTGTCGGCGTCGTGGTGTGCGTGCTGGCTGTTCTGGTGATGTTCCACGAGCTTCGTTCCGTTACAAGTACTGTGGTTTTGGTTAGCAACATCGCTACTTCCGTGTCGCAAGTCATTCTTCAGCGTTGCTTGCCACAGGGCTGGGTTGCTCGCATCATTTCCCCTGTCTGTTTTTTTTTTATTTGTTTCTTCCTTTTCCTACCTTTTCTTCTCTTCAACAAGCATTCTTATCATCTTACCCATATACCCTTACAGCCTTTTGAGAAGTATACGATACGTTTCGGGCCACCTCGGGAAAAGAGAAGGAAAAGTTGGACACTATACCATTTGTCACGCACTTTGCTTTGAGCGCACTTTGTTCGAGTTGAGCGTCGTTTGGCTTATGGACTACCCCCTTTTTGGCTTTTAAGGCGTTTATCGGGAGTATAGTTGACATGTTTTATGAGAGATGAGACATGGTGCGATGACGAAATGGCTAACGACGGAGGTATTCTTGATTGCTGCGGTGTGTGGAGATGAAGTTGTGTGGAGGGGGTGGTTGTTGTTGCTGTGCGAATTGGCTTCTAGCATAATTACCCAAGATTTCTGTTTGGCAATATACACTTATCTCATAAAGAGCAGCTCCGTTGTATTGGTGTACTGAGTGATCAATTGCGACCTTGTCAACATTAGTCGTGTCTGCGTTTAGGTAACAGTGCGGCATAAGCATTTCTAAACAAGCAAGAGCCCTCAAGTACCATCACGATGTCTTCGGTGAACACCGCCCAGGCCGTTTTCTAGCCTTCCCAACTCTGCACCGCTTCACCAACCCACGACCTCACCGCTAGCTCTTGCCTCAAATCCTTGCGCGCACCCCCTTTCGTGTGTAGACTCGCATTAGTCGCCGAGCCCGCACATCCAGCGCAATATACAAGCAAGCACATCGCACGACCAACGATTGTTTACCCCATCAGCACTTAATCGCCAAGCTTGGGAGTGGCACAGATACAATGAAGCTATGCTCGCAGGCACGTGTGATATAGCCAGGGAAGGTGCGTCCTCAATACCAACCTTTCTTCCTCGCTTTCTTACACGATGTGTCTCTCTTGGTTGTCCCCATGGCTGCCGTGTTTACTCTTTGAGTTCTTCGCAATGGGTCGAGGCTTAAGACCACGTCTGACTTACTCGTCCGTTATTGCACGAACTACTCGGCTCTCGCTTCCTCAACCCCAGGCTTACGCGACCCTACATAACCTCGAACGAGCGGCAGCAAGCAAGCGTAACCTTCCTGCCAAGGCCAAATGCACCGACTCTGGGTGTCAGCCAAGCAGCAAACCGTGTAAGTGCGTGCACCGCGTAGTCGATCTGCAGTGAAGCTTACCGCTGGAAGCTTCCTCGGATTCGAAACTCAACAACGCAGTGACACCACACTTCGTTCAACCCCGGACGACGATGCTCAGTGCACGATTCAGAAGTGCGAACTCTCGACACCTCGCATCGATCCGAAACGTCTTCTTGTTGGTAAAGGATAAAGCGAAGACGCTGGATGGATGGGAAACCGACAGCGGGAGAGAAGGTCCGACTAATCTTTCGGTGCTTTGCGGCTACCAGCCGGCCTCACTTCTGCGAATCCTTGTTCATAATATTCAAAATTGCTAGCAAAAGGGGCGTTGGGCGCCGATGATAGTGGCTTTGAGGCTTCCAGGAGACACGAACGACGAAACCTATAGCATCACTGACTGTAGAGACCGGAGGAAGTATTCACATCCCTTGTGATGTTGAGTACGAAGTGGTGGAAGGAGTTGCCCGAAATAGGATGCCGTCCATAGCGCATATCACAAACGAGGGTCTCCTTGTCCAAGCAAGCGATTTCCCCAGCTCAGCCAAACCTGAAGGCGTTAGCAGGTGGAGCACCTAACGTCATGCAACCACGATCATCCAACATGTTTTTCCGACACGTTGGGCTTGCGCGTGTGCGCGGTAATTAAGTTGGTCAAGCGTGCGCGCCGTCCAAAGCCGTCAACATGCTTAAACCAGAGTTTTCTCCACTGCGAATTGGACTCGACGGACTCGCTCTTGCTGTGCAACGGCAGCTACGCTGCAAACAACGTGGAAAGCGTGGTGTGAACAACGTTGCTGCGTACCTGCAACGAGCAAGAGAAGCCTAGGATTCGGCTTTGACGCTTTTGGTGTTGGTGGTGCGATGGGTCGGTGCGCTGCAGGTTCAAAGAATATAAGGAGAAGGATCACGCTACGGCATCACTTTCCATGGGTGCAATTCTGGGCCCGACCGTTCCTGCGCTTCCTGAGGAGTCAACACCAGCGCAAGGTGCTTTGCTGTCGGCAGGAGCCGGTATCACTGGAGGTATGGTAAACGTGTATTCATAATTGAAGATTTCATTGACCGATATGTGCAGGTTACACAGGGGATTCTCTCAGCCTCAAGATCATAATTTCCGTACTCATCAGCTTGTCTCTGTACAACGCTGTCGAGCTTATCATTCTGGTTCTCGTTACTTTCCAACGTTACCATGGCCTGTACTTCTGGAGTCTTTTGGTCGCGGGGTTCGGAGTATTGCCATATTCGCTTGGCTTTCTGATCAAGTTCTTCCAGTTGCTAGATCCAAACCAGGATCCCGGGTATGTCGCTGTTGTGCTTCTCACCATCGGTTGGTGGACTATGGTCTCAGGTACGTACGTTCAGCTGCGATGTAAAAGTATGCTGACATTGTGTCAGGTCAATCGGTGGTGCTATGGTCCCGTCTACATCTGCTCACCAACTCTCGCCGAGTCTTGCGCTGGACCCTTTACATGATCATCATCAACGGAGCCATCCTTCATTCGATAACATCAGTGCTCACATTCGCCTCGAACTCGAATGAGCTTCCTCAAACCGTCCTCCAGCGATTCGTCAATGGCTACTCAGTCATGGAGAAGATACAGATGGTCGGCTTCTTCATCCAGGAGCTCATTCTCTCAGTCATCTACATCCGCGAAACGATCCGTCTCCTCCGCCTCGGTGAGTCTATTCAAGACGACGTGGGCTCGTTCCACGACGGCACCGGCCAACTACGAAACGCAAGTGTGCGCAAGACTATGTACCAGATCCTCGCCATCAACATCATCATCATTATCATGGACCTTGCGCTTCTCGGCGTCGAATTCGCGAATCTCTACTTGATCGAAACCACCCTGAAAGGCGTCGTCTACTCTATCAAGCTCAAACTTGAATTCGCCGTCCTTGGAAAACTCGTACAGATCGTCAAGGTCCGCACGAACTCGAAGAATAGCCCCCGAAACGCTACCAGTTCTGGTGATAGGCGTGCAGTGTCTACTGGTCTGACCCTCGAGAAGACAAAGAGCGGAGATACGAGTAGAGGTACGAGCAATGGATCGACCACTGGACGCGTCGTTGCGAACCCTCATGGCAGTCTCAGCATTACTGGAGCGAACACACATAGCTTTCCGGACTTTGTGAACCCCCGGCAGTTCAGTGGAGATTTTACGCATGCAAGAGCGGATGTGCTGTTTAGGGATAGAAGACAGAGCGGGTGGGAGAATGCAACTGAAGAAGAGAGGGAAAGATGGAGAAGGAGATCTAGGGTTGGGAAGCCAAGGGGGAGCTGGATCGATGAAGAGATGGATAAGCACAACATTGGCTGAACAGACGAACCGCTGTTCGAGCATATCAAGGCAACCGCATACGTTTCCCTACCGACAAACAAGAACGACACTCGTGTTTGGCCATACACACCGACCAATATAAAGTCACGCCTACCTACGCCGTACCGACGCTCCGCACACCATACTTAACGGCACATGTCGGTCGCCAACACCAACTTCCCCGGTCTGCCTCGTGAGCTCCGCGACCTCATCTACGACGGGCTCTGGAAGAGTCTTCCTCGTATCGGGACTGTCTACCGGCGATATAGTACAGGCGTTCTAGCCTACTACACTGGACTGGAATTGGACAAAAGAGACCTCGATGATCGTTCTGTCCTACGACGTGAGATCCAATCCGGTTACGGTTGGTATCCACGCTTGGAATCTCGACTTCCAATATGGTTGTTGACGAGCCGGCAGATTCTGGAAGAAGGCCTTGCAATCTTCCGCCGTAAGGCGTGTTGGAACCTCCGGCCTGTTAAAAGAGTGCCCATTTCTCGGGCCTCATTCACGGATTCTTCCTCGCTCGAAAATAATGAGGTGTGAGCATATTTGGTTTAGTTGCGCAGAAGTCCAATCACTGCGCCTCCCGCAGAACTCAACGATGATTGAACTACCAATATCGGATCAGCGGTGTCAGACTCATCACTACCTCTGATATTCCTGCCTCAGATCGTTCGAAATATCTTGGTATCAATGGCCCAGATAGCTCAGCCCGCCAAGTCGCTCGAACCTGGATCAAAAAGTGCCTCTGTGAGGATCTAGCTCAGCATGTGCCTGACCTTCTTCATCAAACCGAGCGAATCGGCATAGGGAGAAGGTAGTCATGATAATCCAGATGAGAGAATTTCGATTATGATTTCTGGACGCAATGCAATGTCTTTCCCCTCAATATGTCGAAAATGAACGAAGCGGCCACCATTCCTCGCTATGGATAAGAGAACCAGGAGGCCTTCAGCGACTCAGAGCCATTGTCTGGTGAAGCAAAGACCTTTAGACCTTAGTGATTCTCAGCTGCCAACCACTTCCCGTGTCCTGCGATCCGCCCAACTTCAAACCCTGCGCAGAAGCCACGCCAAGTAGCACCTTGCCAAGCTCCTCGACAGCCACTCGAATACACTTGGATGTCTGCGCTTGTTGCGCACGCTGCTCGTCATGAGTCAAACGGTAGTGGCTACGAACATTGAGCAAAGTTGTATTCATACGAACGAAGATGGTGACAATTTGTAACCCCGGGGAAAGTGAGCTTCTCCAGGTCATGGACATCGATCGAAAATGACTGGGCATGTACTGCATCAACGAGGCATTTGTACGGCTCGTTGACTTCGAAGAGTAGCGTGAGCGAGAGGTAGTGCACCTTGGAGGTTATCAAGGCACACTCAATTTCAGGAACCTTGTCACATGTTTACTTGGGTTGCGAATCGAGATAGTTTTGTTGTACAGCGAGGTCCGTGCGTGAAATATCTCTGAAGCGAAGAGCTCCTTATGTTCGTCAAGGGGAGTGTAAGGTCGAAGGCTCTTGCGTTCCAGGGGGACAAGGTTCTGGCCGATGTACCGAGTGGCCGAGGGACTCGTGATTCGGGCAAGACAAGCGTTTTTCTTGTCAGGAAGTTATTCCCATTGTCCAGTGCATCTCCAAGAGGAGTGCCGTGCAAGATACTCCATGGCCTCGCAGAAGATCTGCTTGCTCATCATAAGTCCTGGAGGTATTCGCAGCCTTCCGAGCCAGGTGGCCACAACAGGACCGGGTAGTTGCACAGGTGATATTGTCCTGTCATGGTATCGGACCTCAAAACGATGGCCTCGGTAACTGACAGTGAAGAGGCCTGTGTGGTTCTAGATAGCCTGGTAGATCAAGTCCCGGATCTCGCGAAGCAGTGGCAGGCAAGTGGAGAGGCATGACAGTCCCTGCATCGCCCTCGCTTTGATTTTGTGATCTGAAATCCGTGTTTGCAGCCAGAAACAAGACTGAGCAAAGCCCGAGTGGTAAGGTGTTTGAGAAATGTGCATAGTCCCTGCAGCAGAGCACGTCTTGGAAGCTCACGAAAAGCAACCATACAGCGCAGTATCGGACATGGGTGGGCAAATTTCGCAACCTTGGTTTGCACCTGTTACCCTATAGGCCAGCTTTGGCAAGTCCCTGGCAGCCCCGTCACCGGCTTACGCTTTCCAACAGCACCAACATTAATGGTGGCTGCCTTGGGTGCTCGATGCCAGAAGGTTCGTTGCAATCACCAACTGCTGCTTTTGTAACTTCAAATGCCCTCACAGTTCTTGCTCCAGCGCAGCCTCCTGCTCTTGCTCCTTCGGCGGGACATACCCATCCTGAAACCAACTCCAGATGTTCAACCCAATCTTCTCCCCACTCAGGACCGGCAGTCCTGCATGCCAGCTTTCATCGTAACCTGTCCCGTCAGGGCGGATGTTCTCCCAGTAGACTGCGTTTCCCTTGACCGGCTTGAATACTACACCTTCCTTCTCTTCACCGCCGCTTTCCCCACACTCGACGAATCTACACCACTCCTTCCCTTCTGGTCTTTTGATCCGCGGAAAGTGCGTTCCACCTCCTGTACACTCGCTTCCCAGCCATACCATGAAGCTACTAATCCTTCCTTGGTTTCTGCTCACACTGCTCCAGTCATAGTGATACGTGTAATGGCCGTTGGTGCCGTAGCGCTGCGCCCATAGCTTCTCGACAAAGACAAAGGGGCGCCATCCTTGAAAAGCACGCGCACGCGACTCTATGCATTTGACCGTGTGCGAACGTGGAACTGGCGCTTTGCTGGAGTGCCGGATCTTGGTGTCTAGGCGTTCTTCTCCGGATGACCAGATGGTGGAGGGTTGAAAGAGTGGATTGCTGGTATACTAGATGAGAAACCTTCAATGATGTCTAGAGCCATTAAAATAGGCGTACCTCAACTCCACAACCTTGTCCGCTTCCCTACCATCCAAAAAGCCCTCGATATACACCACCAACGGTTCTCTACTCAGAATATGCACACTTTTAAATGCGTGGTCTTTACACGTCAAGTTCGCATCAGGGATCACCAAGCTATCCAGCTTCTGCGGGCTCACACTAGCATCCCTGGAATACGAATACGACGACTTTGAACCACTACTAAAAAGCATCTCCTGCAGCGGCGCGCCGGCCAAAACATATGCAATGAGCGCTAGGAATGCATACTGGAAAACCGTAAAGACAGAAAACGATGACGATGGCGTGGAATGCATGCTAAAAGAGTGAAAGGACGGGTAGAAAAAGACGGGAATGGACTGTGCAACGAAGGACAAAACAGAACTTCAGGCGAGACGGATTGAGATTTGAAAAGGGAGCAGGACCGGGGTGCAACGGATCACGTGGGTCGTCTCCATATCGTGCCGTGGTAGCCTATGCGGGAAGTGGGACGTACCCCTAGCGTCGGTGAGACACGGCCAGTACGGACACGACCTTCATGCTGTGGATGGGATACACAGATGAAGATGTAGATGCGCGCAGGCAACGAAATCAACGACATGCCGTCAGTGGGAAGGCGAGGCTAAGGTTGAGGTTGAGGATACGAGGGCTGGAGCTCAGCACGAGGAAGAACGCCCTGCGGCGCCAGCAGGCCGCTAGTTGACGACCGAAACAAACCCTCCCCTCGTTCGCAACGACATTGCTCTTAAACAGTCGGCAACTGTCTGCTTTCCATATCTCACAATCGAGGTGGGTCATGGCCAGCGGAGAGCTGCTGCTGCCCATCAACCTACACCAAAGAAGCGGTGGCAGCAGCAAACGATACCTCACCACCTGTACACGGAGCCCCTCAGGGATCATCCATCAAGCAGCCTACCCATCGTCACCCTGTCGCTCATCGCAAGTCTTCGAGAAGAACGGAAATCGCATGCAATGGAAAACGTGGCTTCCGGGGCTCAATTCTCAAGATCTCGAAATCTCCACAGCTCGAGCAGTACCCAGAACCTGCCATGCGAGTGTCTTCCTCACACGCCATCTTCCCCCCAAAGCGCGTAACCTTAAGACCGAACATCTTGATACCGCGCACATCTGCGTACACCCAGAAATGTAGATCGAGTGTTTCCATTCCACTATCAAATGATCCTACCATCTTCACTCTCCATCATCCATTACGCTCTTTCCGAACTTTGAGCTTTTTCTAAGACCTCTGCCCGTCTTGCCTCCCACGCCTGCCCTTCTTCGTTTCAAACGGCAGATGCTCACGTTCAGAATGGCGCCGAGACCCTGATCCTAGAGGTACCCGCGTCTCAGCGCAGACGGCCTGTCCTCATCAGGACACCGCTTTGAGGCCTTCAATGTCTTCTATGCCGCTTTGCAGCCCTGTGACTGCGGCGGCATATAGTTCTCGACCTGGAATTTATGCTTCCGGAATGGATGGTTGAAGCACACACCCCGCACGTGGATGGTCATTAGTAGCTCGACATAGAGATTGCAGTCTTCCAGTCTCCACTGAGGCATTGCCTGGACTCTAGACATGACTTGTATGTCAGGGTGGGAACAGCTCTTTTTTTTGCTGCTGGAGTTTGTCCTGAATCGGTTTTTCTACGTGGTGCGCTTAGCAGCGATAGACCTGATGTGTTGCAAATCATTTTCTTAGTGGCACAGACACGTTGACCGAAGAGAGCGGGAAGAACAGAGGACGCTGAGCTGCAAACTGCAGTCCATGGCGTTCTCACAACATGGCCTGAGAAGCGTTTCAAATGAGCAAAGCATGAATGAGAGGCGCCTTGCATCGAAAAAAAAAAATACCACAGATTCCTCTCGTCAATGCGACCTCTCCATCAACGACTGCGGTCGACGCTTCCATCGCGTCTGTCAGTCCACACCGATATCACCCCAGCACTTCGCGCGCGTCACTTGCAACAACCACGTGTGCTGCGTCCACAAAGTTCTCACGAGAAGATGTTTTTCTTGGCAGTTTCAATACTACGTGATCCCAGAATTATCGATACTCGGAACGACCCTATGTCAAAACACTCTTTCCATCCTTCTTCCTCCCGCCCTTCTGCTGCGCCGCCTCGTGCTTCCTGAGGTCCTCTGGCACCTTTGAAATCTGGCTCTTGGACAGCATCTGCTTGAGGTCGTACAACACATCCGCATCTTCATTGCCCCAGAAGGTGATGGCCACACCAGACTTGCCGGCACGACCTGTACGACCAATACGATGAGTGTAGCTCTCAATAGAGGTCGCCATGTTGAAATTTACCACCAGCGAAACGTCCGGCACGTCGATACCACGACCCGCCAAATCGGTCGCGACAAGTACATCTGTCCTCCCCTCGCGCAGACTCTGCAGCGCGGCTTCACGCTGCTCCTGCGTTTTGGAGCCGTGCAGTGTGACGGATGAGAAGCCCATGTGTTTGATGTCTCGTGCAATAGCGTCACAGTTGCGCTTGATGTTGACGAATACAATAATCGGTGCGGCGAATTCGCCCGAGTTGAGGATGTCGGCGAGTCGTTTCTTCCGCTTCTCCTCGCCCTGCACGAACTCGACGCGCTGCTCGACGGTTTCGACGGCTTCGCCGGCATTGCCGATTGTCACGATGGCTGGACGCCGGAGGTACTTGCGTGCGATCCGCTCGACGGCTGTGGGCATGGTGGCTGTGTACATCATCGTCTGGCGGTACATGCCGCGCTTCATTGCGTCGGGGTCCTCCGCCATCTCGTTATCCGGTTTTTCGTTGCCGACGGGGAGAGCGTCGAGAATCTTATTCACGGGCTCTTCGAAACCCATGTCGATCATGCGGTCTGCCTCGTCCATGATAACGTACGCGCACTGCGAGAGCACGAGGACGCGGCGCTCGATACAGTCGACGAGTCGACCGGGCGTGGCGATGATAATTTCGCACCCGTCGCGCATTTGGAAGGCTTGTTCTTCGATCGAGTGACCACCGACGATGACGGCTGTTTTGAAGCCGAGCGGGTTGGCGAATTTCTTTGCTTCGACTTCGATCTGCTGCGCCAGTTCGCGCGTGGGTGCGAGGACGAGAGCGTAGGGGCCGTCGTTGCGGTTTGCGGGCCCGAGGGGTGGGAGTTGGGATATGTAGACGAGGAGGGGGAGGATGAAGGCTGCTGTTTTACCGGAACCAGTGACGGCGACACCGATGAGATCGCGACATTGCAAGGCAACAGGGATAGCAGCACGCTGGATGGCGGAGGGCTCAGTATAGCCGGCCTGGTCGACGATACGCATGAGGTTGTCCGGAAGGCCGGCTTCGGACCAGTTGCGCATGGGGTTCGGGATTGCGCCGCCTTTGGTGGCGATGTTGAAGTCTTCTTTGAAAATGCGCCAGTCGCGCTCACGCATGTGCTCCAGCTTCTTCTCGCTCCAGTGCTTGTCCAGCTGTGCGCGGCTGCCCTCCTCCTTTCGCCGCCTCTCCATCTCGAGAATGGCCTCTGCTCGTGCCCGCCCAGACTCGGGGTCGCGCTCGATCATGGCCTCGATGAACTGTTGCGTGCTGCGCTCTGTCATGTCTTCTGTGAAGCCGCCCAGCTTGCCGCGCCCGAAGAAGTTCGCTTCCGCCTTTTGCTGGTAGATGGGGTTGTAGTCGTAGCTTGTGTCCTCCTCGTCGTTCCACTCGAAGTTGAACTTCTTCTCCGTTGTCCGCTTGCGCTTTTTCTTTGCCGAGAAAGTCGACAGGTTCTGCTCTGCGCCCATGTACCGGTTCCGGATCATGGCAGCCTCTGCATCCTCTGGCGGCGGCCGCTTCCCTGCCTTCTTATCTGGTACGGGTGGAGGCGCCATGTCTCGACTTCTTGGGCCATCTCTTGACGCCCCATTGGGAGTCTCATGCCTCATAGACCGAGGCCCTGTGGGTATCGAGGATGTGCCGTTCCGTGCCCCATTGCGCGTGCTATTCGATGCATACCCGTCCTGTGCCGCTCCACTCCCGTTCGCAACTGCGTCTGCGCCCTCACGCCTCCTCCGCGCATCGTCGACCTCCTTCTGTCGCTTCTCTAGCGCCATGCGCTCGCGCTCTGCTTTGGAGAGGAATTTGGGCTTCGCAGCAGCAGCCTCTTTCTCGCGCTTCGCCTGGAGAATGTCGTCTATACTCGGCGGCTGCTTCTTCTGCGACGCCCACCCTCTCTTCACTTTCCTTGGCAGCAGCGCTGGGCCTAGCGACTCTTCCTCTGGCGGAGGCGGCGGTGGAGGCGCATCAGAGCTGGGCGGCGGCGGTGGCGGAGCGTCGTCGAGCGGAGGTGGTGGTGGTGGTGGTGGTGGTGGTGGCGGGTAGTCCATGCCGGCAGATATCCTCGATGTAAATGTGTACGGACGGTAGGTTGGTGACGCTCGCCAGGGTCCGTGAGGCACAGTATTTGGACTCGCCGAGCTTTGTTGTTGTAGTTGCAAGGGTAGAGCGTGGAAAGTTTCGAGCACATCCATGGACCGCGCTGTCACGTGCGCGTCTTTGCATGAACTACTGTATGCATATCGAGATGTGTATTTGTATTTGATGATTGGTAGTTGTATGCTCAGCTGTGTTCAGAACGTAATTGCACATCTTGTGGGTAGTTGACCATCTATTGTAGCTCTACCTTCATCATGCCTCTCCATGCGTCCATAGCCTCTCTCGTTGATACTGATGCCCTGCATTTCATGTCATTATGTCGAAGCTTGGTGGCCTGCCCGCACACGCGGTCCAGCCCGCCGCCTCGGAGTCGTAGCTATTCGTAGCGCCACCGCATACCATCGCCCACCTCAATCCTGTCTGCCCTTCAATAACCGCTTGGTGACCTTGTCCTTCTCGATGATGTAGACGTGTGCTCCCCAACCAGACAGCGCGTCTCGGTCAACGGCGTTCAGCAGCGCTTGTGAGATGGTCTCGAAGAGATCCTCCGGGCCCTGATTCCCTGTTAGCAGCACATCCTCAAGAACCCTACAGCGCGGTCTGTGCTCACCAGATCCGGCTCCCACAGTCCTTCGCATGTACCAAACAGCTGGTCGCTCGCCGTTCCGCTGACGATGAAGTCCTTCGCAAAGTCGATGCACCCAATGCTGTCGAACCCGCAGATGAACGGCTTCCCCGTTGTCTGGTTGATACCCGCGATGACAGGGCTGACGAAGTACGGACCGAACCTCTTCTCGTACAGCGACGATGAGACGAGGTTGGCCATGGTCTGGGGTGAGATGTTGCGCTCCTCGCGCAGGCGGTACATGTTGACTTTGTAGCGGAACAGATCGGACACGGTCGAGACGTCGGTGGCGAGTCCTGTCAGGCCAAGGAATACGTCGCCGTACTGGAAGATCTTGGGGAAGTTGTTCGACACTGTGAGCGCTTGCATGCCGAGGCGGAGATCGCAGGCGATGGCGACGCAGTCCTTGCCCACCATGGCCACGGCGGCACCGCCGTCTGTATAGCGTTAGGAGGATTGTTTTGTTTGGAGTCGTGAGGATTTCGTACTTATCGAGAACGGGGACGACTGGTGCTGTTAGCTATACATGAGGTACCCGCGGCGTGGGGGGAGCTTACCATGGCTGTGAATCTGCCCTGACACGCTTCTAGTTGTGGAGTGCTAGAGGGAACGGTATACGTCGAGGTACTGTAGAGGTATACGCGGTGAGAGAGCAGAGGAAGGCGGGGGGAACACGCAAGTGTAGTTGATGATGCACGGCGAGCAGGTAGCAACAGCTAACGCGGCGAGCTCGCCCACGCCCGCCATCCATCTGCGCCCGTGCACTCTCCGGCTTGGCACCAAAAGTTCCCATCTCTCGCGTCCATCACTCCAATCGCAGCAACCCCACACCCCGTAAACATGGCGACACCACAGACCGTCGAGCTCGCAAAAACACTGCCCCCGCGGCTGCTACGCTTCTTCCAGCGCTATCCCCCACCGCAACTCTTCCCAACCATCACATCGCAAATCGCCGCGACACCAGCAGACAGCCCCGACACAATATCCACCACACCACCGGCCGACGCCAATGCCCCGGTCGCGGAAATATCAGCACCAGACGCCGTAGCTATAAATCCCGCAGACATGCCGTTCCCCAACCCCTTCCAGCCGACCAAGAACTTCACCACGGGCCGCTGGCACGGCCCCGTCTACGGTCTGCGCAAGCAAGCCGACCTGGTGAAACTGGCGAGCGCACACGGTGTGGTCGATTTGCTGCCGTGGACGATTAAGAAGCCGGGCGAGAAGGAGGCAAGGAGGATTGAGCGCGGTTTGACGGTCAAGGGCACCGGTGAGGGCCAGAGGGTCAAGGGAAAGCTGTGGGAGAGGACGCTGAAGGGACGGCTGGAGATGAGGAGGCAGGCCATGTTGGATATGCCAAGGCTGATCCAGGAGTGGAAACAGGTATGTCGATTGCTGAGAGGGTGGACGAGGGCTAGTACTGACATTGGTGTAGAAAGGTCACGGTCGTGGGTGGAAGAAGTGGCCGAGCGGGAAGGCGAAGAAATAAATGGATTGAGGGGATTGGGTCTGGAGCGGGACTTGCTCTGGGCCTGTGTATATCTATGTGTTTGGATGATGGAGCATATTGCCATGGCGTTCAGGCAGGTCAACATCCTGCTTTGTATCAGATCAGCTGGAAAAGATGCACGTATGGTGGAAGAATTAGAGCGATGCAACAACATATATCTATTATCATCTGCAGTGTTTTGACCGTATGGTTGAATGTGGGTATCCGAGTAAATCAAGCTCTCCTGTGCAACACCAATCCTCCTTGTCTGGACGCTTCAACATGGAAAAGAAAACGCACGTGTGCTGTCTCAACACCCACAAATGTCGCTTCCACAATCAACGTACCAAATGCCTGTAGACCGAATCTACTTCCGATCATATAACCATCTCCTCGTCGGCATACATTGGCTGCTGGAAGCCGTACTCCCGGGCGTAAGCAAAGGCGCCATAGTTGTTCTCCATGTCCGAGATACTGTCAACGTTTTTCTGCCACAGTCCGTTGCTGGCGGTGTTGTTGTATACAGGATCTGTTGCCTGGTTGTAGCTCGGCTCCTTCGCGGATTGCTCGTACTCGCGCCTTGCGAGCATGTCATACCCTGACGCCATGTACGGTTCGGCGACCTGTGGCGATGTGCTCAACTCACGGGTTTGCTGCTCTTGCTGGGCCTTCTCGTAACGCAACTTTGCCATGGTCTCTTCCTGGGCCAGGCTTGTAGGTGGCCAGTCATACAACTGCCTCGACATGTTGTAGTCTGTGCCTGCTGGGTATCCTTGCCGGCCCTGTGGTGGTGAGATGCGCCAAAGCTCGAGCAGCCGTAATCGCTGATCATCGTCTGCGTTTTGGAAAAGCTCGACTTGGGATGGGAACAGTAGCTCAGGGTTGATGCTGTTGCGTAAGAGAATTGCCCCCAGCTCGGACATTTCAATGTGCGTTCTAACTGGTGGCTCGGAAGCACTGCGAGTTGGTACCACATGGTGTGAGTGAGTGTAGTGGCTTGAAGCATACACTATCGCCTTGGGTGCTTCCTGCTCTTGCTGCTGCTTCTGTGCTTGCTCTTGTTGCACTTGCTGCTGTTCTACTTGCTGCTGAGAATTCTGAGACAGGTGCATGTTAGCTGCGAACAGCTGCGCGAGCTCATCTTGCTGCATGTTTGCCTCTTCTTCGACCTTTGATCGGACGTTGATACCCGTTGATATAGAGCCGCACTATGACGTAATGGTCAGTATGTCAATATGTCGAATGGTCGAGACCCTTACATGTGAGCAGGCGATGTTCTGGGAGAATACAGATGGGCTGTAAGGAACAGCTGTGTTGTAAGTACAGTTGCAGTAGTGAACAAGCATTGGCTGCATTTGTGGGTACGGTTCAACAGTCGCTGATGGTGCAAGATACAGTCGGTCGTGGCGATCCGCCAAATGCACCAACGTGTTAGTCGAAGACGTCAGTACTCTTCGTGGCAAGGTATTCGATCAGCTGTATCAGCTCGAGGCTCCTAATCAAGGCGTTGCGAAAACTGTTGATATAGTATCGCTGTCTGGTGATGTTTGGCAAATTGGGTTGGGCACTGATAACGGAACCTTGCGATGGCGTCTTTGTTTGAGCTTCCTTGAGGCGTTCAGGAGAGCAAGGCGATAGCTGTGTGAGTAGTCAGGAGAAGGATAGAACGGAAAGAGTGGTTGTCGAAGGTCAACGGGGGCGGCGTGGCCGTAGTTCTATATGTACTGTGTAGCGCGCAGGTGATGGGTCATGCGGTTGGGTCGAGCGTAGAGAAAAAGGCGGGATGATTTTGTCGCCCACGTCCAGTTAGTAGCAGTTTGAAACATAAACTGTTCGGCTAGCAGGCGGAGAGCCAATGGGTCGCTGCTGGTGCCTGCAAATTATCTTCGACAACTCATCAAACGTGCTGAAGCGGAGCCAGTCTTCGAACCGTCGTGGACCAGGATTGGATCGCTAGGGGCTTGAAGCGTATAGGAGCTCCGGTGTAGAAGCAACTTGCCGATGCTCTGGCGAGCAGTGTTAGCCTTGATACTTGTTAGTGACCAGCGATAGCTGGTGAGATTTGTGCACAGCAAGAGCCAAAAGAACCCCTCGTCCTGATATGGCGGGGTTGATGGGAAGCGGATGCCTGAAGATTGAGGCGCCATGAGCATGGACCACCGCGCTAGCTGGAAGGCGCCGTGAGCTCCAACACGCAACTCGCAACTGCCTGCATCAACACCGTCACCAAGCTTCGCAGTCCAACTTGCACTCCACCTATTCGATTGTTGTCCTTGATTAGCTTCACTTCGACGCTTAACTTACTTTGATCAACTTGTACACACCTCGCCTTCGCCATGGTCAGCCCCGCCGCCGCCGCTGTGTTTGCGCAACATGCATGCTAACAGCTATATAGACGTCAATAGGTACGGGTTACGACCTGTCTAACTCTGTCTTCTCCCCCGATGGCCGTAACTTCCAGGTGCCTTTACTCTGATCCAAACATACAAGCGCAGCAACTCACTCTTTCAGGTCGAGTACGCAGTCAAGGCGGTGGAGAACGGCGGTACAGCAGTAGGTATCAGGTGCAAGGATGGTGTCGTCCTGGCTCTCGAGAAGCTCGTCACCAGCAAGCTGCTGAAGGCAGGCGCGAACAAGAGGATAGCAACAGTCGACAGGAACATGGGCATCGTCTCCTCAGGTCTCCTCCCCGATGGCCGCCATTTCGTTTCCAGAGCCCGCGATGAGGCAGCCCAATGGCGGCAGCTGTACAAGGCACCCATCCCCGTAGCCTCGCTCGCCGACCGCATGGGGAGCTACGCTCAAGCATACACCCTCTACTCCAGTGTACGACCCTTCGGTATCACAGCCATCATCGCAGGTTGGGATTCGGAGGCAGAGCTGCCAGTCGACGGACAGGTTGGCTCAGGGCCTAAGGCTGGTTCAGGTGGCAAGAAAGAGGGCGCGAAGCATGGAGGACCTTCTCTATACATGATCGAGCCGAGTGGTCTGTACTGGGTACGTTGTATATTCCCATTGTGTAAACACCGAGCTAACGCGTGGCACAGGGCTACTACGGCGCCGCTACTGGCAAGGGACGACAGATCGCCAAGTCCGAACTCGAGAAGCTCAACCTCGCCGACGGCGAGCTGTCGCTGCAAGACGGTGTCAAGGAGGCCGCGCGCATCATCTATGTCGCACACGATGACAACAAGGACAAGGAGTTTGAGCTGGAGCTGACCTGGATCAGCAACCTGGACGGACCTACCAAGGGCAGGCATGAGGAGGTACCGAAGGAGATCAGGGAAGAGGCGGAGAGGCTTGCGAAGAAGACGCTGGAGGGTGATGACGATGACGAGGAAGAGGAAGAGAAGATGCAGGAATAGACCACGATCAAGTGCAGCCCATGCTACAACACTGGCACGCCATAGACGGTCATCCATGATAACGAATTGCTCCACGAAGCACAATCACGAATCACTCGCATTTGTCCAGCCTCGTACCAGCGTTTGTAGCTTTGGTGTCCTCACTAACAGTAACAGTTGAAACAGAACCCAAGCGTAGTTGTCGAGCCCAGCAAGATCCAAATCTGGCATGACAGGCATACGAGCGTCGCTCCTACCGAAAGTTCCTAGAGCTGCAGCTAGCGGGACCCTAGTGGGGCAGCGCGTCATTCACCACTCAGACGCCGATAGGTACCTCGTGGCTATTAAAACTCGCTCATCCCCAATAACCCCATCACATCTCTAATACCTCCAACCCAAACAACACAGTCATATCTACAATAATGCCGCCAACACTCATCCTTATTCGCCATGCGCAGGCGCTGCACAACGCTACTAGCGATTGGGTATGACTCTCTACGAGCTATAGGCAACTGGATGATTTTCTAATATGGTACAGTCAATCCACGATCCACCACTAACTGACCTGGGTCGCCAACAAAGCTCCGAACTTCATGAGAGTTTGAAGGCTAGTGACCTCGCCAACAAGACGGAGCTCATCGTCGTCAGTCCAATGAGGCGAACACTCGAGACAATGACCATCGGCCTGGACTGGTTGATTAAGAAGGGCATACCCGTTCACCCTGATGCAAACTGGCACGAGAACGCTGACAAGCCCTGCGATACTGGCAACACCATGGACGTCATCTCCAAGGAGTACCCTCAGTACGATTTTTCTGGTGTAGATCCGTTGTACCCGGACAAGACTAGCAATCTCAAGACCAACCCTTACGCCTTCACCCAGAAAGCCATTGTCGCACGTGGCCAGACTTGCCTCAAAGATCTATACAACAGGCCCGAGAAGGTCATCGCTGTTGTGACACACTCTGGTTTCCTACGAACGGCGGTCTGCAACCGCATGTTCTTCAACGCTGATTGGCGCGTGTTCGAGTATGACGAAGAAGAGACTAAGAAGCAGGGAAAATATGTTTTAAAGGAGTGGGAAGAGACCGAGAAGAAGGGTGGCGGCATGGGCAGGAGCGATGTTGGAGTGTTTGGCATCGTGGAAGGCGACTTCCCACCCGAGGTCGGGGAAGAGGAAGCGAAGACAGACCCGCAGGTGGAAGAGGTGGGCGAGGCCAACAAGCAGATTCCTGCGAAGAAGAGTGCTTGAGACGATGAGACACCAGAATACGACGCCAACCCTGCGGCGCAGCGATAGATTCACGACTTAGACACGAACAGCGACAAAGATGCTTCAGTCCTTCTTCGAAGCAAAACCGGTGCTCTCTAAGGCTGTTTTGAAGCAGGACTAGGATCTGTGGGTGGCTTGCCTTGGCAGCTTCTGCGAGTGGTAACTTCCGTGTGTCTGCACATGATTTGCACCTTCCCTGACAAACAAACTGCTCGGCCAACTGCAATTAACATGCCGCTGATCTGCTCACCTGCTACTCTGTTGCAGTCACGCTCATTGTCTTCGACGGATCTTCACTGCACTGCTTACGCTTGACATGTTTATAGTGAAAGTAACGGCTCTCTTTACTTAAAACTGCGCTGGAACCTAACGACCAGCCTCCCCTTTACCGAACTGGTTGTTGACTAGCAAGCTCTTCCTCCGAGAAGCAATAGCGAGGAAGGTTCGGATTGACTTCTAGTTGCTCGAACAGCTGGCGGCAACAAATTTGGAAACAGTTAGTCTGGCCGTGCAATCGCACTATACATTCAACCCGAGGCTGTACAATGAGGATGCTCCAGACGACTGGAGTCTCATCAAAGTAGCGTTTGCACCGTTATTGCGGATTTGGGTACTTTTCTGCTTGAGGAAGGGAGACGTGAGGATTTTAGAGGTATTGGAAGGCCAGTGAACGACTTGCGCTGCAGATTCATAAGATTAATCCCTAGCTAGACGAAACCTCAAATCGACGTTTGGTCTTGGCTGTTTTTTGGTTAGGTTGAAGATGGTACTCGATCCAAACTTTCACAATGGCTGCCTTGCGCTACGATACTGAACCATGGTTGAGTCGTGTCTCTACCACTACTCAAATCATTCAAGGTTTGCTAGGGATTTTGGTTCCATCTCGTACATTATTATTTCCAACATAACTTCACAGACTTGGCGACCTTTCTTACGTTTACCCTCACGTCTCTCTCTGCGGATAGCAACAGCGAACTTCAGCAAAATTGACCATGCGGCAGACATTCTTCTTTCCTCGAGCTCCCTCGAGAGCTACGCGACTATGTATACAAGGACTATTTCGGATACGACACCATCTACACCATCATCTGTGAGGGATACACCTTCAGAGTGCGACCTGCCGGCACAACGAGTACTAACACGTAACTCCATCCCATCGGTAACTCTAGCCAATAAGCAGTTCCACCTAGAAGCGCTCGAGCACAGCTCCAAAGAGGGTCGCAATGGAGCTCCGAAAGCGCCTGGAGCAAGTCCGTTTACCGCCATCGGTCCACGTCGCCGAAATCCTCAATTTTCTCGAAGCAGTTATTTTCTGGAATGCGCACTGCTTACGACTCACGTTGCCGGCTCAAGAGATGTTCAACCTAAATGACAGTGTGTTCCAGATGCTCATGGGCATATTCACGGATTCCAATATACATTTCAGTCACTTTTTGCGCCACATCCCTCGAGCTGAGCCTTAGCCTCAACATAGGGTCCGACAAGAGTAGGAAATGGATGGTGACGGTCGATCGGGACTTGCTGAAACGGCTCGCGGTAGAGAGTCTCGAAACTGTCTCCGTCACTAGTTGGGCATGCTGAGAAACGAAGAACGTGAATGGTGTGGGCTGGTCGACGAAGGTCCAAGAGGCTAGGAGACTTGGGAGTATAACAAAGAAGGCCTTCTTACGGCGGTGACGGGTCTAGGAACCTTATTGCTTGGTACAGATCAAGGCGAAGAGGTCAGGGAGACTGGAAGGCCGGTGACTGTAGTGCGCTGCAGATCTAAGCGGGCTGGACTATAGGGCGAGCCTGACAAATGCTACACAAAAAGCCGATGATCGAAACCTGATAGAGGAGTCACAAAGTCGCTGGTTATAGCAGTCTGAGGTCCTCCAGAGTGTGGCATGACCTCCATGATTTTTCGAGATGTCCACACATAATTTTATTATAATGATTGCCAAATTGTATGGACCCCTGAATTTGGGACCGTGATGCAGACAGTACATGTGCACCGTGGTTTTGCTGTGCGGACGAGTTTATGAGTGGTCATTGTCCACGTGTATGCCCTGCAGTAGGTCTCCCAGCGTATCACATCTGTCGAACCAAAGACATACAGCCACTCGGAAGCTCTCGCTTCTGTATGACGTAGAGAACATAGGCTAGTGTGCCAAACTTAGGGGGGTCCATACATTTTGGCAAGCACCGATATTTGACTGAACTAAAAGTAACCTGACTGCCCCCAACCCTCGAGTCTTATTCCTGTCATTGTGAATCCTTTCTAACGATGCTCACATCTCATAGCGTAGTGACAATAGCAGACACCGCACGAACAGTAGACTCCGTCCCACGACAACGTCGGAGAGCCTACTCCTTGACACCAAGCTCTTCATCCCACAGAGGACTGTCAGCAGACGGATCAACATCAACAAAGAGCTTGCCAAACACGCCTTGGTTCGGTGTGCTTCTAAATACGCCAATTGGCTTGGCTCCTTTCATTACCTCGGAAAGGTTCAGAAAGTCGTCGAGACCCAATTCTTCAAGTAGTCCCCGGAACCGCTCAAGTCCATGAGCAATGTGAAGCCGCATGCTCTTTCCGACCTTAACGAGGCCAAACGGAATACTTGCATAGAAATAGAGCGTAGCTGATATGAACAAAGTCGGTGGAATGCGCCATGCGGAGTTGTTACTCAAGACGGTCACAAGCTTGTTCAAGTATGCTGCTTCCTGTGCATGGCTTTGTGGATTGAATTGCAATTGACTTTGAAGCAACCGGTGGAGGAAACTGGCAAGTAAGACCATGCCGCAGCTTGGTGCGCGTGCCATGTTGCCGAGCGATACAGAGCAAGCCAAAGACTAGCCGCGGAACGCGTTGATAGTGTGATTGTTGGAGAAGGTATTGAAGAACGACTGGAATTGGTGAACCGGGAACATAACACCTGTCAGTGGGGTGAGCGGGAAAAGCTTCATGCATACTGTTCGGCAGGTGGAGACGAAGAACATGAACGATAGGAGAGGAAGTTCTGAGGATGCTATTTATGTGTAGATGGATGTTCTGAGCTCTATAGTCTTGTCAGCTTGGAGCATACACGAAAGTGAAGTCTTGCTTACTCGACGGTAGATCCAAAAACTCTTTGGGTCATGAAGATTCCTCCACGGTTTCTTCGTCCATGTCTTGTGACCTTGTAATAAAACCGAAGCTTGAGACTCAAGAGCTTTTCAGAAGCGGTATCGGCTGTCTTATCGATAATCACGCCGATGGGTGTCAATGACAAGGTCTGGTCATTTTGTTTGCTGATGCGAGGTGACCCGAGCAACCAATGGATGTGGCAACCAAGTCTGGTTCTTGTTTTCAAATAGATTGATTTAAATATGGTGATGCATATCTTAGACAACCATGGCGAGAACGACAAAATCGGTATCTCCATTCCCTTTCCCTTTCTGCGTTTTCCCAAAGAGTTGCGAGACCAAGTCTGCGATGACATGTGGAAGAGTACCATTATCGTGTAGCTTACCAGGGATACATGTTCTTACTGTTCTGTCATACCTATGGTAGAGACAGTGCGCCCCCCCCCCCCCCCCGCCCCCCGCGCTCCCCTTCTCCCACTTGCCATCAGCGGTTCTGATGAGCAAGCAAATACTGATAGAAGTAACTGGTGGTCTTACCTGAATCTTTCCATATAACTGGTACAGCTCCCTCGCGCAGAACCCTAACAGCCCAAGACGGACGACGATCCCGTGCACTGGCTCTCTGCTGGCGCCATGAAACGCAAGGCGGCTGGTAATGCGACTTAATGCGAAGAAAATGGCTGAGCTTACATCCAGCAAGCTAGGAGTGAGATATGTGACCCGTGTCTGCAACGGTGACCGCCTGTTCTAGCGGTTGCTTAACAGCTCAGTCGCGCGGTATGCCAGTCTTGCTTACCTCGAAATCGAATTGATCGTCCACCTCGCGGAGGATGTCGATGAATGACCTGTTAAAGTTGATCTGAGAGCGCTTAGGAAGCTTTGTGTGGCAAGTTTGCAGATTGTAGCTGTGGACGTCTCTATAATACGTTACTTAGAGTATCAACTCATGGGGGGACCGGAGAGATCGAAACCAGCTCCGCGAGAAGCTTCGTACCGTGTCTGTGCGCGCAATGCGCGGATTCGCGCAATGCGCCGAGACGCTTTATGCACCCATACTTCACAACACCACAACTCAACGCCACAATG